TTTATCAGGAATTACTATATTGCGTATACGGTGGGAAAAAAAAGTGAAAGAAGTGTATGCGCTACCATGGGACACATGCTCCCCCATATCACAACGCCAGGAACGGAAAGTCAAACAGCAAGGGAAAATGCCGGGGGTATTAGTATCATCGCGAGCCCATCGTTGGGAGGTCAGGTGGACAGACCGGAAGAAGATGCAAATGCAGAAAAGACAAGGAATCGAGTAGAATGAAAAGGGGCGCCAGAAGGAACACCGGCTTCTTGTGGAATGCGGGGATGACAGAAAACTAGATCTGCCCTTTGATGTCGACGACGCGGTGGGCTTCTGACTTGGCTCGTTCAAAGACCTGGCCCGCTTTGCCGGTCAATAGTCTCACGGACCCCTCCCGCTCCTCGAGGAGGGCGTCCGACGCGTGATCCAGGATGAACCGTGCGGTCTGCTCATCAGACTCGAAGCCAAGTTCCTCCGTGATGAACCGAATGGTGACGTCGGGTTTGTACCTAGCAAAACTCAGCAATGACTCGGAATTGACGGAGGAGGGAACTCACACTCTACAGATAACGGCCAGCGCGGAGAGGCGTTCGCGGCCAACAAACATGTCCATCAGATACGCCCCCATATTCGGTGTGTCGAGATACAACTGAAAGAACCGGTGGTAGTTGCCCAGCGCCAGGGCGGACCGAACGTCTAGGGCATGCTTAACCGCCGGATCTTGCTTGTCTGCGGCGGTCACATCGGCCAGGGCGTCGTTCATGGCCGTCCAGTTGCGGGTGTAAATGAAATAGAGAATACGATACGCCTTGAACTCCGTTGGGTGGCCGCCCAGCTGCTGCGCGTACAGCACCCGCAGCTGTGTCTGGCACTGATTATACTCACCAAGATCCCCTTTCTCCAAAGCAATCCGCGCGTGGATTTCGTACACTAGCACCGTGAACTCGGTCCGAATGTGCTGGACTGTCAGGTCCTGGCGGAGGGATTTGAACTGGTCACAGATGTAGCCGTAGTTGGCCTCTTGTCTCCACTTTTTCTTCAGGAGATCCAAGGTCTTTTGCAGCACCACGAGTGGACGGACAGTGTCTGGATTGGGGGCAGACGTCAAACGGAAATAGTTCTTCTCCAGGGTTTGGCATCGACCGACCACCGGGCCCTGGTCGGCAGCCGCACTTTGGGCCGGAGAGTGCGCAGGAGATGGGGAATAAGGGGAGCCATAGCCACTTCCGGCGCCCTCGAAGCGTTTCCTCCTCATTTCCAAATTAGCTTTGGACTTACTAGAGTCGTCCAGGGTCAAGCGCTGTCTCTTTTCTGTGGATGGGTAAGTGACTCGATCTTCGAAACCTCTGCGATGATTAGCTTTCCTCCACGGCGGCGAGCTGGTCTCCGGCTGGTGGCCCTCCGGGGATTTTCTCTTATGAGGCGAGGATGGTTGTCCGGCAGCAGCCCAGTTCGAAACACTGGGGTTGGCCAGGATCTTGTTGCGCTCATTCTGGACCATCACTTGGGGTAGTGGTAGCCGTTCCCAGTCGGTAGTTTCCAGTTGGTTGGATTCTGCCGCGCTGGTGATGACATTTTTCAACTTTTCTTGCATTTCCGCATTGCTAACACTTGCGATCTGGTTGTCTGGCGCAAAGCATCGCTGCACATACGATCGTACAGCCGGCGGAAACTCGATGCGCTTTCGCGGCTCGGAGTCGGCTGTTGTAGGCATGGTTGGCTGAGCGGCAAATCCGTTGGAGGCTGTGTGGGTAGACTTATTAGAAGCCAGGCTACGGCGTGCCTGCACCGGGATATAGGCTGGGGGTGCTATACAGACATCAGCATCATCCCGATGAAAAAGTCGGTCAAGGGCGCGGTTCTTACCAGTCTGATGAAATAAAGTTGTGTTGGAAGCCGAGGCTGTTGCACGCCACGGCGGGACGCTGGAGTTCATTCCGTGGGATGTCTAGAAGATAGATGCAAAAACGGACGAAGGAGAAGACTGAGAATGAAGAAGCCTGGCTGAGGCTGGGAGAGAGAGAGGAAAGTGAGATTTTGGGAGAGAAAAGGAAATAGACGGAAGTGATAGAGACAAGGAGAGCTACGGGCGGGAGTCGATCAGATATGTGAGGCGAGAGAGAAATCGTGTGGGTGAGTAGAAGAAGACGGCATATGGTGATGGCAAGGGAGACAAAGTGAAAGTGCCGAGCCAAGCGAGGGGCGGAATATCCATTTATCCGAGGTCCGCCCTAATCATCGGGTTATCAATATAGATTGTCTAGGCTAGGCGACCACAGGCCTCATCCAAGGCTCTTTTAACCACTCACTGCATGTGCTCAGAACTCTTTCGCACACATACCGAAAGCGACCGAGGGAGGGGAACGCTGCCCTGGCTTCAAGTTACCGAGCGAAGTGAGGGTCATGACTGGGTGATCAATAATTTCCACCAAATGATGGACTACCGTAGTGCACCCCTCGAGCCGGTCGATGCCCGAATCATACGAGACGGTCCATTTCTAGGTAAGATACACCTGACCTTTTGAAGGAATATTTTTGCAAAGCACTTATCGAATGGGGTATGCAGTTCCTTCGCGAGGCTAGTTTCGACAAACCTTTGCTGCTCTCTTTGTGCAATCATTGGAACAGCTGAGAATTCAATCCCGATCCGTAATAAACGAGGCACACACAGCTAGTCTCACGTGAGAACCATTTCGACTCGAGTGCCCAAGCCGGGCCTTATCCTGGGTGTATACCAAGATACAATATCCTTCGGCTTAGATTTTTCCATTGGTGGGGGTCTACATGTCGGGATAGTTGATACAGCCGGAGGTAGACAGAATATTGTTGATACGCAATTTATGGACCTAGAGAATTTGCTACTAGGAACGTATCAGCCGCCGGAGTCATAACATGAGATTCCGAAGGCTTTGTCGACTCTCCAATCGCACTCCTTCCCCAGTTATTCTGTGATTATCTCCGCCAGTTCCTTCACGTCTGGAATGTGCTATAGACCGAGGACAGAAAACAAAACCAGCGTGCATGCTGCCAGGAAACGGAAATCTCCCAGGGTCCCCATCGACCATTCAAAGAGACGGCTCGCGGGTCAGAAATCAATGCACCATGTGCTCCTTTCCGCCGTATTTGGAACAGTCAGTCGACACCGTGTCGACCAGTTTGAAAGCAAAGTTGAGATAAAGCATTAATGCAGCCAGCTCCAACACAACGAAGACCTTGATTCCAAGCTGGTCTGAGACTCCGAGCCCTCTTTGCACGAGCATGCTGCCAATGCCTCGTCGCCAGAAGGTTGGGTTTGTTGTCAAATACTCGAGGACTAGTCACAGGTCAGTTAACAAAAAATAAAAATAGAATAAAAATGAAATCAGTGAAACCGTCTAGTATATCTCTTCCTAGTAGTTGCAGGCTACAGAGTACACCCGTGAAAGAGAAGACGTACGCCATTTTTACCATCAAAGATTTTGTTTATGTTCATATCTCCTATCAAGTTTAATTTCATTGGTAAGATCCATTGCATTGCTTTTGCTGAGGTGTTGATCTACTTCCATCATGATTGTTTTTCTTCACTCAAATGGTCATCAAGCGATCGGCTTCAGATAGTTTGATACAGGAACTGTAGACAAACTTTCAATCCATATCGGCGTTGGCGCAGAAATTGGCGGGGAGAAAGTGGAGCAGAGTACCGTAAAAAAAGAGGGCCAAATGCGAAGATGGTCCGACCGCGCCCCACACGACGTCAATATTAAATAGGTGCCAAATCCCATGATCTTCTATCACCTCTTTTTCATCTGAAGAATCAGCCATGGGGTGCTGCCTGACCATCACAGACCCTGAAGAGGAGGAACGTGAAAACTATTCTCGTACGGTTACGCCAGGTATGTCACCCAAAAGTCAGGACTCAGCTCGTTACGCAATAAGCCTGACAAATTATCCCTAGACATCGCTCTTCACAAGCTACGCGATTATCTGGTACAACATCGAGCTCAGGACGAGACACATCAGGCGATATTCGACGCCTATAGCATCCAGGACTCGCCCCAGGAGGAACCATGTAAGAAATACCTGCTTACAGTGACGATACTCTTATCAAGATCGGCCTTGACTAATGAGATAATGGCTCAGATTGGATAAAAGAAAGCCTTCGAAATCACATCACAAAATCATGCTCAGGGACTACTATCCCGGAGACAGCCATCAACGTTCTGTGGTCGTGCTTCTATTTTTACGCCTGGCACCCTTTCCCGCGCCACGGTGATGCTGATAACGGAAAGATAGACCGGCCCGCATTTGAGCGTGCCATAATCTTGCTTGCCTATAAAGGTACCGAGATTCTAGGAACTATAGTCGATCTTACACCCAATGATATTCTCCACTGGGCATATACACAACATGGCAGGCCCTGTACGTGCAGACACAATATCGACCGGATTTTCCGAAGTATTGGTCAAGTCAGTACTCAAGTTCATGAGCCGCACCAACATTCCATTAGCTGTCCTTCATTTGTAGAGGACGATATGATGGATGTTGTGGCCACGACTCGACCCCATACTACCAAAGGAATCCCAGGCCCTAGTAGTTTACGCCCGACAGCGCAACGTCTCCTGCAAGATGCAACCCATCAATATCGGGTACAAATCAAAAGTCTAACCACTCTGATCTGCCTATTAAACAGGATAAGACTTTACAAACCAACGTGGGGTCGACAACATTTCCACTACGGTACTCTCGAGGAACCGAGCCCTCACGAAGATGAGCTAGTGAATATACTAGTTGAACCATTCCAGCTTGACCAAGAGGGCTTCTTGACGCCCGATTCGATGACTCGAGGCTTAGATATTCTGGTAAGATTGACTTATTAACAATATTCTAGTTCTTAATTAGAAAGCTAACTCAAATTCTGGCACTAGCCAAATCTCGAGCTGCGTTTCCATCAACTTTGGGCGATAATATTCCAGCCTCCTGTTTCCGAAGATAGTCCAGTATTGGGAACAGAGTCGCTACCGGATTCCACTATGAGCGACATACTCCGTGCAGTATCATTATTTTTACCTCCAGTAAAAGAGTTCCATGGAAAACCTGAACTTGCACGGAAAATCAGGCCGGTCTCGTTCGAAACCATATACCAATCGTCAACGCAAGATTCAAACGATAGCTTGGCTCTTACTCATATTATCCAGAGTGTTACCGAGGAAAGTTACGAGAGTCGGCCTCACCTTCTTCTTTTCCTCGCGGACCAAACCCAGAATCCGAGGCATATTCCAGAAATCATGGGCGCCTTTTACCCCGCCACTCCGAAGAAAAATGCTACTAAAGAAGAGGATATGTGTGAGGAAACAGGCAAAACTGAAGTCGTTCCCCTACAGGTCGGCCTTCCACAGCTTCTCTTCCAACTTCAACCAAATCTCAGTTTATTCCGACTCGATGAAACGAAACATACCTCTCCACCTTCGGTACATGGATTTGCAGAGCGGTATGTCGACAACCTAGCTGCAAAGTACTGGATAGGCGACCTAGAGGAGTCCGAAGTCGGCTTGAGAATTGATCCAGTGACGAGACAGGCGACGTTCGTGCTGAATCAGGTCGCTGCCAATCGGTGCCAAAATATATACAAGGACGTGCTCACGATTAACGAGAAACGCGAGGCTTCGGGTGAGAAGATGGACGACGGTATTAGGGCAAGCTTCACGGTTACTCAGGTTGCCGTCTACAGGGTATATGGTGGCGACGAGTTTGACCCTTGGAAGGCTAATGCAGATGGAGTGATAAGACAAGTTTAAATTGAAAGAATAGCTTTAGGCCATTGGCACTAGATATTTTTTCGCTTGCTAGGAAGCTAGTCACTTAAGCGTTATCCAAAAAGCACATATCTAGTCCGGGGATTTTTTTATGGTTGCTATCGTGTAATAGACTTTTCCGGCTTCTTTTTCGTCTTCAGAATTCAACTTCTTGATTTTTTTTACTGACCAAGGGATATGGAACCGTGATATGACCCGGAAACAGCATCTTTGCAGTTGAGAAAAGATGTACCCGCCCCCTGTAGTCGGGACCGGGTAACCGCTCTCGCTGGTGAGGTCCCGACTACAGTATTCATGATCAGAGACTGTCACAGTAGTTAATTAAATTGGGTAATCTGTCCAATTGCCGCATCTTGACGTTGACTCACCTAATCTTCCCAATACGAAGCATCGTGCCCCGAGTTGGATGGATCACATTAAGCAGAATTCTCCCGCTTATCTGCTATATACACAGACATGATAGTTAGACAGAAAACCATCGATTTCATCATTGTCATAGATTTGACTACTTGGTAAATTTACTAGTGAATACGCCTATTCCCCCACTTCCACGGAGACCCCACAATGCGCCTGATATTTTAGCCTCTGGGAGCTCTGATGATCAAACTGATTCTAAGAAAAGAAAGAATCAGCACCAGCAAGACACATTAATAGATTTAAACATGCTTGGAACCTAAGGAAACTATTTTTTGAACAGAGGTGCTTGAGTACCTCAATTTCTAACTTAGATTTACCAATTCTTTCTTTGCTCTCTTCGGATATGTTATTGGAAGATATAGATTAAGTAAATGGTGGTCAACCGAATATCTCTTTCCTGCGATTTTCCCTATCTCAATAAATTGGAAAGAACTTGATCCCCGGACAACTATAATTTATAGACATAGGAGCGGAAAAAAAATTTCGCATCGACCTCGACAATCTGCTTACTGAACTATATCAGGTTTCTCAGCTTGGATCGTCATCGCTCTAGTATTTGATTCTCTTGTACAAATAGTGCGCAAAATCCCTGCAGTTGTTAAGCCATGGGTGATACCCGCCCCCCCTTATCAGTGTCTTTTCTCCGTTCATCTCATTCTTGAGTTCCTCTGCCTTGTTGCGAATCCATTGGTTATTGTCTTTGGCATTTTCACTGATACGACCCATCCACTTCCATTCATAATTGGGGCGATCTAAGTCCATGACTCGAATGTTTCGTTCACGGAACCTAATCGTCCCATCGTCGTCAAAATTAAGGTCCCAGATGGTAGTTTTCCAATCCAAATAATGGCGTAAGATAACTTTTTCCGGTTCACCATTGCAGCCAGGTTCGATGATCTTATCATGATGTTCTGTGATAAAGCCCGTGGCTAGCCCATAATGTTTCGGCCATTTCACCGTCACAGTTCTATCAGTGAATGGGATTTTCAATGTTCTGTCATACGTTGACTCTAGAGAATTAGGAAGATTGTCAGTCTCAATTCATATTACATGTTTTTCAGGAAAAGGACAAGAAAATGAAAACTGGGGAAAAAAAAAGATTTGCATACTGAAAGACATAGCATAACCCCCGGTAATTGGATACATCCCGAACAATCCCCCCCACCAAGGGCATTTACTGTTAAGAAAGTGGCACTCTGGCGAGTAACCCTCTTGAGTTTCAGTAGGAATCGAGACTCGTTTGACATTCGTAGGTAGCTCGTCTGTCGTCGTAGAAGGAGCATATACTGGATCCCCATCAGATGTCACAAAAATAACGGGAAAAGGTTCAGAGAAGTCAGAAAAGGCGGATGGCTGATATTTTCCTGGACTATCTATACCTAGCAGTGCCCATGCACCTTCGGTATTATTGTTCTGATTCTCTTTGGGGCAGAACTAAAGCATATCCTGTTAGGGGTTGATAACCAAAAAGTAATCTATGAGATCCTTACCCAACATTCAGGACCACCGACAATAGGGACCGACGTCGCATGGCCATCCGATCCAATTATGGAAGTATGAGTGTTCTCGAAAACATTTGGCACGAAGGAGGGCGTAACAGAAACGGGGATCGGATCAGCCGACCAAGGCTTCTCGAGGGAAGAGGACACAGGAGATCCCCGAATTCCAGATATTAGGGTCAAGAACGCTAAACACAAGCCATTCTCAGCTGAATGAGGTATTGATAACATCTTCACCTTAGAAGCAACCAGGACAGTTGATCAATTGAATATTTGGGGTACTGGGTGGGGAGAAATGAAAGGACTTAAAAATCGATATAGAACACTCGTCAAAGGTCCCATATATCACCTCACTAGATTCCAATGCCCTCGCATGAAGAATCAGCCATAAAGAGGAGATTTGAAGAGATAAATGATCCTTTTCATAGCGCAAGGACCGTGATCGTTGGGGTTGTTTTGGCCAGGAGTCGGCCCGATATATTTCGGGGCCACCCTCAACTTGAAGGCTTTGGTTTACTGCGCAAGCTCTTACATGGAAATTATGCAGACATATATGATACTTTCGGAGACACAAGGACCATGATCGCTAGGGTTGTTTTGGCCAAGGAATCGGCCCGACATATTTCAGGGCCGCCCCTAACTTGAGGGTTTTTTGTATATTGCGCAAGCTCTTATATGGAAAATACACGGTAATTAATGGTTCTTTTGGAGGTGTAAGGACCATGATCGTTGGGGTTGTTTTGGCCAGGAGTCTGCCCAATATATTTTGGGGCCGCCCTCAACTTGAAGGATTTTGCAGAAATAATCATTCTAGTATTGTTCATGTTATTTTGCCTAATCGGCGTCCAAAATTAAACCACTGTCCCTAGTTCGCGGGCTTTGTTGTTTAACACCGGGGAGAGCTGGGATTAGATTGTGGCACGTCAAGTTCATTATCCCGAATCTCTCTCTGGGCTCAGCGCTCTTCGTCGTCAAACCCCTTCTTCTTCTGCTGACAGTAAGGATGCTCCGGTGTAAGAGGAGGATGAAACTTGGGGGCGTTCAATTGCTAAGCTTTTCTTTGCATAGTATTTGAAAACCACCTAACGCCTATAGAAATGCCTAATTCACTATACATTTATAGCACGTATAAAAAACTTGTTCAAATAGAAACCGAAGGAATATGTGACTACGGATGTTTAACTCGCTATTTCAACCTGATCAAGCCGTTTTACTATAAGAGCAGACGACAAGACAATCAAACGTTGTTTTGGAAGAGGGCCGCGGTACTATTTGTTAGCTTACAAAGGCAATAGTAGATATTCACGTTTACCAAGTTACGGGAGCTTTGTCGAAAAAGACTGCATGAGAAAAAACTACGTAGCAAAATGCCGATTTGTGAGAATGTTACCTACTTAATTTATCGGAATATCGGCCGTATAAGTTTTTATCCGTTGGTTAGTCCTGAATATGATAAACGGGTTGGGTTTAGACGGAAGTTGTACTTTGTACGTGTACGCACAAGGAGATATCTAGTTGTTGTATCTTGCATCTCGCTTAGCGATGGGCCAGGATAAGAAATAATCCACCCATTTATCCACCTGTCCGTTGTACAGTATGAAGACAATCATGATATACATCTGGATCAACATGGGTTTCGATGGAGGGGAACTGCGATAGAGGTTTGTAGGGTTGATAATCAAGTGCTCCTGGCTGTTTTAACAGAGATCTTTTAGACTCTATTTCCTTTGACTTCTAGGGTTTCTTTCTAACGAGGCAAGCTAAATATTCAGTAGAGGAAGAAAGTAAACACTCTCACCGTATTTTAAGTGAAGAAAAAGGAGGAGTATTTGAGTAATTTTATCCAACTCGGAACGGGGATTCCTATGAAAAAGAGTGTAAATACCTATACAAAAGGGATGAAGATCCCTGTTCTTTCAAGGTGCAAAATATTCACCAAGATGTCGACTCCGTACTGCCAAGAATCTGCAAACGGGTTCAGTGGTCACTGGCACGCTGGATATTGGGGTTATAAAGGTAAAACTCTCGCAACTCCGCGTTCTACTCTTTAGTCTTCTGTTGGGCTGTGTTTCTGTACCAGTCTTTAGACACGAGGGCCTCTTAATGCTGGAGGTTGTTGCTAGCATCTGGAATTCATCCCATAGAAAGAGAGATATCTCGTAAAGGTACAGACTAAGTTTTTCGAGCAGATAATCGCAAAGCGCTTCTAGCATGGATGGTGTTATACTTCATCTTCGGCCGGTACGATTTTGCGAACAAATAGTCCAAGTCCATCAATTTTCACTCTTTTTTTGTCCTCCGGCTTCATCGCCTTTCATTTCCTTAAGCTCCACGCGAGTATTTTCAAATGTTTGAGCCATGGGACCGGAGATCCAAGATCAGACTCTCAACACGATGACGGATTTCGTGACGGATAACCCGCACAGCGTCTAAGCCTTGCCCGGCAGGGTCCTCAAGTTTCCAGTCGAGATAGCGCTTTCCAGGAAAGAACGGGCAGACATCCCCACAACCCATAGTGATGACAACATCGCTGGCTTCAACCGCGTTGGAAGTTAGGATCTTGGGGGTTTGGTTGCTGAGGTCGATGCCTTCTTCACGCATGGCTTCGACGACGGCGGGATTAATAGAGTCGACTGGGGCCGATCCGGCGGAGCGAACTTCAACGGTGTCACCAGCAAGATGATTAAGGAATCCGGCGGCCATTTGCGAACGACCGGCGTTGTGGACGCAGACGAACAAGACGCTGGGCTTATTAGCCATTATTGGTATGCCTTTCAAGTGATGGGTTGAGTAGTCCTCGTCGAGTAGCTAGCTGAATATGAGGGGCGAGATTATCACGGTAGCAGGAATTGGCTGATATGAAAAGTAGGTGCCTCCAAGATGTAGCATGAATCAAAGAAAAAGGGATATAGTGATGCGATTTTCGTAAAAGCAAGAGGGGCAGATAGACTGTTCTTAGAATTTATATACCACGTGGTGGCTTAAAAAGGGGACGAGTTAATAACCCATTAATCTAGAACATTCTCATGTAGAGGGGTCCCACATCTAAACAGCGTTTGTCGAGTGTCATTTTGTGAGTCGTAATGGCAGTACATATCGAAGACGCATCTGGAATAGAGCTCAAATTGTCAAGGTCAAGATTACCGTCTACTAGTCATTTGAGATAATCCATCTCAGGTTTTAGTACTGAGCAAATATGGCCTGGAAGCTACTCTACTACCGGGGCCGTAGGAAGCTGTCATTTGAAGACTACTCCTGCACGGTCTGCTCTCTAAGCCAACCTGTATGTCACTTCGACACTATGATTGGTCGAGAAGTTCTGGGGTTAAAAATGCAGCATTTTCCTCTTGGCTATTATTGGTCAAGTCCGCCAGATCGTCATCCGCCCTGTGTGATTGGTCACGAAACCAAACATCGTTCGCGACTTTTCGATCTTAACGCGGTAACATTTCCTGCATTTCTCATATGCCTAAATATTGTCCTTCGGTTTACTTTATGGTCCTGCGCTTACTAATGCGAGCTTGATGACAATCTTTTATGGTTCAGAATGAATCTGATGACCAGCTCGCAATCCTTTTTCCGATTAGTGGTGACATACCAAGAACACCAAACTGCCCAATCAGCTACTGAAACCAGCCGTCCATCTCCACAATAATGACCGCAGATATGACCCCTCTCAGACAATATAAAGTTAGACTTGATCCCCTTCAAAATGATCAGTTTCTATTTTTGTTAAAGCACCAAGTTAATTTGATAATCTTAACAGAACTGTGTTCTCCATTTCTCCGTGTTGAAGCATATATCCACTCAATGAGCTCGGAACACACTTATCGTTCTGTGCAAGAACACTATGCAGGAGTTGCGAACCAAACCGACCCTATTAATCAGGGAACCTATGAACAAAAGGTCGCAACCGCCTTTGGATACGATCTAGAGGACTTACGCTCTATTCCCGGCAATGCGAATCTAGGTGTGAGCTGTGGGAACCCTTTAGCAACAGCAAATATCGGCCTAGTAAGATCCATCCAGGTAATACCCCTTAGCGCCGGTGTTAATGTCCATATGTAGGGCGAGACTGTGGTTGATTTAGGTAGTGGTGGGGGCATCGACGTTTTGCTTGCCGCAAAGAAAGTTGGGCCGGAAGGAAAGGCCATTGGTATTGATATGACGAAGGTACGCCGAATATTCTCTGCTGATATAACCGTTCGTTTTGCTTAAGCTTAGCAGGACATGCTTGAATTGGCGCGTCAGAACGCGAGGAATGCTGGAGCTTCTAATGTGTCGTTTATAGAGGCGTACATTACCTCCATCCCCTTACCGTCATCGACTGTTGATTGCATCATCAGTAATTGTGTTGTAAATCTGGTGCCGGAAGCCGAGAAACCCCTTGTGTTTCAGGAGATATTTCGCCTCCTGAGGCCTGGAGGTAGGGTTGCAATCAGTGATATTCTGGCAACACAAGAGCTTCCAATGGATATCAAAAGGGATCTCTCCTTGTATGTTGGCTGTATAGCGGGAGCTAGCCAGGTCGGCGATTACAAAAGATACCTAAAAGAAGCAGGGTTTCGAGGTACAAAACTGTTTCCCTTCCCTTCCCTTCTATTTTTGAGTTGATCCCGGGCTGATATTAAGCATATAGATGTGGTGATTCTCAACACCAACAGCGATCTAAACATTTACAAGGAAATGTCGCCAAGAGAAGAGTCTGATATATCGGGCCCTGCCAGCTCATGCTGTGATCCTGCGAAACTCAGTACATCCAAGAAATTGCCAACCGTAGATTTTAACCTCTGGACTGGTAAGTTAATCTAAACGCAGTCAATAAGATATATCGCTAACCACAGCTCGGCTGATGTGTTCGCTTAAGGCTCCTTCAAGATCTTTGCCATAAAGCCCGACACTCAAAGTTGAGAACACCGTGACTTAAGCGCAACACGTAAATTCCCGACGTAATGAAGATAAACTATTCAACATAGTTTGGAGTATCGTGGGATCTGTATATAGTTTTGAATTAGCCGAGTGAGGAAATTCCGTAATATTTAGTTAGCTAAATTGTGCTATTTACAATCCGATATTTAGGACATGTCTGGATTCATACAGCTGTATGAGAATTCCTCTTCGCGTCCTTCAATCTCTTCTCCTCTCTTTCGCTAAAACGATCACCAAAAAGCTCGATGTGGGGCCGCATTAGGATTGTATATTTGACAAATTCCTCCATACAATCCACCAGACGATCCCGGTTGCCACTAGGCATGAGCCGTTGATCCTCCGGTTGACCTTCATCCGGAAAATGGGTGTAAGCCTTCGGAATCGAAGACTGATTGGTGATGGTGAACATCCGCATCCAGCGACCGAGGATACGCAAGGAGTTCACAGCATTAAACGATTGCGATCCACCACACACCTGCGCAATAGCAAGCGTCCGGCCTTGAGTCGGACGGACACTTCCAGTGCTTAGAGGAATCCAATCAATCTGGTTTTTGAACACCGCAGTCTAGTCATGAAGAATGAGGGAAAATGAGTATTTATAACATCAAATCTAAACAAGGAGTAAAAAGAAGGGAATTACTGACCAGATTCCCATGCTGCTCAGGTGAAACCCAGAGGTGCCCATCACTCCACTTACTTAGTTCGCGGAGTTCTTGTACTTTGGGATGTCCATGATCGCTATCATTCTTCATTGGAAGACCTTCAGGATCGAAGACGCGCACATCACAGCCGAGTCGGAAAAGGATCCTCGAAGCTTCAAATGCCACCAGTCGCGAATATGATCTTTTCCGGAGACTGCCATAAAGTACTAGCACCTTGACCCTCTCATTCGTGAGCTTAAGGCTACTCTCTGCAATGTCCAAAGCAGTGTTAAGCTCGAGACCATCGATCCAGTCCTTTGCTGTATCGTCGCTAAGAATGAATGGCCGGTACTTTTGCCGGATAATGGAGTCATCTTCACTTGAACATAAGGCCAAGGTTCGGTAGTCAGAAACCCGTAGGACTTTATCTGGGCCGTCAATTTGGGCGGTGTCTGCTGCCACTTGTTGAGGAATAGCGGAAAAAAACATCTTCGAAGAATTCTGCCGAGACAGGGATAGACTTGAGTAAGGTACTCCTAGCCTGAATGTCGACAAAAATCTTGACGCAAGGCAATTTAATCTCGTGAGGCCGACATTTAGCATAGTGCTAGGTAAAAAAATGAACAGACTTGAGAAAAAGATTTCTCGACAGAGTCTGATCTGTATAGACGGCAGTATGTCACCGGCGAATGATGATTGGATGTAACGCCATGCCTGCAGGGTGACTAATGGGCAATGGTCCCAAATTACTAGGCCGAGTTGCGCTGCTACGTAATGTAGCTACCGAGGCGGCTAAAACTTCACAGACTTACCTAGAAGGATCGATTCAAGAAGCGACGAGTTGCTTCAAGCCGATTTACACCCGTACCTTTGGTGGATTTGATTTCTTACTGCCGAGAATGCAGACCGGCAACACCGGGGGTGTGAAAGAGCTTCGCCCGGCTTCGTCGGCTCGAGTCCGCGAAAACCAGCGGCGTTCTCGCGCACGGCGCAAGGAATACACTCAGTTCCTTGAGGAAAAACTACGGTCATTCGAAAGGCTTGGTGTAGCCGCGTCGCAGGAAGTTCAAGAGGCCGGGAGAAAAGTCGCAAAAGAGAATGCCCTCCTCCGATCGCTTCTGATACTCCACGGCGTCTCAGAAGAAGAAATCGAAAAATACCTGCAATCACAGGCGACCTATATTCCATCAATATCGTCCTCTGCAATGGCAACTTCACACTCGCCAAAAGCGCCAAGTGATCCACTTGTGAATTATCACCATACGTGCACAACTCCAATGAAGTTAAACAGTTCGCCATATCAGCTTGATACTACCGGGACTGAACGTTCGATATCAAAGTCAACTGCAGAAAGATACATGAGTCTTGATACCCAGAGCTCCGGGGCAGAGCGGCCAGCAGTACTTAGTTCCGACGCTTCCGGAACTAAAGTGCAGCAGTTTAGTGACGACCAGGGTATAGGTCAATTCACGTCTTGCGAGAATGCAGCCAGAATTATCGCAAGCCTGCGGAACAACCCCGATATCCGTGATGTAAGGTCCGAACTTGGTTGTGATTCGGAATCAAATTGCATGGTGAAGAATATGTCAATTTTCGACGCCCTAGATAAGGGATCGGGATGAACCTGTAATAACTCAGACAGTTCCCAATAAGAAGGGCTGGTCTAGTCAATGGAGATATAATGCATCCATTCTTTGACTAATTACAACACATTGTACAGACAATATGAGTGTTGGTTTTCGAAGACCGGAGAATAGCAAACCGAGCGTGTCAGTAGTACAGTAAAATGGAACGCTCGACCAATAAACACCCGCCCACCAGCCACACATAGTCACATGTATGTATCTAAATGTGGTGACATGCCACTTTTGTGTGACTGGCAAGATGCTTTTGCAATCAGTCGTCCTTCAAAGGATCAAGTGGTAAATAGTAATATTCCTCCGAGATCCCTTATTTGGAAGTTCTCTGCCCAGTCAACACATTCAAGATATGATATAGAGGCTCTAGAAATATTCCAGAGTCCCAAATTTTTCCTCCTATCCACATATCAAGTTTATCCATACTTTCCTAGATAACCCAATACCAGCGAAAATAATTCAACCCCAGTGTAAATTGTCCCAGGTCTATATATGGGGGATAAATGTGGTCCAATTTACATCGTAATAAGCCTCCACGGGCAGCGAATAAAACGAAGCCAGGCCTACAATCAGTAGCCCGACCCGAGAAATCATGTAAAAGACCAGCAAAACCTTCCAAGAGATAGACACGCTCTCGTTGGTCATATACTGGTCACACCAAATCAGGACGTAAATAAGTGTTGGCAAGCCGACTCCCATGTACGTAAATACCCTCCAGGCCAGCCACATATCCGAATTGAACAAAGCCGAACGCACCCAGAGATGGACGCCGTTGTAAAAAGTCGCGAGGAAACTTAACAAAAGAAACAAAGCCCACATATACCCCCTTACCTCGCGCTTGTTGTTCAGATAGGCCGGGAACAGTGAACCGAAAGGGATCCGTTGGATAGCAAGGGTGTCACCGACCTGCTTGTCATACCATTGTTGTAAATGATCGATATCTATTCAATTGTCCTCACGTCCAGCTTCTTCGGGTAAACCAATTTTATCGGCACGCAAACGTCCTTGGGCTTGCACCACTGAAATCCATAGGTCCAGAGACTGATGACAGTAAACAGGACCGCGTTAACTTCCAGCGCCGTCACAGGGAGACCCTCTTCGTATCGCGCGAGGCACTGGACAATCGTCCAGAACCCCTGTAGCACAGCAAAGGCACGGGCAAATGCATCCACTTTGCTCCTGTCTTTGATAACTGTCTCCTCCATGTCGGGGATTTCCAGCGACCCATCCGTCACAAGAATTCTAAGGGACTCAGAGTTCAGAGGAAAGTCGTGCAGTTCTGGTGACTCGAGGACAAACCCGCCCATATTAGCGAAGAATGCATGCGTTGTGGTTCAGTGCTTGCCGCGTGGGAGCTCTGTGATTGCTTTTCGTGACTGTCGTGCTAGGCCGAACTCGATGAGAGCGATCGCTGCCAGGACCTCTGGAAATACTATTGTGATGGCCATCCATTTAAGTTTCCTTCGAAATTGCTGGCTTTTTGTTTCCTGCGGGCCAGGTAGGTTGAGTTGCAGGATGGACCAAGCGCATGCGAAGAAGGTTGCTAGACAGCTATATAGGATGTCGAATGAGTTTCGGAGAGGAGATGCAGAGACCCAGCCAATACGCGGGGAATTTCTGCTGCAGATTTCATTTGGGCTGCAGTATGAGCTGAGGGGTGTTGTCTGCGGCGGTGATGTATTACTTCAATTGACGTTGTCGCCGCGAACGCTGCAGCAGAGGTGAAGAGTAAGAAGGACAAAGTGTAATGAAGGGTATGCATCATGTTGTCCCTTTGGGGAATTCAAATCGTTCGAACACAGCAAGGTGAGTAGAGAAGCGCAGCCAAAGCAATAAAGGAAAGAGATAAGAGAAAAGAATTTCGAGGCGTAGCAGCGACCCCATCACTTCTTATGAATGCGCCGCTAGCTTCGCACGGATGGTTCAGCTGGCAAATGGCCGCAGACAAAATAAAAGAAAAGAATAGGCGAAAGGCATGATGGTGGGCTTCCTGTATAGACCAGGCTGCATCTCGGAGTAAAACCTTTGCTGATTGGTCGGGCTGTCTCGGGGTACAGTTGGGAGCTGCAGATACGAGGCTTTGCCCCATTCAGTTTTTGGTTTTTTACGCCTAACAGATCACCCTCCGCCAGAATGTTCCATTCGAGAATAGATACAAAGTTCAAAAGCAGCAGTTTTGATAGACAAGGAAGTAATGAAGATAGTTTAGGAAGAACTGTGTATGTCGTTGGTTCTGGCCCACTCGCTTGAGGATTACGTTATCACTGTTATCAGTCCGTCATTCCGTCCGTCCATCAGTCACACCCTCTCCTTCGTTGGCACCGGAGATGCTGAGCCTCCTAGATGTTCTTCAAGGCTCTGGACCTGACCACTGCACTCCGGCCGTTGCTGTTGCCCGATGAGACCCTCCTCTTTGTCCAGGATGCCGTGGGCTTGTATGAAGGGTGAGTGGAGTTGTTTAGGCGATGACTCGCATGACCACCGCTAACTCGCGAATTGAAGCAAATACAAGATCCCACACTACCAGAACGGCCATGCCTACCTTACATCTCATCGTGTGTGCTATGTTGCCGCCGAGGAGCCGCGGAAGTACTCGGTGGGCATCGACTTGAAGGAAATCGATCGAGCAGAGTACCAGGTGGGGGGACCTCTTGTTTTGTTAGGTCGGAACGACAGCTACTGACACCCCTTTCAGGCAGGCTTCCTCAAATCCTCCCCCAAGGTCACTATATATCCCAAGCCGCATAAGAACAACAGAGCCGACGGGTCCCGAAGCGCAACCGCGAGTCCTGCCGTCCCACCACCATCGACCAACCTACACTCGGTGAAGTCATTGTCGACTCTGTCACAATCTACCAAATCTCCTCCCCCAAAGCCGGTCAATGCGACTTGGATCTGCCCGATCTGCTCCTTCTCCAACCCCGTCCCGTCTAATTTTGACCCTGCCACGGCTACTGCTGCGACGCATCTACCACCCTGCCTGGCATGCGGTATTAAACCACCGTTTACAACAGTCCTCAAAGCAGCCATCAACGCTGCAACAAGTCGGGAACCTTCTCAACCCCCTGTATCAACAGCGGAACCTCATACTCAATCAAATGGCGGCTCATCTCTTGGGGCCGAGCGTGGCGGGTCGGTATCATGTCCACGATGTACTTTTGTGAACCATCCATCTCTGGTTGAGTGTGAGATATGCGGTGCTCCCCTGAGATCGGCTGGCGCAACTGCAGGTGGCAACCGTGCCGATTCCCCTGCTCCGTTCTTCGAGCAGGCACGAGTTACAAACACCGAAGTCAGTGAATGCATCAAGCTTTCCTTCCGTGATGGCGGGGTACAAACGTTCCACGAGCGGCTCAAGAATGCCTTAATCCAGCGGAAGTGGCTACTTCAAAATGCACCTCCGGTACCTCCTCCATCACAGGCTACGTCCTCGGCGAGTGTGTCGGCAACTACAACATTTGAGAGCCCTCAGCCGGCGCCAGCACGGTCCCAGGGCGTTGGAATTGCTGGTCTGGAACAGCGCGGGTTTGAAGCCCGAAAGAACAACGAGATGGTGATCGGCAATGCCTTTGAAGATCTCGAGGCTCTGATGGCATCAGCAAAGCAGATCGTTGCTTTGGCGGAAACCCTCGCACGAGAGTCTGGAATGGCCAGCACCGAGGGCTCCGCAGAGACCAACGCCGTGCTGTCCGAGTCTGCGGCAGCATTGGGGATGGTGACGACCAAAGACATGCTCCGGTCCGGATCGGAGAATCTTTATTTGTCTGAACTATCCCGCAATCTTGCCGAATACCTGACCGATGACCGAAAGGGGATCCTGTACCGGGAAGGGGGCATTATGAGCCTGATCGACCTGTGGGCCGTTTTTAACCGCTCCCGCAATGGAGTCGAACTGGTTAGCCCGTCCGATTTCCAGCGGGCGGCGGAGTTGTGGGAGAAGCTAAAACTGCCGGTCCGACTCCGTCGATTCAAGAGTGGGTTGTTGGTGGTCCAACGATACGACTGGAGCGACGACAAGACACTCCGCCAACTCCAGGATTGGATGGAGGATCTGCGACAGGTCCCGCCCGAAGAGCCCCTCGCATGGGACTGGACTCAGTTCGGACGCGCGGTGACGGCACAGGAGGCCGCACAGCGGTTCAAGTGGAGCGTCGGGGTGGCCGCAGAGGAACTAGAGATGGCGGAGGACCGGGGGATTCTCTGTCGCGAGGAGGGCATCGAGGGGCTGCGCTTTTGGGCCAATCACCTTGGGGTGTGAGATACTAGAGCGGACTGGGGTGATGGTAAATCCCTAGGTTGCAGTCCTGGCTCCACCAATTGCGACGTGAACGGTTGCTAGGGGTTAGCGATGACGCGCGAAGGATTTGAGCGATTTGGGACACTTGGCGAATGACGTCAAGCCCGGGTTGGGTCAGGCTCCCCGCAATCGGTGATTGGTTCACCCCGGACGATCTATCAATGCACTCCCCGCTGGGTCGGAGGACTCTGGTCCTATCCACTGTTATATATCCCTAGAATATCCGACATGCCATAGAGAGACCATTCATTTTTCTTCTTCATATACAATTGTCTTGCATTCTCACGTGTCGCTCTTTTGGACACTCTTTCGGGATTCATTCACGATGAGTTCCTCAGTCGCCATCTCCGCGGCGGCATCAACGGGCTCGCGCCACGCCCGCCCTGCCCTATCGCCGCTGGTGGCAACACAATATTCCCGCAGTATCTATCGCTGTGCACGGAGTCAACGGGACCAGAAGGACCACACTCGGCGATCTCGATCCAACTTCTCAGATCTGTCCGCGACACGCAGCTTCTGGGAGGCAGAGCGCGAGCAGATGCAGCAGCGTATGGAGGCGCTGAGTGCCGATCCCGTCGGTGCGGTCTTCGGACGGAAACTGGAGCCCTTCCAGGCGTATGAGAAGTGGTCGGGCTACGTCCAGTCGTTCTCGCAACAACGATCGTCACCGATTGTGGACTGCCCGCCCGGCAGTGAAATCGAGGCCAAGTTTGTCTCAAATCCGTCCTTAGTTGAGGATGGTCAGTTCCAGCCCGGCAGCTTCAAGCCGCAGCAGTCAAAACCCATCACAACAGTCTATGCCGACCCCGTGGATTGCTCACCCGGCAGCGAATTGGAGGCTGCTATCCGCTCCAACCCGTCCAGCTTCAATGGTGCGCAATATCGGCCCCAAGTGCCTGGTGACCAGTCCGCGAAGCCCAATGTCAACATCACGTGTGCTCCTGGCAGTGAGCTGGAAGCCATGTTCATCTCCGAGTCTGTCCGCTCCGAAAACGACCAGCCCCAGGTCGGAGTCTACCAGGTGCAGGCTAGCACTAAGCAGCTCAACGGCGACGCTGGACTCAGCAACCGCACAAATGTCGAGTGCGCGCCCGGCAGTGAGCTGGAGGCGATGTTCATGTCTCACCCCGCCGCCACAAAAGACCAGAGCCGTCCCGTGGAAGCGTTTGGACAACCGATGAACACGAGCAATGTCCCTGTCGACTGCCCCCTGGCAACGAACTGGATGCCCAGTTCATGGCGCAGTTCGCGTCGGTGAATCTCGAGGCGGACACCAAGGCCAGCTCGAGCATTGACTGCTCGCCTGGCAGTGAGATCGAGGCCATGATTACTTTTGAGGCTCAAAATGAAGGTGCCTCTATCGACTGCCCTCCGGGGAATGAATTGGAGGCTAAATTCATCGCCGATCCCGCCGCTGCTGAGGATGGACAGTTCCAGCCTGGTCTGATGGCACAGCCTTCTCCCGTAAAGAACGCCAACGTATCTGTCGACTGCACGCCCGGCGATGAACTGGCAGCCAAGTTCCTTTCCGAGGCAGCCAGCGAAAATGCCGAGGCCTTGACCGCCAGCGCTATTCGCGCCCGCTACACTTCCACGGAGGCGCAGCGCGAACTCCGGCCTCTGCAGTTCGACGGCTCAGAGGACCGTGTCGGGGACTTCCTTGCCCAAAACGAAGCCCTGGTCCAGGATATTGAGGCTGCTGCCACATATCGCATCCTCTCGTACGATGTCACATCGAAGCAGGTGACGACTGCAGAGGCCGACTCGTTCTTCGGATCAGGCGAGAGCAGGACACCAAACCAGGTCCTCTCCCGTCTTCACAACCCTTCCAAGTTCACGCCATACCTCGAGCAGCTGCACAAGGACGGCTATGAGATCGCCACCGGCGGCGGCGACATCCTGGTCCTCCGCAAATTCGAATCTTCCATGCCTGGCGCACAAGACTCCTCCGAATTGGCAGCTGCCAACGCCGAAATCGCCAAACACATCCGCCACGACTCACTCCAATCCACCCCCCAGAACAACAAGAGCCGAGTGGTCACAAGACAGGAAACCGTGTTTACAGGTGGGCCTCCCAATTGGTCCCCGTGGCCACCAACCTCCGCGGCTGCAAAGAATGAAGCTGAACTTGGAACTCTCTCGCAATCTAGATCCTCGTCCTCATCCTCAACATCAGCATCTCACACCGCGCTTCGGCGAATGCTCCTGGCAGGCACCGCGACCGCAGCCTCGTGCTACGCCCTCGGAGTGGTAACGGAGTTCTTCCGTACCGGCGGGGCAGAGGGGCGCGGCATTGATGCCTTTACGGCCTTTGAGTCGGAAAGACGGCGGTACCGACAGTGAAGAAAGAACCTCCGGCCAGGTTCTTGTGTGTTTTTCATGTCCGCTTATGACCCTTTTGACCTTCTTGCCATGCGATTGATTTCGCAGGTCTGGTTTTTCCTCGGTGGGATTGACTCATCCCGCTCCATTCCCTTTTGACTTGATACCTTACCATCATATACCCCATGAGCCATGTTACTTATTGCATGATATCGGATTGCATTGCTGTCATATCTAGAATTAGACAGAATGAAAGAATGACAAGATTAGATTTACATTTTCTCCATCAGTATCGTACATTATTCGCTCGCTAGTCATTAGGGCATGATCTCGCCAACAACACAAACAAGAACACCCCGAAATTCACTCGTCTCCGACGTCTGCATCCAGATCTCCATCATGCTCAAAGTAATCCCCGTCCATGTCATTCTCCTGACCATCACCATCACTCCCTCGCTCAGGTCCATCCCTCTCCCCCGATAATCCCTCCTCTATCTCCATTTCCATCTCAATCCCACTCTCCGTCTCCCTCCCCAACATAGCCATCTCCTCCTCGCGATCTCTCCACACAAAATCCCACCAGGGCTGCCTACTGCCCTGCAGACTACTAATGCGGTCACCATCACTCCACCGCATAGCCTCCCTCAGCCTAGCGGCCTCCTCATCCTCACGCTTCCTATCCATCTCCTCCCTCTTGAACCGCTCCTCTAGCTCACTAAGCCGCAGCACCTCCATCTCCAAATCATGCTTAACCCGCTCGTCAGCCTCAGCATCAGTCTCAGCATCGTCCTCGTCCTCTTCCTCCTCATGCATAGTAGGAGTTGCGCCGCCGGGGTTGGGGAATGGATGTCGCCGGAATGTATCCATCAGGGCGCCGCACCGCGCTTGCCCGCTCAGTAGATACAGGTGCAGGGCTACGAGGGCTTGCACTGCGGCTGCGAAGTCGGCACTCTGCCACAGGTCGTATTCGCGCGTTGCGAGCGCGCGGAACGTCCGCAGATTAGGCTCGTTGTCGAGTCTGCTCAGAGTTGTATGCGCGAGTTGCGCTTGGAGACGCTCGACGTTTTGCGGCGCGTAGAAGCGCGTGCTGTTGCTGCGGTGCCGGGTGCGGCCTCTTTCTTGTTCCCGTTTCTGTCCGTCTTCCGCTTCTTCCTGGTGTGGTTCTTGCTCTTGGTCCTGGCCTTCGGGGATACCGGCTGGTGTAGAGCCGGGGGTGAAGTACTCCATGTGCGCGGAAGATGGTGTAGGCGTTGCAGGAGAGGGTGGCGACGAGGCAGTCAATGGCAGAGTCGATGCCGGACCTGGAACCTCGCGTCTGCACCAGAGACTCGACGTCTTCTGGCCTGGGAAGAAAGCGCGCATGATATGCAGCTTCGAGCCGTGCAGACCCAATAGAAAAATCTCTTGGTCGGGCAGCTTGTCGCCGGGGGGTTGAAGGGGTCGAACATGAAGCAACAGTTGGCCGAGCATGAGCTTGAATTTGCCTTGAAGGCAGGAGAGAAGGGATTCTTCCTCCATTGTCTTGGGGGCTTTTTGTCAGTTTGTATACTCAGGGATGACACCGTTTGACGAAAGACAGACCGTTGAAACAGGCAGAATCGGCAAAGAGCGATACCTCTCGCCCTCAAAGTCTAGCGACAGAAACCCCTCAGCAAATGGCCCATCCTTATGCTTCTCGCGGTAGCCGGTCCAATATTCCATCGGTGTAGAGAGCAGACGCGGTCTATATATGGCTTGATCAGTCCGCCCCAAACAAAAAGCAACTCGGACGATGGGTTGACAACGATACACACCTGAGGTAAAAGTGGCCCTTCCCATCACTCATCGATCTCTTAATCCCCAGCATCTCTCCAATCTCATTCATGAGCGCGTAGATAACCTGTGCTTGCGCGCGCGGCTTCTTCGCGTCCAGCTCAACTCGGCATAGCTCGCTTCCGCCATCCCAGAGCCCCTTGTCGAAGCAGGGGACTTTGGCAAGGGTTTTGAAGACGCCTCTGTAGCGGATGTCAATTATGGACCATTCTTCCAGGTCGACGGTGCGGGCGTCTTCAGTGCCCGTGCGGAAGATCCAAGCCTTGCGTTGGACGGTTGCTGTTTCTGTCAGCGGATTGTCTTTTTGTTTTACTGGGAGATGCGAATATGCGCGCGTGTACAAGTAAGAACGGCGATGGTGAAATAGAACCGGAACTTACAAAATCTGTCCGCCATGCGCAGATACCGCACAGGAACCAGATCCTGGATGGGCCGGTTGAGGAATATCTTTGCGGTCAAGTTGTGCACTTCCAGCTCGTATGGACCGGGATGGGAGGGCGTAACTTCGAGGCTGGTGGGTTGGGGGGCCGTGGATTGAATCTCGGAGGAATCCATGATGACAGGAAAAGGATGATATCACGAAGGGTTGATGAGTTGAACGTGTCAAAGGTACAATCGAAGTGGGTTGAGAGCATTCTTTCCCTTGGGGGATGAAGTGAGTATGGGTTAAAAGAGCAACGAGTATGGGTGGTTTGTTGATGTGGGAAGCGAGGGAAGTGTTTTTGTGGGCAGGCTGGCGAGATTGCTTGCTGGGGATGAAAGGTAAGTCTGCGCGGTAGGAACTACACCTTGATACCAGTAGCTCTAGTCGACAAGCATACATTTAACTAGAAGAAAATTATACTCAGTGGAGGCACTCGATCCTCTGCACATTCTAACTTTTGTGAGTGTAGCTTGAAAGTACAGGTTCTTCATTCTGATATCCTTTACAGCGAGGCACCACCTCAGCCCGCGTTCAGAGTGGGTATTACTTGGCTGATACGCTGCAAGCTAAATCGAGCCTGTCGATATTCTATTATTCTATCTTTCGTGGTCTACAGATGTCCATCGAAGTCTTCCAGACTCGATGACCATTTGGTATCGTAGAGTTGCAAGGACCATGAGCAGACCTGTATACTTACGTACATCACTCTCAACACAACAAGTAACGTCTGAAAGTGCCCAACTTCAACTACATATTTAAGCAAAGGGTATTCAGTCTTGAAATATTATACCCCATGAGCTGCATTCTTGAGGCGGAGGGTAGATGATCACCATGAGTTTTATGGTGCGGGCACTAGATCACATCTTTATCTTTATCATAGGACTCGTATTATGGGACTTATCCTTGTCATTCGAAGAACTATTTTTTAAGATATATCTAGACCTACTAGTTGACTCTGTCCTAATCATCGAGATGTTTTTGGTAATTCTTGCAGGCATCCTTATAGGCTCGATCACGAAAGCGAGGGAATTCGGTCATTTTCTTAGAGGTTATATCATTATGATCGATCCTAAGACGTCTGCCTCGAACCTTTCATTTTGAGTTTCATGAGAAATTGGCTTAGGCTCCCGCGGAGAAGCATATTCGAGAGTGACAGTCGGTACTAGTTCTTGTCAATAGTGCAAAGTCCGTAAAGGAGTTTCTGATGCCATGTGTTGTAGTTTGATTTCCCTTTAGCTTCGGAACAACCTCAAGAGAGCTTTGAAAATTGTCCACCGTTAGACATAATGACTAATAAACTTGTAATGAAGAGAGATATCAGAGAAGAGGCTCGTTGTACAGTCAAGTTTCTCATCTTATCTCTTGCCCTGCACCATGGAATCTGTGCCTGATGATTATGCAATGAAACGTGCTCGCTTGAGGCACAAGTACATTCAAGCGGCGTCGCACCTTCTCCAAGTGCTAAGCTCCGAGGCAAAGGATGCTTATCAAAGTGATGAGCTCACTAAGCTTGGGGTTTCCCTCGGGTCGTTTGACCCTAACTATCAAGACTTCCTCGACACCAAAGCCTGTTTCTTCAAGCCTCTATCCCCAGATGCGCTTAAAGAGTACTCTCTCGACCTTGAAGGGCGGACTCTCTCCTACTACTTGAAGTTTGACGAGATGTACGATCGCCCTACGAGTGCGGAAAGTCCTTCCTCTTCCGATGTTCTAGAGAAGAGAGCAGATCAAATCTTCAGACACCTAGATCTTCTCTACACGAACTACTATAAGAAGAGTGGGAGAGACGTCAAATTTTTTGACGAAGTTGCTGGATGGGACGAGATCAAGTAAGTTAAAAGCGGGTTACTTATCAAATTATTATGCTAATGGTCTCAATAACTTAGGCACGACAATCCATTCTTCGATAGCGGAAGGGGACTATTGATTGATTTCCGCCGCCGTGGAGCTCCAGGCTATGAAACTAGTGCTAGGCGCGAGTGGCAGGGAGAGGATAACGACATAGAGACGATTTGTGCCCACGTTATGCTCGTGATTTGCTCTGGCGCGAAGGCCAAGGATGACGAATTGCTTTTTAGTGAACTTGGCCCTATCGCGCAGGTGATCCAAAACCGCCTAAGCCAGAAGGAGTTTGAGAATACATCGTTCTTCCCGGTATTTTCAAATTGTCTTTTTTACTTAACCCTACTATATAAGCTTACCTTACGTTCTTAAACTTGATAGGTGCTAGCCGTCTCGCTCTTTGGGCCGCGCCACGGCCGCCTCCTACAGGCCAAATTCGACCAGTCCAGTATCTTGAAGGTCCAAATCTCGCCTATCTACAGCTTTCGATACAGGGCCGATGCTCCCTTCAAACTTTTCCTTCGTTACTACGGCTGCGAACCTCGAGCTGGTCCGGAGTCCGAACTCTACAGCGACGAGGATACACCCACCCAGGCAGCTGAGTATGTCTCCAAACACCCTGTACCAGCAAGGAAATATCCCTCAAAAGGAAAACGATGCTCCGTCTACAGAACGGCCATAAAATCTCCATTTCCCTATGTTGACAAGATCAGCTCCGCAGAGCCCGATCGACGAAGAAAAGAGTATTGTATCGTAAACATCTGAAAATAATATAAATGAAATGAAATACCTGAAAAGTCCACTGCATTCATGTTGAAATTCGAGGAGAATCTATAGCGAGATATTTTGCCTTTTGCATCGTGCGGCTTGTATTCCAAAAATACGACGGAATACATGGAAATCTACGACCACCGCTAGACTAATCAGCTTGTGTCAGAGGGAGCTCGGAATGTGGTTTTCTACCGAAGCTTTCCCGGCTGTCCCTGTCGCGCCGTCTCCTGAATTTCGTGGTTAGTAATTGGTGGGAAGTCAATTGGATCGGGATAATCGTAGTTGATTGTGTCCGTAAGGTCGGCGGGTGGGGCCTTGTGAAAGAAGGCAGCTTGGAAGACCGCTGTCTTCCCATCGACAGTCTCCGTCTGAGAAGTCATTGCCGACATTGAAACCAACCCGGTCTTAAGTACAGGAATCTGAATTGACGCAAGACCCACAACAGGACCGGAGGATGGCAGTGCACGATGTCTTATCCGCGATGCAGTATCTTCTATTATTGGCTCTTTGGTGTTAATAATGAGCCAAGAAACAGCCAAGCCAAGGAGGGTCGCGGGATTGCACCAAAAAGAGAGTCCGTAACTTGGCCGTAGTGGCCGTAGCAAGCATAAGCCTCATTATTAATATTCCATCAAGTATCTTGCTATTGGGTCAAATCAGACTGGTCCCTCCTGGTCTGACTCACTAAACGCTGTTGTTTTGATTCAGTGTGGAGTATCATGCGGGGCTAGTCTTGTTTTTGGGCATAGCTCAAGCGAATCCCAGTGTAACACTGCAGGATTAGTTTGCGGCTACTCTGGGGCGACGAGGCTGAGACCATATCTAGACTGATCTGTGACGATCTCGGTTAGTAGCCGCCCCCTGAGGTGCCCGGAGGTTTTTTTTTCTAGATATAAACAGGGAGATGAGGCGCTTTATTTAGGTCCACAAAATTGCATCGCACTTCGCTCGTAAGATTTTTTTCATTCTTGTTCGAGTTTCCATAATGGCGTTTCTGCTCGCTAGTCTCTCGCTGCTAGCGACTGTCCAAGCCGCCAATGTCACTCCCGTCCTCGTTCCAAACGGATGCGCCAGCCTCCCAAACCTTCAGCAGACTGGTCCCGCATCTGGATTCGCGGGTCCCTGGAACATAGTCGTGGATCAGTGTGTAAACAAGACCGCTATAAACAAGGCATGCACTATCGAGGGGTTCGCTGATGTGGCTCGACCCATCACTCTGGATGGTCAGACCGAGGCTAAACGCGGTTTTGTAAGGCCTACCACAACTCAATACACATCAATCAAAAATCAGGATATGCTAACAAAAGGCTTCCAGATCAGTATCGTCAATCGAAAATTTGATGCAAAGTCCTACCTCATCTGCACATCGGGAATTGGATTTGAAGCAATGGTTTACTACGACAACCAAAATGAATATTTGCCCATCAATATCACCAGCAACCCTGCGAATGCTCATTTAAAGTGGGGTCTACCTGAAGAAAAGAGTGAGAAGATTGATGCGTATTATCATTACATTGATGGAAAGAAGCAGGATGGTATTTTCCTTGGCGCCCACAACGTTACTAGTTGGGGTATCCAGCTTCAAGAGAATGTACCCGGTACTGGTGGAGGTCCGATGTGGCAGATCCGTCTGTTGGGGCCTGGAAGCGAAAACCAGAAGACTGGCAAGGCTTTGAGGGAGAGCGAATACAAGACTTTCATTCGCATTGATGGAAGTTGAAATTTGCTGCGCCTAGGGTTGAGCTCCGGGGAACCTATAATTTAATGGCATTCTAGCAAAATCAAGTCAAACAAAAGCTAGGTATCACTAAGAAAATGCTATACTATATACGATAAAAGGAACTGTGAGATCCGAGCTTCTAATTCCTCCAATCAATCAATCTCTTCGTCAGCATCCACAATCAACATCTTCGCTTGCTCGAGACGTTTGTAATAGTGTCTCTACATCCTGGTTGATCCATTTTCATTGATGGTCGGATCGTACTCTGCCACCGTATCATACTTTTTCCCGCCAAGCTCCAGCATCAGCTTCCCGCGTCCAGGGTCATCGAAATCGAACCATCTTAGTTTCTCTGAATGCGCTGCTGCAGTGTTGCCGGCTAATACAATCACGCCGCCCTCGGATGGATAGAACAAAGAATCACCGTGCGCCCCGCCCTGAGGCGCCAGCTCTGGATTCTCAGCCGCGATTTCCTCTGTCGTTCGACCCTTCATCGCTTGGGCGATCTCATCTATCGTTTTGCTCATTATGGATCGATCCAGTGGGCATGTATTTTGTTGGATTGGTGGCAAAGGCTGTACTTTGTTTCTTTCTCTATTTTCTGGAGAAGGGCAGCTGTATCGCTGCGATCGGTAGAATAGTAGAAGAGAGGGTAGAGTAGCGAAGAGGGAGGGAGGGAGCTGAGACGACCGTGAATTCATGTTCTGGTAGGGGTAGGGGGCCATATTTATAGAACTTAGGTGAGATACACTAAGATCGATCCATGTGATGCCAACTGCAGGGTTGCAGTGGAGACAGGAGGGGTAAATCTACGCCACAGAGGTGAAATTCGAGAAAGACTTCAGTAGGACATAACTAACAGCAAACGGGCCTGCTTTGTTTGCCTGTCTAGACTCGTGCGATGAAAATCTGGTGTGAGGGTGATAAGGAGGAGGGATATATATATGTTGAATGAGGATAGACGGTTAGCTACACTAATCTCGTTAATCTCCTCTAATCGAGCACCATATTTACAGACAACCAAATTTTGGCGGTATTCTTATAATAAGAGCCGCATACATTCATACCTACTATTACATGCTACTTAGTAGTCTACCTATAGCCGCTGCACAACACTTATCCGACACCGCCAGCGGGTCGGGAGTCCAACCCCACCCGCAAACCCTCAGATCCGACTACAACCGACTCACCTCTCCCAGACACACAACCACAACCACAACCACAATTACAATTACAATGGCCAAAGCAACACGCACTGCAGTCCGCACAGAGCGGGCCCCCTCCCCGCCTCCCTTCCTGTCCCAGGGCATCATTGTCGGCGACGTGGTCTACTGCTCCGGCCAGGTCGGGGCAGATCCCAGCACTGGCAAATTGGTTGCGGGGAGCATCCAGGACCGAACGGTAAGCTACCCATCCATCCATCCATCCATCCGTTCTATCTGCACTGCAAGCCCACTACTAGAACGTAATTACTAACAATGGATGATAGCGACAAATCCTCCAAAACCTAAATGCCGTCCTCGAGGCCGGCGGGTCCAGCCTGCACGACGCAATTAAAGTCAACATCTTCCTTACAGACATGGCCGATTTCCCCGCCGTGAACAGCGTCTACGAGACCTTTTTCGGGGATCCGAAGCCTGTAAGTACTTTTTTTCCCCGTTTGTGTTTTGATACAGACCAAAACAGAGCAAAGCAGACCAGAAAGGACCGTTATGTATGTGCTAACTCATCCCTTGCATGTCTAGGTGCGGACCTGCGTATGCGTCAAGTCCTTGCCGATGGGAACTGACGTGGAGATCGAGTGCTCTGGACTGGTTACACGGAATGGTGGTGGCAAGGGCCGGAGTTCTAGACTATGATATGAGATCACTTCAGAAATTTCGTGTTGTTAATCTCCCCTGACCCGCTGTGTCCAGATGTGTCGGTGCTCCACTCCTTTCTCAAAATGCCTGAGGCGTAAGGAGTTTATGGTCATGTGATGCGGAAATGGATATGAAACGCAGGTGAAACCATGGATTCTGGTGGAGCCGACAGCTGCGGCCCAGGAACAGCATTAGCTTGTTATGAGAGGTGAGTATAGCTATGATTCTAGGTATGGTAATAGGGTACGAAGTAGAAAAAACTATATATGATATGCCACGACAGAACAAAAGAACGGGGATGGTGAACAAGGCTCGGGTCTGGCCCCTCTGGCCCTGGGGCCAAATTCTCAGCCTCCCTAGGGTCGCGCGACACCGGATTGTTCATCTGCCCGTCTGTCCGCTCCCAAGCCCCGTGGTTATTTCCCGAGACACATGCGGCTGTGGCTGTATAGCAGATCGATCCTGATCCTGAGGGCCGTTTTCTCATGAACTACGCTACAATGTACCGCAGATGAAAAAAGGAATAGGATCCCCGCAGCTGATCCCAGAGCCGCTCAGACAGGAGGGTTCCTCCCGGGCGCAGAGAGGCGAATGTGGACTCACTAACGTTGAATGCCCAAGAGCAAAGGGGCAGGGCATTCCTCTCGCCTTCAACCGCACCATCGCGTGTCCGGCAGACAGCAATGGACGACGACGGGGTAGGAATGTGATGACGATGACGACAGGTGCCACCGCATTCCAATCCAGCACGTGGTTTGCGATGAGTGTTGGATGCTGTCACTAACTCCTGTTGTACTTTCCGGTTGTTAGCGAAGACCCTGGACCAGCGAGTGAACTACCCCGAGGTTTCCTGCTGTCGGTCCAAGAGCATGACGAGGTGGCAGAAAGTAGTTAGCTTCGACACCTACTAGTTCCGCAGCCTCCCGCCCGGACCAGGTTTTTGTGGTTATTAGTCTGTCCAAGAGGAAAGGCACCGGCAAGACAGGGCCCCTGCGAGGGAGTCGAAGCGACGCTGATTCGATCTCTGTGTTGATCGATTGCCGGCCTGAGTTAGGCGAGCGATCCAAGCGGGAAGCCACCAACGCGGAAGGGGTTAGTGTGGTACACGAAACGCGCTACGGGCACGCACTGCGGGAGACTAACACCACAGCCAGGCACACAGCGGGACCACCTTGGCTCCACTGCCTGGACGCCGTTGGTCTAGATCTTGCGACGGCGCGAACTGGGCAATCACTAGCGTAATTGCGATGGGCACGCCCAGCATGGACTTGGCAGACACCAGTCACAATAGGACTGAATATTGTCCTCTGGGAGTAGGTAGTAGAGAACGGAACCACGGCAGAAGAGATGAAAGAAGGATGAAAGAAGAATGAAAGAAGACTAACAACGAGGACTGGGGAACGAGTCCTGCCTGGGGAGACCGCGACAGCTCGGGGGTTTTGGTGCGGGACTGCAATTTCCCGTCATGTAACACTGGTCCAGGCACTCAGACCGGTGCGTGTGCACAATGCGCTTACCGTACGATACGCCGTGTTGATTCTGTTGCTCGCCCACACGTGTTCCACAGCCCCCATCGCCCCTTCCCCTGGGCGTCTCCTCTTGCTCACACTCATTCCGTCTCCAACTCATTCGTTCCTTTCCTTTCTTTTCATGCTTCGTCGTGCTTTCGCCTGTCGTCGTTGACTCCCTCTTCGACTCGGCACTGGGAACAAGTCAACTTCTCCGATTCCCCTTGCATCAAGAACCCGACTCCAATCTCCCGGTTCTTTGATCGCTTCAATCGATCACCCCCCAGCCTGACATCTTTGCTGCAAAGGTCGTCGTTCATTCATTACAGCTGCTTTTTGTGACCAACAACACACTCGCTTGTTTTATTCATCGTTGTATTTTGGGGACTGACAAGCCCCCTTTCCACTCGTTTTTGAATCAGAGCTCGTCACGACTGCGTCCTGACTGGTTTTGATACGCACCACGGTTATACGGGATTTTCATGACATTTTAGCGGATTCATTTCATCCAACACAATGCGTCCCGGAACCTGGTCTGCTTTCGCAGCCTTCCTCGCCCTTGGTGGCTTCGAGCTCGCCGTCGCTGAGGAGGAGCCGCCGGTCCACACCGACCGCCCCAAGTACTACTTCCCCAAGGAGATCAAGAGAGCCATCCAGACTGGCAGCCACAGCCAGCAGAACCCTTGGCTAGAGGCGGGCAACTTGGAAAGCTGGTTGCTTGGCGGTAACAACCAGCCCGCAGCTACTACCAAGAACAACAACAACAACAATGGTAATGGCAAAGGCAAGGAGGACCGAGTCGTGATCATCGACGTTACGGAGTCCGTTGACCCCAAGGGTCACACACACCATCACTGGTGCCACACACCTAGGCACCAAGGTTACTGCTCCGCGCACCGAGGTCCATGTCACCAAGACCACGGCAGCTGCCGCCAAAGACAAGCCCGCCAAGGCCAATCCTGCTAAGGCTGAGCCCACCGAAACTGAGAAGAAGCAGAAGGCCGCGGATACCACCACCAAGAAGAAGGCCGTTGATCCCACCCAGAAGAAGGAGCCCGCCGACACCAAGGCCACTCCTGCGCCCACCAGCGAGTCTGGTAATGGCGGTGGTCTCCTAGGTGGTGGTGGTATTCTGGGTGAGATCTCTTCCTTGGCTGGCGAGCTTCTTGGTCCAGGATCCACCACTACGACCACCAAGAACCCTGCCGCCAAACCCACTGAAGTGTCCCAGAAGGGCAAGGACGGCCAGGACGGCCAGACCAAGAGTGGTAAAGATGGCAAGGATACGACTACCACCACGACGACAACTTCGTCGTCGGATGGTGGTCTCTTGGGCAACTTGGGATCCGGCTTGGGCTCCGTCTTGGGTGGTGTGGAAACCGGCCTCGGTCTCGGTGGTGGTAAGACCACCACCACCACCACCACGACATCGGCCACAAACACGATTCCTGTGAGCGTTCCTGCGACTGCCACTACCACCACAACCACCACATCCTCCGCGCTCAACCCGCTTGCACCCATTGAGTCTATGCTCGGATTGGGCCCCAGCTCGTCGAACGCTACCAGCTCTAGCCTCGTGGTTCCCACGCCATCTCTTCCTGGCAGCGGCGGCAGCGGCATCATCCCTGGCCACCCATCCGCTACGGGCTTGCCCAGCAGCACAGGCAAAGTGCCATTCCCCAGTGGTTCGATCCACCCCGGCGGCGCGGGCTCTGGCACTACCTCTGCGACCTCGACGCCCACGCCGACCCACACGCCTGCTGAGTCTGCGACGACGACGACGACGTCGACGACCACCACTACCACCAAGGAGCCGGAAACCACGCCCCAGCGCACCGATCAAACTTCCAGCAGCAACGACTGGGTTGGTCCTAGCATTTTGCACCAGCCCAAGCCGACTCAAACCGAGGACAACAACAACCCTACCTCGACGGACAATGACCACGAGCCCACGGCCCTCCCTGGCTCCATTGCCCCCGGAACTGAAGTCAGCAGCCCCCCGGAGAACTCGCTGCTCATCCAGCTGGGTTTCAACCAGGAGCTCCCATGGAGCTTTGTGGCCACTACCTCGATGTCCTCGGCCCAGATCTTCCAGTACGTGCCGGAGGGTCTGGAGCATGCTCTGTCGATTCTCCATTCGCAGGTGACCATGTTCGCTCTGGAGCCTTACTACTCATGGAAGACGACCGGCTACAACGCGACGCTGGCAATGGCCTACATCCAGCGCCGCTACGTCGACCAGCTGCGCAAGGAGCTGCACAACCCGAACTCTCGTCTCTACAACCAGCCCAGCGAGCCCGTCAAGACTCTCTTCTCCATGATCGACCCGACCATCCCTCTCATCGTGGGCCAGGAGGGCTCCTCCAGCTCCGGCACCGGCACCACCGGCTCCGGCGATAATAGCGACAACTCGGGTGGCAACACCGACAGCAACACTAACGGTGGTTCTGCCTCCAGCTCCAAGACCAAGGTCAGCTCCGTTGGCATTGGCTGCGGTGTTGTCGCCGGTGCTGCCGCCTATGGCGCCGGTATGTTCTGGCTTGCCCGCCGCTACCGCAAGAGACGCCAGCTGCACCGCCGCTCCGCCTCGACCGTCGAGCAGATGAGCCAGGGTAGTTCCGCCGCTGGCTCAGTCTTCGCGGCCGGTGCTCGCATGTCCGGCAGCCAGGCTGGAAGCGGCCGCTCGGGTCAGATGATCAGCGCGCCAGTGATGGCCGAGAACTCTCTGGGCTGGAACTAGACGGTTGTGCTCGACTTGCGTTGCTTGCTCTCCTATTTGACTCTTCTTACTCTTTTTCCCCGCTCCTGCTTGCGCATGTGGAGGACACGCCATCCCGGGGATACCCTCGCTACTCGGAGACAGAAACCTCCGCTTCGCTTCCGGCGCGGGAAAGAGTAGGGAAATGCACAAAAGCCTCCCTTGGATATATCTTTTTTCTTCTTTGTTCATCATTCCGTCCAAGGGAACATATACATGTCATATATCACGTTCTCCTCTTCTCCCTGTGGAAACTTTCGAGCGGCCATTCCTGTGGACGTGTTTGTTTTTCGCTTTCTTTTCTCTTCTTGATACTCCGAGCGACGACCCAAAAGTGTCGCGCTGCGTGTGTACTTTTTTTTTTCTTCTTCATTTATTCCCCCTTTTGTTTATTATCCCGATGATCTTGCTGTCTTTCGGTCAGATCTGAGGGGAATTCATTTTGAATTCGTCATATACTTTGTGGCTGGAAGTTTGCACCTTTCTATTTTTGCATCCTGTTCACAAACAAGCACACCACCTTAATGGTTGGGATGGCCGGGTTCCTTGATGAAGTCGATGTTCTCCGCCCCTCCTCTCTTACATATACACTCTCTCCCCTGTCCCTGTTTTGCGTTGTTTTTTTTCCTGCTGTGTTTTCCTTGTGTTGTCGTCTTGTCTTTGTACAGATGTGTCGTGTCTATTGCGTGTTGGTGAGGCCCCAGAAGGGCCTCGGCTAGATGGTGTGTGGTAGTGAATGAGATGGTAGATTCTTTTAAATTGGTTGCTTTGTATTGCAGATGGTAGTGGGAGTAGTATGGGCTTGGACTGAGTGATCATGCTCGAAGCTAAGTAGGTGCGTGATTGAAGAATGAGTGGGTAGGAAGGAGGTCGACGACCCTGACGGGCTTCGGCAGCTGGAGGAGCCACAAAACCGCGTTAACAATCACAAAATCCTGTCGACAACGAACAGTAGGAGTTCGACAACAGCGGCTTAAGTTACTCCCCAAGGTAGGTGAGTAAACCAAGGATGCTCCTACGGCTACATACCCTGGCCAAAAGCTCTCGAAACTACATGGAAACACATGTTTATCCTCGCCGTGCGTGTGCTCCGAGATAGATGCCAAATAATGCATCTACTCAGATCCAAATCAAATGAACCCAAAGAAAAGAGAAAAGAACATATACTTAATCCTCCTTCGTCTTGTCCCTATATAGTCGTAATCGAAATCAGATGTACCTCTCTCATAAACACGCGGCGCCATTTTCGGCCTTTCCCCAGGTTATCCGCATCGTATTGCCTTGTAATGATACCTGAGTCATCGGTGTTGTACCGTTTATTCCAATACAATTTCAGTGGAAATTAAATGGAAGCACTACACTTTGTCACTAAAAATCTCCCCTTAATAGCTAGCTTCTAAATCATGATGTTGTTATCAGTATTCAGTAACTGCTTCGCAAACTAGGCAAACAGACGTTTACGTTTACCTGGCCGGTCACCATGCCTAGTAAGCAGACCCACGCCACTCTTCCTCAAGCGTTGTACCGTAGAGTGCTATATAGTTTTTGATTCGAAACAATTCAAGGTTACTGAATTCTGTGTGGTCTAGTTGGTATGATTCCTGGTTCGGCATCAGTGAGATCCCACGTTCGAGTCGTGGCTCAGCGGTTCAGTAGCCACGATCTTTTTGACCTCTATATGAATATTCATAATTTTTATTTTGCAGGGGAATTAATTAGTCAAAAACAACATGGTGATGTCGTACGATTTCCTGCTGCAATGAGGATTTCAACCACTTCAGCGTGGTGAAACTCAATTGCTCGACTCAGAGCAGACCTCCCCTCACGATCTAGGATGGACGGATCAGCTCCACGATTGAGAAGAAGCTTAACTACCCGAAAACGATTATACTGCGCAGCATAATGTAGCGGCGTGGCCTCGGAGTAGGCTTGGATGGAAATATTGGCGCCGGCATTGATGAGGAACTCCGCTGCCTCACAATGGCCAGCCCTTGCCGCAGCATGTAGTGCCGTATGACCTTCTGCACCCTGGAAGGAAACCGGTGCCCCGGAAGAAATGAGGCTGTCAATAACATCCACGTGCCCACCTCCAGCGGCAGCATAGAGCGCAGTGTATCCGTGTTTGTCGTAGTTAGAGAGGAGGTGGTAATTACTATGGTTTTCACGAAAAATATCCGCTCCGGCCTTGACAAGCAAATCAACCACCTCCTTGTGGCCATTCCCAGCTGCTCTGTAAAGAGCAGAGTCTCTGTCGAAACGATCGTCATCTGGTGCTACGCCGGCGTTCAAGAGTAGCTCTACTATCACAGTGTGGCCATCTTCAGCTGCTTTCCATAAGGACTTTCGGAACCAAAGATTATGCTGCCGGTCAGATGTGGAGGAATTGTTGTGGAGAGTTAGGATAGATTGAACCCTCTCAACTTGTCCAGCACAAACAGCAGGATAAAGTGCCCGAATGTCAGATTGCGCTCCAGGTTCGAGGAGTAAATCCAGAATGGCTAGATGACCAGCCGTAGAAGCTAGATAACCAGTCGCAGAAGCGTTGGAAATAGCAATTTCTCTTTCTTTTCCTTCAAACTCAAAACCGCAGTCAAGAAGGGTTTTAACCACGGCAGAATGACCCACAGAAGCAGCATCAAGGAGGGCTGATCTGCACATATCATGGTTCAACCACCCTGCATAGGCAAAATATTCAACCATTGCAGTGTGGCCTCGGCTGGCAGCACATCGCAATATTGAGGATCTGTTCAGGTCAACCCCCGTATTATCGAGCAGTCGAAGGGTTTTGATATTGCCTGAATGGCCTACCGCCTCTGCCAATTTGGGGTCCTCACTCGAGATATTCAGGCCGGTCCCAATGAGCAAGCGTACAACCGAAATGTACCCAAGCTTAACTGATGAGAGCAGAGCTTCACGCCTTGCATTCTCTGAGAAACGTCCTTGAGAAAGAATGATCTTGACTATCTTTGCTCGTCCTGCTGAGGCGGCAACTTGCAAAGTCTTGTCCGAAATCTTAAAACCGGCCGCAATAAGTTGCTGAAAACCTTCCGTGCGGCCATATTCTGCGGCGAAATCCAGAGCGCTACTCCATATGTCTGTCTTATCTGGGGGCTGTCTCATTCTCTTCAGAAGCAGTGATACGGTGGAAAGATGACCATTCCTTATGGCCATATTTAGTGCGGTACCACGATAATGAGCGGTCCTATAGGGATTTGCGCCAGCATCAAGGAGTACTTGGACTACCATATCTGATCCATGGTAGGCCGCGGCATGTAGGGGAGTCAATGCACGATTATCCGAATCATCGACCTTTGCTTTAGCGGAGATGAGAAGCTCCACAACTGCTGTATGTCCTCGATGTGCAGCCCGAGCTAATGGGGTGACCCCACGATTATTCCGGACTTGGAAGTCCACAGACTTGGCAAGCACGGTTTGTATGAATTTCCCATCGCCTTTGCTTGCGGCCAGATGCACAATTGTATCTCCTGTTTTTCTTGTCTTCTTTGTGAAATCTTCATGTGCGAGAAGTTGATCAAGACCATCAAGGGCCTGGATGAGCCGGTAACATGCGTCCGGTTCTAGATACGCCGCGATATGAATGAGTATTTCGGTAGGGAGCTTAGTCCTCGTCATGGCCACAGCCAAAGGGCAAAGGCTGAGTGTAGAGCCGTGGAGTGCAAGAGACAGAGACCTGGGCCATTGTGAAGGGATTGCAAGCCCCGCTTGATACCCGGTGTATAGCCGTTTCGTGTAAAATACATTGTGACAGGTCCTACTATCACCATGTAAAATTCTGTATCACGTTTAGAGCTAGTCAATATACAGTCTAGCGTGTTTTAATCTTTATGTCTAGATATACGACAATATTTCGGAGTCAATAAGCCATAGTCTTGCACAGGCTAGGATCTATTTTTACCTGCCACAATGCCAGTGAAGATATGTGATATTATCAGCTGAATGACAAAAGGTTATCAAAGATATACAGAATCTATATTATCACGATGCTTGATATTCCTGCACGCTAAAGTCCTCTGTATTAGCTACGCATTCAGTCGCTTTGAACTTTGTATCACATTTTGTGACTATTCCTATTGTAAAAGTATATGTACAGAATATGAAAGATGGGAGAGGAGGGACAAACCTAACAATCTCTAGTGTAGATGCTAAAAGCACACAAAGAAAAGGGAGAGGAATACTTAATCCTTCTTTTCCTTTCCAGCAGCCTCCTCCCCCACCTCGCTCCTTACGCACCTGGCGTGCCCGCTCGCGTTCAGCCTTATACTCCTCCCACGAAAGATGAGCCGCTCGACTAATCTCCTCAGTCTCATGGCTGAGGGTGTCCTGTGCACCACCCGGCAAGGTGCGAACGGCCGCTTCGCCACCGTAGGCGCGAATAGCGGTGCGGAAGCTCCATTCCACTGCTTCTTCGACGGGGTGGTCGAAGAGGTAGGGGAGGAAGGGGACCACGGCGAGACCGAGCTTGGAGAAGTTAGTTTTGTTCTCGAGGTAGTTGGACAGTATAGCAGGGCATGTATATAGTGTATAAAAAGGGGAGGAGTGTGGAAGGAAAGATCAAACTCACCCCGATAGGAGCCCAAGTGCGCAGCAGCGTACTCTTCGCATTCTTCACCATTTTCCCCGTGTACTTCACCACGCTATGGATCGTGAACGCCGGCAATCCCATAGAGGCAAGACTCTGAAACACAGCGCGCTGCGCCATAACCAAGCGATAATCCTCCGCGAGCGGGATCTGCGCCGTCGGCCCCGGCGCAAGCTCTTTCGCATGGGCTTGGGAATTCAACTGTCCGCCTAGATTCCCCGTCACCATGCCTTGGAAGATTTGTCCCGTGGAATTAATCCCGCCTTCACTCTCGCCTTCACTCGCATCTTTATACGCGTCGCCTGCCGGGGCCAGGGCGCGCCGATTGCGCAGGTACGCCTTGTACCCTTCATGTCCCACGTCTCCGAGCAGATACGCCCATGAGATGCCGTAGGCGGAGCGTATGAGCCATGGGTGTGCGACTGGACGGAAGGACTCGCCGATGTCTGAGGTGTAGGCTACATAGCGGTGCGCGGAGAGGAGGATTGTCCGTAGGCGGTTAGCGTACGCGGCGTAACGGTAGGGGGTTTCGGTGGAGTCGACTGAGCTAAATGATAGGGTGTATTTGTTAGTTTGCGGTGTGGATTTAGGTATGTTTGGGCGGATTGCGGAGGTGGCCGTTGGTGGCCGGGGAAGTGCTGTCGAGGGGGGCTCTTGCGCTCTCTCTCCACTTGGGGCACGCCGGCGACCCGGGTTGGGAAAAGGAAGCAAGCAACACGTACTAGGAGGAATAGAGGTCACCGTAAAAGTCCTCGTCGTGGTCGCCGAGCTGTGGAAGCTGCACTGGCAGCTTCTTGTCTGCTGCTGCCGAGGGTTCGTCCGGTTTGGACTTGGGTTCTTCTTTGTCGCTGTTGTTGCTGCTGCCCCAGAACATGGTGCGGGCAGGGAGGGAATGTGAGAAGGAAGAGAGAGAGAGAGGAAATGGAGGAGAGTAAGAGTGAGAGTGAGAAAAGAGGGTGAGGAAACAAGATTATTATGGTGGCATGCTAACCGCAGGGTTTAGCCGGAGTATACTCTGCACAGTGCGCGACCATGGACGCAGGTCGACTCTCCGAGGTTCTGGGCCGAGCTTCGTTGAGCTTAGTTCTAGGTAAGACAGAACGGGATCATTTATTCTATTCATGGTCCGTAAACACTATTCTCCCTTACCCTCATCTTCTTCACATCTATCGAGTCCAAAACATTCAATTGCTCAACTTGTTGACATCGTCAATTCTCACGTGATACCGGGCCAACTCGGATGATCACCTGACATTTCACATGACTCAGCACCTGACTTGACCATCTCTGCATCCGCCCTGAACTTCCCCAAGCGTCGTGTCCAAACTCACTCCAATCCAACTCCTCCAACATGGTCGTCTACTACCAGATTGCCGGCAAGAAGGTCGGCTCCCACGTCGTAAGTCTTATCTGCAATACCGCCATTGCCCCCTGACTGTCCACCCATCATTCCTGGTCCTCAGTCTTCTCCTGTTTGGAAAGCAACCTCCAACTAACCAATTGCCCGCGCACAGCTCTCCATGGCCACTCTCGGCACCATGTTCGCCGGTTCCTGGCTCGCCATGGGCGGTGGCGAGAAGCCCAAGACCGCCCAAGGTCCCCCGATCAGCGCCTCCTCCAAGGATGAGGAGCAGTTCATCCAGTGCGTGCATCCTCTATCAACACAACAAACCCCAACCCAGCACAATGCCACAAGTCTATACTCATACAGCCACCAAATGACATATTCACTAACACCATAACCCTCACATAGACAATTCATGAAGGAAGTCGATGGCGGCGAGAAGAAACCCAGCAACTAGAGCACCCACCTCCTCCCGAGACTGTTGATTTCGATAGAGCAGGCCCTCGGATGTTGAGCGCGAGCCAAGTTCACCTGTCCTGTCCTGTTTTGTTGAATGTGCTTGCAATTCGATAACCATCACTTGATGAGCTGTGTTTCTCTCTTTCTTCTGGCCCGGACGTTCCGTGTCACGCAGACAAGAAACCTGGCGGACTGGACTGGGTGAGAGGATGTCGGATGTTTTCTCCTTGGTTTGTACATAGGGGGCCTTGTACGCTGCATAGAAAAACGATATTCATTTTGACCTTGTTTGATCTGGGGTTTAATTGTTGGGTGTTGTTTTCGGGACTGCTCAGGGTGTTGCTCTGACCTTGTCGTAGACCCTGGCAGGTGATTAATTGGGTGTGTAGCTCATAGCAGCTGTAGATAGACAGCTTGTAAAGCCATTGAGTGCATATCTCGAATTATCCACGCCGAGGTGCAATCACGTCACGCGCTGGAAACTTCCCAACTCGGCGTCTTCGATCTTCCCTTCCACTTCCACTTCACCTCCACCTACCTCAACCACCACAAACCACACCACACCACCCTCTCCAACAACGGTCGCCACGTGTCTCAAGAAAAGACGAGTTCCAACATCTCCATGCAACAATGAAACCCCTCCCCTTCCCCTTCGCCCTCCACATCGGCACCGACATCGTACACATCCCACGAATCGCCCGCCTCATAAACCGACCAGGCAACTACCTCACGCGCTTCACGCGCCGCATACTCTGCGCCCAAGAGCAGCACGACTTCACCACCCGCTTCACGCTCCCTCCCTCCTACACCAACGAATCCCTCCATTCTCAATCTCAATACCAATCTCCGACCATAACACCAGACATGACACGTTGGCTGGCTGGCCGCTTCGCTGCGAAAGAGGCCGCGCGCAAAGCTGCCCCCACCGCCGGCGGGGCGGGGTCGATTGGGTGGAAGGATGTTATGGTGCGAATTGAGGAAGGTAGTGAGAGGACGCCTGGGAAAAACGGGAAAAGTTCGAGGCCGGAGATTGTGTTTCTTGGTGTTGGGGAGGAGGAGGCTAGGGTGGGTAGGTTGTCAATTTCGCATGATGGGGAGTATGTCGTTGCGACTGTTTTGGCGGCTGGGTGAGAGGTTTTTGAGCTTGGGATATCTATATCTACTTTTGCTTTGAAGCTATATGGCGGGGAACTGGGCTTCTGCGACCGATCTATATCCTGTGCACGGGTGCGCCGCTTTGATGGCGGACTTGGATCACGGCTCGACGCGCGGATTCCTAACAGGAGCTGTCTTCCGCGAGGACTTGGTCAAGCACGCCGGTGCGTCTGGGCTATGTTGCGATGTACCTCTCGCAATTTCTTGCGCCAAGACCAGATCTTAGGTGTGAGGATGTACAGTGTCGGTGGTGCTCCGACATGTTAAAATGCTATCGTAGGCGAAGCGTCCTATCTAGATCAGAATTTAGGTTAGGGTTAGTATGACATTGAGTGCATTGTAAATTCAAATAGTGAGACCTCTTTCCGTCCCACCGGGCTCATATCGGACCCCGATTCTTCCTTATCGCTTTTCCGCCCATGACTCCGACAGTCAACCTCATTGCATAGCACCATCCATCAAGACTCTTATAGACAAGTAGACTGGGTATGTTATGAATTTTTGATGTATATCAAGGCGCTATATACTCTTCCCACTCAGACAGCACCTACAGCACCTGCTTATCCATTGCTAACACCTCTCGCAGATATCACACCCGCCATGCCATTCTCTCACCACAGCCATTCGGGCCAGTTCTGCCCAGGACACGCCAAAAACTCAATGGAGGAGATGATCCAGACGGCCATCGCCCAAAAGATGCACACCTTCTGCCTAACCGAACATATGCCCCGCGGCAAAGAAGATTTCTACCCTGAAGAAGTACGCCCACCCACGCGACCCATCCTAGAACATCTCCATCTCGGGCATTATTAACAACAATCCCAGATCGAGGCTGGCAACACAGAAGCATGGCACGCATCCAACGAAGCAGCCTACTGGACCGAAGCCGTGCGCCTGCGTACGAAATACGCTTCCCAGATCCAGCTCATCATCGGCTTCGAGTGCGACTGGATCCGGCCCTCGTCGGAGAGCCTCATCTCGCACTCTCTTTCCAGATTCCCCTTTGAATTCTTCGTCGGCTCCGTGCATCACACGCACACAGTGCCAATTGACTACGACAGACCCATGTACGAGCAGGCGCGGCAGCGGGCCGGAGGCACGGACGAGCGCCTGTTTGAAGATTACTTCGATGCCCAGTTTGATATGCTACGCAAGCTGCGGCCGCCTGTTGTGGGGCATTTTGATCTGATTCGCTTGAAAAGCGATGATGTGGAACGCAGCTTTATGTCCTTTCCGGGGGTTTGGAGCCGGATTCTGCGGAATCTTGATTTCATTGCTGAGTATGGTGGACTCATTGAGTTGAACTCGGCTGCGATCAGGAAGGGAATGAGTGAGCCGTATCCGAAGGCGGAGATCTGTAGGGTAAGTTTTGTTTAGTTGCTCTTTTTGAGGTCTTTTGTTTTGCTTTTCTTTTCTTGGGATCTCGTTAACATTCGAATGGCAGGAATTTGTGGCCCGTGGTGGCAGGTTTTGTCTCTCGGATGATAGCCACGGCGTGGATCAAGTCGGCTTGAATTTCCACCGCGTGCTGGACTTCCTCGACAAAGCGGGTATCTCGTCGTTGCATTATCTGACATTGTCGGAGCCATCCGCCGCAGCCACGGTTGATGCCCGGTTCCCTCGCACGCAGACGGCATCTGTTTCAATTGACGAGTTGAAGGATATGGCGTTCTGGAAGAGTTCATAGAGATAGAGTAGTAGTAACTACTATTAATTAAGTATACAGAAGAATGGATTGATTGCCCGCTTCTCCAATTCTCCAAAAGGGAACCCGCCGATCCTCATCCCCTCCACCCATCCCCTCCGCCACACTCTCCCCGCAATGGCGCCGAAGCCGCGAACAAATAAGAAATCGTAATTTCTACTTGTCAAGCGGCCTCACCGTCATCGATTCGCATCTGCATTCCTCCCGCCGATCAGGTCCCATTGAAGCGATTCGGACCCCGGATTTCAGCTGGCGCAGAACGAGGTGGAGTACGAGTTTGAGTGACGACGAGTATGAATCCACCTCTATTCGCACGCAACCCGGCGCACGGGAGGCGTCATAAGGAGTTGTTCCTACCGTATAGTTAGGTAGGTCAAAAGGTGGTGGATGATTACTATTACGTCGTGACTGACCCCCACTAAAGCATATTTACCGCCCCTCGGCTTCGCTTTCTCTCACCCTCTCTTCTTTTTCCTTCCCCCTCCTTCCCACACTCACAACCCTCCCACCTTCGTTTCGGTTCAATTCAATTCCATCAATCATCACAATGGGTGTCGAAAAGACTATTCTCAAGGCCGGCAACGGCGTCGATTTCCCCAAGAACGGTGACAATGTCGCTATCCACTACACGGGCTGTCTGTATGACCAGAGCAAGGCCGACAACCACTACATGGGCACCAAGTACGTCTTCCCTCACTCCTCTTGTCTTCTGTCCAGCTTATGCGCGGTATATAACTAACTCTCTATGTGACATATAGGTTCGACAGCTCCCGGGACCGCGGCTCTCCCCTCGCTTCCCCCATCGGTGTCGGCCGACTCATCAAGGGTACGGTTTTACTTTCCTGCCCCCGCTTCCCGCATTCCGATGCAGTGGAGTTGTTATACGGAGTATCGAGCATAAAGCGACGTCGCTGACATGGTTTCCTTTGATAGGTTGGGACGAGGGCGTTCCCACCATGAGTCTGGGCGAGCGCGCTATTCTGAACATTAGCAGGTGAGTGCGGGTCTACGTCTTGCGAAATGGAATACGCAGCAGGAAATCGCTGACAGTTTCTTCTATTATAGCGACTACGGCTATGGCAACCGGTACGTGATTCATCCGTCGCCTCAATTCCACCTCCATCGATGCATCCTTCTACCCCGCCGGAAGACGATTGAATCCTTTCGCTGCGCGCATGAGTGTTTCTCGAAGCGGATATGGACATAATAAGAAAGAAACACACATCGCTGACTATATCCATCTAGCGGCTTCCCCGGCCTGATCCCCGCAAACTCCCGCCTGGTCTTGTAAGTCCTTCTTTCCCCGAGAAATACAAACGGAACGAACGGCTGGACTAACGTGCCGCAGCGACGTCGAGCTCGTCTCGGTCAACGGCAAGTCCGCCTAGATTCATCGAAGGAATTGAGTTCTCTTTTTCTGTCCTCTATCGTTATCGCTTGAGGGTTCCTCTCGTGGCTACCGAATGGACCAAGAAGGGTTTTCAGGTGTTCTCTCTCTTTCTCCTGTCTGTATCGAATACCGGCCAGCGCTGGATCAAAACGAAATCAAATACAAAGGTTCCTTGAACCATTGATGCTTCTATATTTTCCATTATGCGGATGTGTACGTGTATGTTTCAGTAACTGAAGTATTCGATGTATCTTTGAAATGGTTGCAGATGATGCTCGTAGATCTGGCCTAGGACTCAATTCTATCTGGCTAATAGTCAGAACGTCGAGTACCAGCCACAATGGTGGTGTAAAAGAATTCCGGTGAGGTGTAGGTGAACTCCCAATCTATTTACCCTAGACTTTCAGATCTACATTCAGGGTCATATTGGAGGAGGGAGAATACCTATTCGATTACAGTATCCCAATGCTCAAAATATACAGAACTGCAGAGGCTCCTTGGGCTGTGAAGTTTTTCATTCTCCGGCAACGTGATTCAAATTTCCTATCTCGTACGAGTTACGAATAAACAAACTCCCCCCATGCGGGTATTTAGACCTGTATGCGAGGATCATTACATACCAGCCATGTCTTTCTTCACTTTGCCAGAGGGGCTCCGTTCTTCATGCCCCAGTCTTCAACCATCTTCAAGACATTTCTGCGTCCTCCATCATATCCGACGTGCTTCATCCATCCTTCCAAAGTCTTGATTCGCTTAGGGTGGATACGATCTAGGATCGAGAGCTCCCGCGGCTTAGTGATTCCATCTCCCCAGTAGCGCCACCAAGCCTCGAAATTTTGGCGCCAGCTCATGATAGAGTCATCTCGAGCCGCGTCGGGGCCGAGAACCCAGTTAACGGAGGCACCCGGGTAAGGCTCGGCAAGAGGCGCATATGTCTCAAAGGGGAGTGTCTTATGGACTGCGGGCTTGCCCGTGACTTTGGTGAAGGTACTGGCAATCTCTTCGAAGCTGACATTGTCAGTCACAACCTGAAGGTCAATACCTGCCGACTCTGACAGGTTGTCAAAGATCCATAGATTGTAGACTCCGACGTCGCACAGAGCAATCAATGGCATTTTCACATTACTCGCTTCAAGGATAGTTAGCTAGATGTACCAGGGTTAAAGGTTGGGGAGACTCACGGGCTGGGTTGGCCCACAGGAATGACCCGTCCGGCTGTTCAATAGGCACGAACATCCCGTCCAGAAGCATGTCCATGTAGGGACCGGTGCTAAAAATGGTGCTCTTCATGTCCTCCTGTCCCTGCGCGAGGATGAACTTGGCAACTCTGCCCTTGGACTCCATGTGGCCGCAATAATACTTCTCGTCAAATTTGGCCGCGTCCATGGCGTACTCGATGCTCGCCCAGACGTAGTGTTGCACACGTTCCGACCTCGCGATCTCGTAGGCCCTAAAACCATAGAAGAGTTCATCCTTCTCTCCGAGAGTAAACCCGTCCGTGTTGACCCATGCGCCGTACACGCCTCGAAAGACATTGTGCAGGTCCTGCTGGTTGTCCTGGGCGCCCTGGAGCAAAGTCACGTTTGGGAGAGCGGCGAGTTGCTTTGAGCGAGAAGACTCGGCGTTGCGAGTCAAGACTCTGAGACGATATCTTCCACTCTCGGCCAGAGCTAATGTTAGGTCAGCGCAAGCTGGTGGCATGTATTTCCGCCATTGACCGTACCTTTGACCACAGGCATGCCTTGAGCGCCAGTGCCGCCGATGACGGCGATCTCTTTTAAATTGGTCATCTCGTTGATGTGAGTTTTATTGTATCGACAATTGCAGTGCACTGTTAAATAGTATGATGATGCCTTGGAGCTTGGGACTCACAACCGGGGAAGACAATGAAGGTTTATATAATTGTACGCGGTAGGTGGACCACCAGTGCGTTTGGAGGCTTTTGTCATCCTGTACGGCCTCGAGATTAAAAATCAAGCCCGTGATTATCGATCAGCCCGATTGTCAAATTGATGGTCAAAAAAACTCATGATGCAATATTATGTTCGGAGACCGATAAATTAAACATTGTCGGGGTTGTTGATTAATCATTAAAAATCAGGTGAGGGTGCCGTATAGTGGGGTGCCATAAGTCTGAAACCAGTTACTAACCAAACAATCAATCATACTCTACTAACTTAATGCAGCCTAACTACATACATAGTGGCATAATGGCTATGTAGCCCGTTGCCGCTTAGGTGTTCGGTAGATCTGATAGTTCAGTCAAGCTTTACCGTGCAAAGGTTTGTTGGAGATTTCAGCTCACAGTATGCGAGCCGCACTTTGCTGCACAGATTAGCTCGCGCCCTGTGGATGACATGGAAAAGACCCATAAAATTTTCTTCAAGCTCAACCTGACTGACATTTATCTTCTGAAGACACGTCTGAAAATAATCACTGTGTAACCCTGAACAACTTTTGTCTTTTTCCTATACAAGCTTTACTATCACTATATCTTTCAACCGATTGCACTGCAACTCAGCGTTATGGGAAGTGCCGAGAATACAACCAGTCGCCCATTTACTATCAGAACCAATCGCCCAGGCGACATAGGGATGATAACCCATCGACATGGTGTTCTGTACAACGAAGAATTCGGATGGGGGGAACGCTTTGAAGCCCTTGTCGCCAGAATTTCCGCCGATTTCATCGACCAATTTGACCCTAAGCTAGAACGTTGCTGGATTGCCGAACAAGAGGGCAAATTTCTCGGATGCATTATGCTCGTCAAAGACCGAACTTCAGAGCAAAATGCGGCAAAGCTTCGCCTGTTGCTAGTCGAACCGGATGCCCGCGGACTTGGTGTCGGTCGGTCGCTCGTGCGTCAATGCACCAAATTCGCACGGGACGCTGGATATTCGCGCATTGTGTTGTGGACCCAAAGCATGCTGACCTCTGCTCGTCGGTTGTATGCGAATGAAGGATATAAGCATGTTGCTTCGGAGGAACATGAGTCATTCGGGGTGAAATTAGTCGGGGAGCTTTGGGAGTTGGAATTGTAACATGAGGAGCTATGAATTTCCTTTTATCCATACTCTATCACTAACAAGCCAACCCAAACACCCGTGTCCTCTTGTATCGAGACCACATATACGACTTCCGTGGTGCGGTCGCGTCAGCGCAACAGGGTGCGACGAGGTGCCTAAGCACTCGTCTCCAGGCACTGGGCAATCAGGCTGGTCAGGAGATTCACAGTCGTACTCCTTTTCAAGAGCACAACGAAGGGTACGTCGACCTCGAACGTGCGGAAAATAAAGGTCCGAAACTCGGCAGCCAGCATAGAATCCAAGCCGAAATCGCCTAGAGGCCGATCTGCTTCCAGTTCGCTCTCCGGCAGAAGGATGAGATTGGAGATCTTCTTCGATATAACCGCCCGAAGTGCATCGAGGATCGATGCCGTATCTTGGTGGTCGCGCAGCGCTCGCGCGATCTCCCCAGGGAGATGCGCCGCCGCGCTGTGCGTCTCGCTCTCGCCTGCGGCGCGGCGGGCAAAGGACGCAGTGAACAATGCAGCTCGAGGATCGGCAAATACATGGTTGTCTCCCTCGAATCCTCGTTCCCGCTGCTCCTGGAGGCCGATGAATTCCACCCCGGTAAGAAGGTGGCTGCCCGCGAGATGATCGTACCGGATGTCCCACGTGTATGGTCTTTGGTTCACAAGGGCCATGTTCATGATCTGGATCAGTTCGTCTTCGTTGATGGGGTGGATCCCTTTGCGCTTCATGAGGGCCTCGATGTCGGGGTGCTCGTGCAAATATCCCACTTCCGAAATCATCCCGTAGCCGATAGAGATGGCCGGCAGCCCGAGACGGTTGCGATAGCGGGCGAAAGCGTCTAAGAAGGAGTTGGCAGCGCAGTAGTTGCTTTCGGTCGCCGTGCCCACGGTCCCGGAGATGGACGACGTCGTGACGAAAAAGTCCAGCTGGGAGTCCCGACCCTGGCCCAACGCATTGTGAAGATTCCAAGTGCCCTGCACCTTGGGGCCGATGGTGGTGTGCCATGCGCTGTGCGGCATATCACTCCAGAGAGCCTCGCTGAGTGCCATGGCCGCCTGGATTACGCCACCAATATGACAATCCGCGGATTCCAGAGCCCGTTCGACATCCTCATACTTGCAAACATCTCCCCGGATCACCGTGACGTTGGCTCCTTGGGCCCGTAGATCATCAACTATATCCTTTGCCTCGGGTCTATCGGAACCAGATCGACCCAGAAAGATGAACCGTCGAGCACCGCAAGATATCATCCACTTGGAAAGACTGCGACCTAGCCCGCCCAGGCACCCGACCATGACGTAGCACTTTTGGGCACTAAAGGCGGTTTCATACTTCGTCGGAATCACCCGTATCTTACTGTTTGGATCCTGGAACGACACGGTTACTTTGCCCAGTCGCGTGCCTAGGGAGAAGTGCCTGAACGCATCGGTAATATCTGACGCGTCGAATGTCTTGACTGGAAAACACGGCTCACAGATCTTGGATCTTACTAGATCGAGACTCTCTGCAATCAGGGCTTTCCAGAGTTGATGGTGGGCATGCTTGTTGGAGAGATAGAGATTGGACAGGTCAAACGCCATGAAGGAGACATTACGGGCGAACGTGGACATGTCCAGGACGCCATGATCAAGGATGTCACGTTTCCCAATCTCTATGAAGCGGCCAAAGTCGGCACATACTTCAAAGCTGCTGTGTAGAAGCTCACCGGTGAGAGAGTTCAAAACCACGTCAACCCCCTGACCAGAAGTGGCTTCCATGATGGCAGGGAGGAAGGATGAATCGCGCGAGCTAAAAATATGCGCTGGATCCAGATCATACTTCTCAACGAGGAATGACTTTTAGATTCATTCCCGACTGTGGCAAAAATCTATCGAGTGGCTTAGTCGATTAATCTAAACTTGTTACTCAGTAGCTGGATCTGGAGGTATATTACCTTTGCTCCGAGATGCTTCGCGTATTGGATTGCCGCAATCCCAACCCCCCGGCAGCGGAATGAATAAGGACGGTCTAATCGATTCAGCCCAGTTCATGCGAGTGAGGAAGCACGGCACCTACCTCTCCTGGCTGCAGATTCGCCCGATGCTTCAGTCCATAGATGACCGTCGAAAAAACAATGGGAATAGTGGAGGTTGTCTACACGTATGAGCTTCTGCGTTTATGTAGAGACTCGATTACGTACCGTAAAATCTTCGTCGTCGGTCAATTTGCACACTGCCCAATGTGGGAAGCGCTCGACGGTTGCAAAATGGCCGGGAGCCATTGCAACTACACGATCACCAGTCTTGAAGTCGGAAACGTTGTCGCCCACAGCGGTGATAAAACCAGCACATTCACACGAGCATGATGCATCCTTGGTGTCTACCTTGGCGCTTATGGCATACAGATCCTATGTCTCGTTACCAACGCCGCTCATGGATCCTCGCTAGCGTGAGACCTACCTTGGCATTCATACCTACACTCTTCACGCTGATTTCCACATCATCTGGATGCAAGGCGGTTGTATACTCCTTGTGCACAAAATGTATCGTGTCCATTTGTCCGGGGTTCTTGATACCTAATTCGCAACGCCCGGCAGTCGCTAGAGGAAGGCCAATGGTATCCTTATTCTGCTTGAGACGGAAGGTTTCGTTGAGACGCTCGTCTGGTTCCCAGCGAGAGATATGGAGGACGCCGTCTCGTTGCGAGAATTCGAAGTCCGGCTCCGGTTCATGGATCAGTCGGTCCAAAACACTGACAATGTTCTGCAAGGTGTCGGGAGATGATGCTGATTTATCGTCCACATCTAGAACCGCAAATTGGAGGGAAGGCTGTTCGAGCATGAGCGCACGGGAGAGCCCCAGAACTGGCGCAAAGTCGGGGTTTTCTCCATCCACGAAGCCGCCATTGACGACCCATACGATCTTGGCTACCCGATCCGTAATACTTTTCAGCTGTGCCATCTCACCCTTGTCAATCCTGCTCAGGAGAGGCTTCTGCTGTTCTAGTGTGGATATGACGAATGACCGGTCCGGAACGGTCGTGAGGCTGACCTGGGACAAACCAACAATATTGACGACGGATCCTAAATGTTCTTGTAAGACCTTTTGGAGCTGTATGTCTAGGCGTGTTACGTTGTTATCTCGGGTCACCTGCACACTTGTCAGAAATATACGTGATGGAAGGTCATCTAAAGAGCTCACCACGACTGTCGGGGTTTTATCAACCTTTTCCTTGCTAGCCAGGCCGCCTATAGTCGCGACTGTCACAGGAAAATAACCACTTCCTTTGATGACCTTCGTCCAAGTGACAACGTCACCGAGTGCATCCGCCGTCGTGATGACAGTTGCTCCCGGTGCGAGCCTGCTGGAGAGGGCTGGTATCCATAGATCAACCTGTCACATATCAGTGTCAAGTCAAACTTGCGAAAAGTCAAACGTACCGAGGGGATGAGAACTATATCAAATTTCCTTTCCTGTGGAATCCCCGTTGGGCGCTCTGGTTTCTGCTCGCCTGCAGTCCCCGAGAAAACTTCCGCGCCGACTAGATCGCCGTCTGCAAAGACCCCACGACAATAAGTGTTATACCTTGCGAAAGAGGAGTCGACACGTAAGAGCCCACGAACAGCCTCCGCTATTCGGGCTTGGTCGCCAAGTTCGAGGATATTGCTATTACACCGCTGGTGACAGGCCAAATCCAAGGCACCAGCCAAGCGCAGCACACCCTCATCAGCCAATTCCTTAGAGCCGCAGTTCTGTGCGAACCGGTTCAGATACTCGTCAAGTCCCGTACTGGTTAGTGCAGGTAGATCCGGCTTCCATGCAGCTCTCACAAGAGGATTGCGTTGCTCTGTGGTTTCCGTTTGCCTGTTCCCTTGGTAGGCAATACAACGCGCCTGGCCCATTCTGATCAAGACCTGGCCAGACGAGTTGAATAGCTCTGCATTGATCTTTACCGTTCCAAAGCCTACGTTCTCCGACTCGGTGTCAATGCACCATGGTTTGGCGGTATCCATATCGAGGGCCGACGGAGGGGCGATGTAAACCGAGTCCATGGCAACAGGGACCGTAGCCCGGAGCTTACTCACCCAACCACTAGTTGTCGCAATGAAGGCCGTTTGTAGCATGGAATCTATGGAAATCGGATGTGCAATGTACTGACCAAACGTTTCTCCCCGCTGGAGATGTGTGGTGGCTGCTGCTACGTGCGCCGTGCGCGCGCGATCTCGGAAGACCTCCTCCATGACAGCAAACTGAGGACCCCAGTTGAGCCCTTCTTGAGTGAACTTGTCGTACCAGACACGGACCGCATCCTGTTGCATCTTTGACCTATCAAGCTTAATCTGTCGAGTTGTCCGTGGTGAGGTTTCTGCTAGGCGGACAGCCGCGTGCATATGCAAGGTCGCCTGGGAATCATTGTCGATCGAAACAACACTGAATCTCCACCATTTATCTGAATCCGCCAGGTTGGAAATCTTCATCGAACGCATCTCGGCAAAGGTCTCCACCATGGGCCTTCGCTCGGGATCCATGTCCAGAGCCTTGATGAAGTTGAGATTGCGAAGTTCCACACCAGGACAATCTTCCTGCTGCAGACCTGCAACCTGGCACATAGCCTCGACGGCCATTGCAATATATGCAGCGGCGGGGAATACCACTGAGGGGCCCAGACAATGATGTGTAAGCCATTCGGCTTCATTGAGGTTCAATACATTTCGCCACGTCACTCCTGCGGTACTCCCCCCGGACACTTGGGATCCGAGGAGATCGTGTCGGGGGGTATTTGCGGTGACGGAACACGGTACTGGCGCGAGGCTCAGACCACAGGGTGGGAGAACTGTAGTCCCAGGGATAAGGAGGCAAATCAACCAAGACACGGGTCTGGGTTTCATCCGCAAACATCTTGTGGTATTGAAGCTCATCGTGGCCATGTAAAAACAGTGAACCGACAAGCTGAAGGGTAGTCAACCAAGCATCTTGGTGACGTATGAGAGAGGAATTATAGATATAGCGACTTTGTTCGAGTGTCAAGGCACTCTGCTTGATGGGGAGCTGTAAAGCCGAGTGCGGACCAAGTTCTACCAGATGGTAACTGCCACGCGCCAGGATAGTTTTAATGGCCTCGTCAAATCGCACTGGAGATTCGAGGTTTGTACGCCAGTATGCGGGCACCCCAACCTGATTTGTACTCACCAGCCCACCAGTCACAGTGGAAACCATGACCACTGACGACGCTGGACCATCCACAGCGCCATTTGCATCGTGGTAGCCATTAGCCGTATTCCAATAGCGCTTGAGTAAGGCCTCATATTTCGGCCCCAGAATCTTCATATGATGCGAGTGGTACGCTTTGCCTCCGGTCTTTAGCTTTCGAGCCCAGATATCCTTTCGTTGGAAAATCCCAAGAAGATAATTGACGGCAACTGTATCCCCGCTCACGGTCGTGCTCTCTGGCGAGTTCGCACAAGCAACGGTAACAGACTCTCCCAACGCACATTCCTCGATTATCGCCTCGGTCTGATCTTTCCCAAGACCCACAGCAGCCATCGAACCATCGGTGGAGTCCTCAGCAACAGTAGTTCCGCGGAAATAGGACGCTATGATGGCTTGCCGGGCATCGATAGCCCCGGCCGCATACGCTGTTCCTATCTCGCCGGAGGAATGGCCTGTCACCATCTCCGGCAGAGAACCCCAATCTTTGAGTAGGTCCGTCAGGGCAATTTGCACCGCCGTACACAGTGGCTGCGATAATTCTGCGGCGCTAATATCACAGCTTTCATCACCTCGCAGAACACCCTCCAGTGTCCAGGCGGGCGCATGTTCTGGATCAAGGCCTCGGAGGCAAGAGTCAAGATAGCCTATAGTCTTTCTAAACACGTGGCTATGGCTCAAAAGCTCTTTGCCCATTCCAGCCCACTGTGCTCCCTGTCCGGTGTAAACAAAGGCCAACGGGAATGGTCCTTCGCTGTCAGAATCTCTCAGCTTCAGGCTCGCCATATTGAGCCCCCTATTCAGGCTCGCTTGAGATTCGATGAAAAAGCCACGAGTAGCCAGCTTGGAGCGACGACAGCTCAACGTAAAAGCCAGATCATCTATTCGAATCGTCCGAGCTGGGTGGGAAGCGAAATCAGCCAAGTTACTAGCCATCCGTCCGAGGGACGTCTCAGATCGAGCCGAAAGAGGTAACAGATAGAGCCTCTCTGCATTTTCGTCTACCAGCGGATCCCTACAACTGTTGGTCAATATGTCCGCCTGCACAGCTTCCAAAATAGCATGGCTATTTGAACCCCCAAAGCCGAACGAATTGATCGAGGCTCGTGGGACTCGGGATTCCGGCCAGGATTGATTGGTAGTAACAATGTCCACGTTCCATTCCTTTGATTTGATGCTCGGGTTGATGGCCTTAATCCCGGCCGTCGCCGGGAGTAACGCATTTTCGAGCGCTAGGGTGACTTTGATTAGGCTTGAAAGACCGCTCGCGCCTTCGCTGTGACCAAGGTTCGGCTTGATGCCCCCAACGAGGGTCGGGCGTCCCGTCCGATGACGAAAAACATCGGCTATGGCCTTGACCTCCATAGGATCACCGACCTTGGTGCCGGTCCCATGCGCCTTCCGCTGTTAGTATGGTAATTCGCCAGCATTCAGAGAAGCCTACCTCGACGTAGTCTGTGTCTCCCAGATCCAGACCTGCTCGACGATATGCCGCCCGAATGACGGCCTTTTGCCCTTCCACACTAGGCTGGACAATGCCTGGTGTTCGTCCATTCCTGGGCGTTATGATTAGCACTTAGGCCTACCACCAAAGTGAGAAACCCACCCGTTGACAGAGGTTCCTCGAATAATCGAGCGAATGGGATCTCCATCCCTCAGTGCATCACTGAGCCGCTTCAGATATACGGCTGACACCCCCTCCGCTCTACCATATCCGTTGGCCGATTCATCGAAGGTATGACACACCGAGTCTGGTGATAAAATCCCCGCTTTCACGGCAATCATCTGCTGCTCGGGAGACTGGATGAGGTTTGCAGCAGCCACCACGGCCGCGTCACAGTCCTGTGCATCTAGGGCTAAACAGGCCGAATGCAGCGCATACAAGGACGATGAACAAGCCGTATCGACCACATGGGACGGGCCACGCAGATCGAAGCAATGTGTAATCCGATTCGCCAGCACGGTCAGTCCCGATCCCGTGGCACTATATCGGGAAAAGTACTCCGGGTCTTTGTACTGCATGTTCAAGAAATCGTTGGTGAAGTTGCCGACATAAACACCGGTTTTTGAGCCCTGGACGCTTTCCAACGGCACACCGGCATTCTCCAGCGCCTCGTAGGCCACTTCGAGTAGCTTCCTTTGCTGCGCATCCATGGACGTTGCTTCGAGGTTGTTGATCCCGAAGAACGCGTTTTCGAAGGCTCGGATGTCCTCCTGGATGAAGTATCCGCCGGTCGAATTGATACTTCCTGGTCGTTCGGCATCCGGATGATAATATGCCGCTGCATTGTAGCGCTCTAATGGAACGTCACAATGGCCCGTCTCGTTCTTAACAAGCAATTCCCACAGTTTGGATGGGGATGAAGCTTTCCCTGGTAATCGGCATCCTAATGCACACGTCAGAACACCAAATTTGATGAGGATTTAGCGCTCCTACCAATGCCGACGATTGCGACTGGTTCACATTGGCGTGCGGGAGTCAATGTTGGGTACTTCATTCTCACGCCTAATGGAGTTGTTCAAAATAGCAGTGTCGTATCGGAATCCCGATGGGTGTGTAGGAAGGAGTCTACGGGTGATTGACGCGTCGTTACTGCCGTGCGCGAAACGTCCATTTTATCCTCTTATGCTTTCGCCACCCAGGTCAGGCACACCAGCCTCGGCTGGGTATAGCAGGCTCGCCGTACGAAGTTACGGTTGGAAAATGTCAGGGTATAGAATTCTGGTTTCCACTAGTAATCGAGCGGACCTACGGTCCCAATTAGAAGGATGAAAGAGTCTGCATTTAAACCTATTCAAAAAAGGAATACCATAATAGAATGAAGGAGAGAACTACTAATGCTGTCAATGATTGGAGAAAGGAGGCCTGATTATTGAGGGGCAGTTGGTGGAAGGCAGTTGGTGGAAGGAACTCGGCGGGAAGGATGGCTAGCATCTTGGTGGTAATCCTGGTCGACAGAAAAGCGGCCGTTTCTGGCCTCAAAAACGGTCATTTTCGGCGTCAATTCACAGGCCCTTAGAATTCTACTATAATTTTCTGGCCGCAATTCTTCGGCCCCCAAAAAAATTCAGGACTTTCCCTCTGATCGACACGAACTTGCATCATGGCTACTACTGCAGATAGGTTCCAGGCTATTTATGGCCCCTGCGAAATACAAATACCTGAAAACGATCACCAGCAATCAATGTTGTCACGAAAAAGGCTGATTTGATAATTGCAACGATGATCCCCCGTCCACAACCAATGTATGCCCATTGATATAGCTGGCAGCCTGAGACGCCAGAAATACCACCGCGTCGGCAACTTCCTCCGGGTCGGCCAGTCGTCTCAACGGCAAATCACCTAGCATAGCATCCTTAACGGCCGGCGCCTCGTCCAGGAATTTGTCCATCAACGGTCCCGAAACGTACGAGGGAGCAACAGCGTTGATTCTGATACCATTGCGCGCGTTTTCAAGAGCTGCTCTATCGAGTCAGAAATCCACGTGCCGGAATAAACCAAAGAAAGGACCCACCGGCGGTTTGAACCAGCCCTTTGACGGCGTGTTTGGCCGCGATATAATTGCCCACTCCCAGGAACGCCCCTTCGGAGGCCAGCGAGGTTAACAGTACGATTGAACCCCGAGTTTGGTTCCGCCGTTTAGTCGAAACTGGCTCCTGGCTGGTCATTGCCCGGATCACCTCGCGGACGACTAAAAAGCACCCGATATTGTGCACCTCATCCATGCTCCTATATGTTTCTAGGCTCATGTCGCTGATCGGGGTTTGGTTGACAGCAGCGGTCTTGCCTTGGGTAGTCAGAAATCGTTGAGCACGGAGGGAGAATCACGACTTGATTTGCTTACCCCGGCCGTAGTTACGCAGATATCGACGCGGCCATACCGGTCCTTGGCTCTCGCAACCAACGCTTGCACTTGCGCCTCCTCACGGACGTCAACACGATAGGCGGTCGCCTCGTAGCCTTCTCGCCCAGCGACGGTGTAGCTGGACGTGGCGGTTTCTTGGGCTTGAGAGAGATTGATGTCGGCGCAGACTAGGGTGGTGAGGCCTTGCGTGACAAGCGTATAGGCGACCGCGCGCCCAATGCCACTTCCTATAATTCAATTAATCCACTTATCAGTTTGGACGGTGACTTGCGCGAACAGTTGACCGAGTTGGTGTTGGGATCGACGAGGCAGACGAAAACCAGAAAGGAGGACGAAATGAACAGCGTACCAGCACCAAGGACCAGAGCGACACCTTCCACCTGCATCGGGGCTATGTACAGCGGCTTGCTGTGTGCACTTCTGCTGTTGGTGTCAAATTGAGTGTTCTTTAGGCTGGCGCGTCCCAGCTCACACCTTTCGTCAATGTAACCCTAATGGCTGTCATGCATGGTATTTTATGATTCTGGAGTACCCAAAGGGGCCAATACTACTCCCATATACTGCGGCCCGGGTGAAAGGCCTAGGACGTTATCGCCCGTTTTACCAAGGCCAGGGGCTGACCCGTGGGGCACATAGATGGTACATAGATCGACTGGTGTCCTGCTGGATACAGCTTGCATCGACGATCCGCCGAGGGCTAATGCTATATTCGGGTAAGCTTTCTATGTATGCCGGTTACATCGGTGCGGGTGGCTGTCACTAGTCCCCTGTATGGCTCGACACCAAGTGCGTCATCCGACGCAGCCCTCATACTTGGTCTTCATCACGCTATCCAATAATGATAGTTATCCGTTCTCTCGGAGACGACGCATCTTCCACCCTGATCCGCGAGCGATGGGGCATTTTGGCCCCCAAAGGGCGAGATTCGCCGCGGTGCTTAGAGCCAATTAATTCTTTGTCGCCAGCATCTTATTTCAATCCACTGCGATGACCCACGAGAGGTCCGTCCTGCATCGATTAGCCAGCAATCACCCTCACCTCAACATGCCGTGGACGAAAGCCGAGCACTCGCCGAACACCTTCACCCGGCCCCTTGGCCCCAACGAGGTGTTCATCAAGCTGGTCAGTGATCCCGGCCACGCGCTCGGTCGTGAACACTGGGCGATCAACTTCACGGCCACCATCAGTCCTCGCGGGGCATTTGAGGCCTTGTCGGTCTCGCCCGACCTTCTACCAGCCGTCATCCGCTACAGTTGGTTGCATCTGCGCTTCCAACACCCCAGTCTGGCTGCGCATCCTGACTCCTCAAACTCCAACGTCGTCTACACGGTTCCTGACTCTGCCGATGCTCTCAGCGAATGGGCGTCGCAGACCTTTACCGTAGAGGCCGACGCCCAGTCTGCCAACGAGGTGATTCCCACCATTGCACCAGCTGCCGATGCCCGGCTGTACTATGTCCCCAAATCGAGTGAGCTGCTCCTGCACACCGCACACTGGCGCACGGACGGAGTCGGCGGTCTACTTCTCCTCGGCCAGCTGGTGGACCTGATGGTCTCGCACGCCGACACTCTCCTCTCGGGGAAGCTGCCAGACGCGTTCGATTCTCTCCATTGGGGATCGGAGGTCGCACGGCTGGCACCACCCGTCGAAGAGGCCGGCAACATGACCCTCACTGCGACCGATGAGCAGAAGGCTATCGCCCACGAAGCAGTCGGCACGTTTGCCCTGGCAGCGGGCGCCCTCGGGGTGCCCTATACCGGGGATGCATCAACCGTTCCCTCCGGCACGCGGGCCGCCGAGCTTACGTTCTCGCCTCCCACCACGTCCGCAATCGTATCCGCCGCAAAAGCACGCAGCGTCGGGATAACGGCCGCCGTGCATGCCAGTCTGGCCGCGGTCAACTTCCGGCGCGCGATCGCCGAGCACCAGGGCCGCCACTACACCAGCACCATCAGACATTCGCTGCGGCCGTATCTGCCCGAACCGTACTCGACCCCCGCGGCAGCAGCCGGGCTATACACGACCGGCTGGATGGCACGGGTCGACGTCTCCGGCACCTGGTTGGAGAATGCCCGCATGTATCAGTCAGAGTATCAGAAGGGCATCAGCAGCGAGTATGTCCAGGCGCACCGGGAGTATGCGTCCACTTTGGTCGAGGTAATTAAGAACCTACCGACCCCGACAGAGCCGCCCAGCGATATCGATATCAGCAGCCTGGGGATCATGGAGAAATATCTGGAACGCGAATATGGAACCCCGGAGCGCGGTTTTGGCATCATGCATGCCAGTGTGGGCGTGGAAATGCTTTCCCGCCAAGGAGTGATTTTTGTGTGGACGTTCCGTGATCAGTTGACACTGCGGCTGGTGTATAACGAGGCTTTTCACACCCCGGGGCAGATGACGGAGTTTTTACGCGACATTCAGGCGGACCTGCTGAAGCAATTGCAAGTAGCGGAGTAGAAGACTGTTAAATTCTAATAGTCGCTGAGAATATAAGTACAAGGCTTGTACTTGTCCGTTGAGTTGTTCGGTAAACGGACAGCCTCGCCTAAACAATGCCGCGATCGAGTCGACCAAGTGCCGGGAGAGGGCTAATGGGTATGTTATTGTGCATGTTATTGAACTTCAGACTTCTGGAGATATACAGCTTGAATTGTATCGCAAGGAATGCATTGAAATGCATTGCTGGCATCTCCCTCGGCGTTCCACTGCGACACACCTTATCGCACGGCTCATTTGGTAAAATGAGACCGGCGCCTAAGCCGAAAGAGGTAGTACCTATGAAGAGAGATCTCTACAGGGAAGTTGATCCTGGGGAAACCTGAGGGGACAATACGTCATAGCAGCCTGGGTTGTATTTTGATATTTTGGCCAATTTAATGCCTTACCGTCCTGAGCACCGCCCTGTAAATTTACTGTATTCATATGATCCTCTTAAGCTTCGTGGAAATAGAGTCTTTTAATGTATTAATTTTATTTTAAGGGGTTTTCTTTATATTTTACTATATAAATCTCTTACAATGTACAAATTTATAGTACGAATAGCTTCGTTTTTTTTAGAGAGTTTTCTAAAAATAGCTTCATTTCGCATCCCTGCATGTTACGGCCACGGTACAATTGCCCCGTTATTACATGTATTTGGGCCTCGCATGATGCTCCCGATACATTTCCTTTCTTATCGTCAATAATCGCCACGATCGACCACCCATCATGATGTAATCCTTACAGGGATCTATGGGGGTCTGTGGGCCAGGGGAGTATCAGCAACGCCCCCGCCCAACATGACTTCTAGAGGTCAGTGATTACCATTTTTGTGTTAAATTTGATTACTACGTTTACCTGAACTTCGCTTTTGGTACATTTCGCTGCCTAATCCTGAAACATCCGGGACTGAGATCAGGACCTAACACTACATCCCTTACCACCCAGGGATAACGAAATCTTACATAATTTTTTTTTTCATTCGCGAAAATCCTAGCTAAAACTCACAGAACTTAATATTTTATACTCTAAATATATTATAGCTTTTTTTCTCACCGTGCCTCTCCGTTCATATCTCACCACCTAGAACTCTCGCGATATATCTATGTACGTGGTTGGAAACAGGACATGGAGAGCTTCATAGGTTACGTCTGCAAAATCACCAGCACAGAGATAACCGCATCAGACACACCGTTGACAGCACTTGAGCATTGTCGAAACACCAATGGGCTCACATACAACGCCTAAAAGTACAGCAGAAGGCAGACCGGCAACAAACATAAAAGCAGAACCGAGAGACACATGTGCTTGCGATCCGTCAGACACTATCCCGCTCCGAGTCCGATCGCATTGCTTCGGTGGTGGTGTTAAAGTTATGCCTTTTTGGAGCCCCGGAGTAGTGGTCCATGAGGATGGCCTCTCTGTCTTCTTCGAGGGGACGGAATGATCGCTTGCCACTCAGCAAGTCCGACGCAGTTTGCTTGCTCGCAGATAATGACATTGCGCTGGTACTTGGTTGCTTATTCCTGCTCGCAGGCGGCGCCCGAGTTCCATAATATTCGGGAGGCAGACGGACATGAGAGAAATGGGGCCTTCACACTGCACCCAACAGATATATTCGATGGTGCTCCAGGTCAGATCGGCTTCCAAGGCAGAGCCGGCCTTGAGGAGAGTAACGAGCCGACCGAGAGAAACGATGACCACTCTGGCACATGCCAATGCTGGTTAGCAAGCTCCGGATGGTTGGACCGTGTATGATGTGCTCAGGGAACTTACGAGTAACCGCAAACGAAGAGGCCGCTTAGCATGACCTTCTTCGCCTTGGTCATTTGCAACGTCCAGAGAAGTGGCAGCGGGATCAACAGGATGATCACATCTAGGATCGCACTAGGGGCAGCAGTCCCGGTAAAGAATTCCACTGCGTGAAGCATTTGGAGTCGGGAACGGCTTCCCAGGAGGCACGAACGGGCGTGCACTGGAAGGTGGTCGCGAACCAGGATCCGATCAGCCAGCAAACGCAGAGCGTTCCGACCACCCAGAGCGTAGGGCGGACCCAGGTGCCTCCCCGTCTGAGCACTCGATCGTAGAAGCAGAGCACCGATAATTTGGGAAAAGTAATGCATGCATCGTATAAGTAGGCGGCGGCAAAGATAATCTTTGGCCCCTCGAGTTGATTGCTGATGGGTAATGTGGCCGAATGACGACCCAATCCCTGGGAGATCCAGTAGAATATGAGGGCCGATTCGGCGATAATGAAGGGCTATGAGACACAAGGTTACCACTCAATCCTCTGCGTCAAGTCGGGGAAAACGCTCACCAATGTTAGGATGGCAAACACGTCGTCATAACCAAACTTGTGAGTGCGCGACCCCCAGATGGACCAGCAGCGGAGCGCGACGGAGGCCACAGCCAATATGAGCATCACGACACAAAGGGTGATGAGCCCCGGCTGGCGGTTGCCATCAGACTCTGTAGAAGACATGTTCCGACCGCTATCTCTCGGATCTGGAACGAACTATGCCTAATAATGGGCACGAAATGGGTAGTACGAACCAGAGAAAAAAAGGAGAGACGGAAGCAAGAAGGTAACGGACGAAGAACTTCGTTATTGCAAAGAGAAACACCCACGAACGACTTGGCCTGACACGCCACTCCGTACCTTGTTAAGATAGACACAATCCCTGCAGAGTATGCGGGGGCCATTGGTCTCTGCATTAGTCCAATCCAACATGCTATTGTCTCTGAACCCTCCACGGCTGACGATCCCTGGCTTAATCTATCGTTGAGGGCCGGGGAGGTTCATTACATGGCATTACATACGGATTCAATTCGGCACTCCGGAGTACGGATCCCCTCGGTTGGGACTCCAATGGACAAGTTGGTGGTCAGGCAGATCCCTGTTAGGACCCACCACGGCAACATCGCGATACTCTATACATAGTACATCCTGGGTGCCCGCTGAGCCATCCGCCCCCACGACGGACCCGCTAGGTTATACTACGGGGCGAGATCCCTGTTTTGCGCTGGCAAAGTGAAGAAGATCGCCAGCCCAATGAAGATCGCCAGCCCAATTGAATATATCGGTTCGATCCATATGCCCGTGCAATTCTGCCTTGGCCCCTGCTGTTGCATCGAGTGCGGATATCACACCGGACCCACTTTTGCGAGTCATTCTGTCATATGAAGGTGTCCAACTGGGCACTATTCTACACCCGCCCATCACCTTTGTTCATCCTCCGGTCCTGATGTTGGCGCTCGACTTCAAGAATTGTTCCTAGAGCCCTCCATTGGGCGCCAAGGGTCGGACCCCTTGTCCTATGCCCCTGCCAACGCAACCCATGGGTATCTATGGGTCTAGAGAAATAGACGTGGACCGTTGGTCCGATGGCGACCAATATAAATATAAAGGTCTTGCATAATTCAATCCGAATAGGAAGCCTTTTGACCTGCTACTTTGGTGAATTCTATTAGAGCTCGGGCCTATCTAGTATACGGCTCGGCACGAATACATATTCGTAACCTTTGAGATATTCGCATTCGTATTCGTAATTTACAGACCTCTACGAATATTCGTATTCGCAAGGCCAATATTCGTACGAGGCTCCCTTGAGATCCATTAAAAAGAGCATAAACGTGGGTTTCCTATGCTTACAAGTCTGGGGCGAGATATAATGTCGATCATAGTAACTAGAGTAGGGGCTGGAACGTTTCTTTTAACTCCGCTTAGGATATCTATTATTACCGCTAAGGGTCGTTAAAGCCAAAGACTATCTAGGATGTTATGCTATAGATGTGTATGATAATATTTAATCTCTAAGAGTGCAAAATCGGATAAAACGTTAAGAGAGACTTCAAATGTTATATTTTGATTGAGTAAGTACGTCAGCATATGATGATTTTCGCGGTCTCTAAAAATGTCTCTCTGGCATAGGAGTCTGAGGTTGTAGTAAAAATGCAGTATAGTCCTGTGTGTCTGGCCAGTTTATCTGGGTTTTTTCGTCGTTAATTAGAGTAGTGGTTTTCGGTCAGAGTAAGGTCCTTGAGAGCGTTAGGGTAGTGATGGCAACGAGTTACATTGACATTTGTTTTTGCCGGAGAATTTCGGAACCGATTCTCGAAGGAGCGCGGCATGGTATATCGAGCAGAGATTCTAGAAGCCGTTATTGAAACCGTAGCTATCGAAAAATTCTTGTATGACCGTAGCAAGGGATCCCTATCTAGAGACCGACGTATATTAGTATTACAAACAAGCTTGCCGCAAGAAGAGCATGTGGTACCTCTACTAGCAAGTGCTATTCTATTCTCAAAACGAGCTACGGACAACCGAATGTCTGATAGGGAAATCTCGAGTGGGAACATGTCCGAGGCAAGGGCGTATAATTCTTTCTCTTGTCGTAGGAAGCCTGCTCCTCTGAACTTAGCTACTCGAATAAATTAACGGTCGGGTAGAAAGAACTTCTATATAAGTAGCGGAAATCAATAGGCGGTTGAACAATTAATGATCTTCTAAACCTATAGTCGAAACAACGTATGACGCTAGCTAGAGTAGGGAAAGGGTTCCGATCGTTATAAGAAGGGTAATAAGAGACATTCTAAAACTGTACAACTTCACAACCTGTATAGCGAACATTAGGTGAGTATGTCGGGATTGGAACATAGTAGCTCAAGTAGGGACGTGTTGTGTGCATAGGAAAAAAACATGCTAGTCGACAAGCGGGGCACCGCGGCGGTTAGATAGTTGTAGATAGACGTACTTAGCGCCTATAAGTATAATAAGGCCGGCTAGATAACATTGCGGAATGGTAACACGAAGGAGTGTAGAGGGGTAAAGCCTATTAATGATATAGTGACAAGAGATATTAGTGGTAACACATAATAGAGCGTCGTAGTAAAGCGATGACTAAAGAGTAAGATACGAAGCAATCATAGAAGGATAACGTGTAGAAATATGTAGACGAAGCCCTACAACCCTAAAGCTAAGACTATCTAATCCGAAGAAGGCATGTCTTACGCAGGTATAGGCGCGAAATAGGGCGAATGGGCGGCGCGCGTGGCAAAATGGCCTATACGTAGTTAAGCCACGTCTTTTTGTATACGTCTCGCGCACATGTACATCCGTGTTGATTAAAACCCTTCCTCTTACTTTGTTCGTTTTAGGGTATAACGTAAAGTACGGTACTTTACGGCAAATATTTAAGACGTATGTAACCTCTATGCCCCTTCCCTAGGTCGTAGATATTTACCTACCTACTGCCTGGTGTATCGTGCAAGGTAGTCATATGGCACTAAGACTACCCCCTTCTAAGTTACATTTTATTCGTGATATGATATAGAGCCATTCGCTAACCACGTCTCAAATAGCTAAAGCTAAATGTAGCGAGCGTACGATCAAAAATATTCGTAGAAACATACAGCAATTTAGAAATATTCACGCCCCCCTAAATCGAATCGGTCGGAGATGAACCGAAATACTATCGATGCTAGAAGTACTATGCGATTACTAACTCGAGAGACCCGCCCTCTACTTAAACGAGACGGCCGGCTTCCTCCGATGAATTCTAGACGCTAGTAACCACCTTAGTATCCGGAGGGCCCTTATGTCTAAGGGTTAGTCAAAATAATAGACAGATAGGACTATCTGGAAGGTTACGATAGCGAGCGTGAAGCATATTAGGAGAATTATAACACTATCGTCGAAAAGAGCCTAGATGTCGATCGGTGAAAGGTGTCTTCTTATGTGAGGTTGTAAGTATTGATTTAATCATATGGAAAGTAGATTTTCTTATTTTAGGCATCTAACTTTGGTATTGTGTCTAGATGAACGTTTAATATGCCGAGAAATACGTAGCGTTGTTTCGCTGTGAGGTCTTCTGACAACTCAAAATATTATTAATTTGAAGCGAGAATTTATTTGATTGACTACTTAGGGAGTTAGAGATACTATGAAAATAAAAATAGACGTTCTACTAATAGGCCGATTAATGCTAGGTCCGTATTTAAGCCAAATGTTATCACGTGTAGGCCGTGGGTGATGATCTCCTGCGTACACCAGGTTTAGCATAATACCACTCCGCACCGAAACGTATCTATAAATACGGGATTAACCACATCGGGATCTGTGGATCATGTGACTAGAGTTCGACAAAGCCCCTCTGTGTTTATGGCATAGAAGGCAATTACGGGTCGCGACTGTAGCCCCTAACGCCTACGTCATCTTTCCTCCTTCCATTTCCCTCGCGCGTCCTCGAGTTTAGTCCGGTTTTCTTTGCATAGGTTACAATGTCTTGTATGATCTCGTTGCATCTGCGGTACTCCGCAACTGATTTAGAAAATTCGAAACATCCTTCTCATAAAGCTTGGTCTAAGAGCCTAGTGATGCTGCGAGATCTACAAAGAGGAGTTAACGGTCCCCTCAACCCACGCAGCTATTGCTGCGTGGATCAAGATGATCTCAAAAATGTCTTCTATCTTTGGGGTAAGTCCGTCTTGTCTTATACGTTGAATTTCGGTAAATCTAAGTTTGACCGACTGTAGAGGAATGCCCGGACAACATATTCAGGGCAATCAAGGCCACCTGTACATCTGAGGCGTCGGAATTGGGTCGACGACTGTCACCACTTCTGGAAAGACCGCTGTCCGAATATCCTATCTGGAGACTTGAGGAGCAGCTGCGGATGATGCATCGATTGGACTTTCCCTACTCGTGCTTGGAGCTTCTCTTTGTTCATAATGGAAAGCGTCCTCTATGGCTCCCTACATTCCTTGACGCCTATGCGCCCGGAGGATCGAATAGTGGCTTGTACTATGTTCCAGTCAATCGCCAAGGCCATAACTTCTTGGAAAGGTCCAATGGATACACTAGTTTCTATTGCATCGAGTGGAACACCTTCGAACGGCGTGAAGAGGTATTTACGGAGCCGGCCTTGAGACAGGGGATGAAGCAAATGTACAAGGAGGAGCGACAGCCGATTCTACAGGCACTTGGGAAAACGGAGGAGGAGCTTACCTGGGAAGAAGACCTCCAGATTTTTATTGAGTCTACGGGGCCGGAAAAAGTCCAGAGGCATTTCGTGCATGCTACGCTAGTGGATGATCAATATTTGGGATTGGATAACAGAAAGAAATTACCCTGTGTGATCTTGTAACTGAGCTAGATTAAGAACATGATTGTAGTCCGGTGTCTCCTCCATTGGTGTTTGTGCCGATTGGTCTCCCTAAAGCGTAATCGCACTAAGAGTCTCGAAACGTGTAGCACTGAAGAGAGTACAGAAGCCGATAAAGTTGCGTGTGGAAATACATCGCAGAGCGTCACGATAAAAGGAGGGTCAATGAGCAGCATGCGAAGCAATCAGAAAGGCCGAATGTGCAGAAACATGCATAGGAAGCCCTAGAACCCTAAAGGCCAAGGAAAACTAGACCGAAAAAGGCAACACAGGGGCGAATGAGTAGCGCGCGTGGCAGTAGAGGTCCTACGTAGACAAGGTCCTTTTTTTCGCGAGTCTTTTCGCAGATTTTCGCGGACGCGCACGTACATGCACGTTGATTAGTTCCCTTCCTCTCACTGCGTTCGTTTCAGGGCATTGGAATTACAGTACCTCACTGTAACAGTTCATAGTTAACAGAACGGGTTGGCGTCGAACGGTAGCTTGGTATTAAACTAACCTCTTGCAGCTTGTCAAGTCTTTGCATCTCTGCGAGAATCCGAGGATCCGGTTTGAATTGGAGGTCTTTCATTTCGATTGGTTGTAGAAGATGGAGCCCTTTGCGCGTACGTAGTCTGGACAATTGCACGTAGGTTGAGCAGAATTTCTGGTGGCGGTCTGGACCGCGCATCGTCGGGTCATCTTTAAGATCCAGGATCGCTGAGTCAAGCGTGGAGCCCTGCACTTTATAGTCTGTGAGGCAGAATGCCGGCGTCATAGGTACAGTACCTGTTTCCGTCGGACCGACCCTACAGACGATACCCGCTTTGGGACCCGATTAAGGTCGCTTGGAATGAGATTGGGGTTCAGGATAATCCAGATAGTTGCTCTGGGAGTCTTTCCGGTATCAGTGAATTTCTAGAGACGTGGTACGACGGAAAGCATCAAGCGGTATATCACGCGTATAGCCTAGAAGGCATTCCCGTGGTGACAGAAGCAGCCGCACCGTGTTGAGTTTGCAGCAAGCGACTCTAGTGGAAAGAAGACTACCACCTCCGTACTCTCTCGGATGGTCACCGCTTCATGGCACGTAAGGAGGCTATCCTCGCCGCTGGTACTCTACGGACTTTCCAGGTCCTCATGCTATCTGGAATTGGTCCCGCCACTACACTCTCCGAGCATGGGATTTCAACTATCATCGATGTGCCACACGTTGGCAAAAGCCTGACAGATCATTTCGCGCTCTTCCAGCTATACAGGTTACGAAACCCAGAGCGGGATCTCGTGTTGGGGAGTCCGCTCCTCTCTGAGCCGGCATTTATGAAGGGCATGCCCACAGATTGGGTGATTAACCAGGACGTACTGGTCCATATTCTCGAGCCAACAGTGCGCAATTATAACGCGTGATCGTGTTCAATATCAGACGAATCTATCTTGAAGCCCGGCCGACCACTTGTTGAAACGATGATGGTTTACGCACCAGCGGGTGTTCCTAGCGTTCCTATAGACGGCAGCCACATTGTGACCTCCGTGATGCTACTTGCTTCAAGCTCTCGAGGAAGCGTTAGTATCAGGTCGTCATCGCCTATGAACCCTCCATTGGTTAATCTAATTACCTTGACACCGAAGCGGATCGTGTCACCCTCATATCGGGCTCGTCGCATGATGCAGGCTTTGTTGAATATGCCTGCATTGAGCAATTATATGGAGGCCGAGGTGCCTCCTCTCGGAATGCATAAGTTGACACCCGAATCACCAGATAGTTTGTTTGAAGCACGAATCCGTGCGACTGGTTTAGCACATGCTCATCCGGCGGGTACTGCTACGATGGGCAAGGTAGTTGATCCGGACCTCCGTGTCTATGGAGTTGATAATCTTCGAGTTGTTGACGCTAGTGTGTGCTTCCAGTGAGCATCGGTGGTCATCCCTAGGCCACTCTTTATGCGGTAGCTGAGCAAGTCGTTGATATTATACTTCAAGCCCGAGCACAAGAATAACGCAGCAAATGTATAAAATTTATGGGTTTCGGGAGTGGTTATTGTGGTATAGTCCGAACGTGGCTTAATATATATCACCACCTGCGCTGCAAATTGCCAATGCATTTAGACTATGTCTTTCTTGGAACTTCACTGGTCTCCTCCTGCATTCAACGTGTAATACTTAAATATAACAACAACGCTACTCGGGTTATTGCTATGTTCAGGTGTGTGGTGTTTGCAGAGGGCCGGGAAAACGTTTAACCAGATGTTAGGCCGCCCGCCAAGTGGCCATGTGTCTTAACCTCTGCTGCACTTAATGCCCATAAACACTTCAGGTCACGTCTAAATTATGGTATATATACCTGGGGTTAATCTCTAATACCCAAAGTCGATGAAATCGATCAAAAAATGGACAAAGAAGATCATCCATCCAAAAGCGACCGTGGATGAACCTGAGGAGGCACCCCCTCCGCTCCCATTTCTCAACACCCCGGCCATACCACCACCAACAGAAGCCTGCAAACAGTCTTATCCCAACAACTACGGCCTCTTCGGACGACTCCCGCTGGAAATCCGGCAAGAGATTCAGGTGTTTGCATTTGGCCAGCGCACCCTCCATGTGGATCTGAGGTATGGTCCGCTGTACCCGCCCCAGGCTCAAACAGAAAATAAATTGCGCCCTGATCACGTTCAACAATCCACCTGGCGATGGTTTAGCTGCGAGTGTTATCGCTGGACGAAGCTGTCCGATGCGTTTGTTGCGCATCAGAATGTACGCCCCCCGTTTGATGATCACTGTGTGCCGACACGCTTGTATTCGCGTGGATATACGGGACCCCCGTGCCTACGGGCTGCTCTATCGGGATAATGGGATGGTTGCTTGCTTGTCATATGGCGTAAATCCCCGTATTCCCTGATATGATTGGTATTGGTTTACTAATATTGATATAGGTATCAAGATGGAATGGAAATTCTATTCACGACGAATACATTCCACTTCTCCGGCCTAGAGCTCCAACAGAACTTGTCTCGATTGCTCCCTCCCCAAAGGCTAGCGAGTATCTCCTCTCTAGTCCTGATCTGGGATCTAAAAAAGCCCCGTCAAAAGTACTACAGTGAGAAAAATAACCTGGTCGGTGTACTCTGGGAGAGGGCCGTCACGGCATCCCCCGAACCGCCGTCTGGGGCTGATTCAACACTTCACGAGTTATGCCGCATAGTCCCAGAAACCTTTCCTAATCTTCATCACTTATATATCTCCTTGCAGAGTCATATCGCACCACCGGAGCCGAAGATCTTTGAAGATCCTGTGGGCGAGGTGGAGAGGGTTATCCTGAGTCCGATTGACGAAGTGGTACGGGCTTTGGGACCGGGGAGGGATGTTAAGATTGCTATCCAGCTTGGGGGGTGGCAGGCTATTTGGCGACGGCGGTTGAAACGAAATCCGGGAGAGGTGATTGTCAAGTTTGATGAACGATCCGGGAGTCGACTTTGGAAGGGGCTTGGTGACGCCACTGGCCAGCCAGAATTGGGATATTGGTTGTGCGCGGGGTGGGACGATATTGATCGTATGGGGCCGGTATTCTACGGTGATGTGGATGTATGGGGTGAAGAGATATCAGAAAATTATGTATCTACACATGGATAGCAGCGGTGGCTATTTTTGGGGAGGGGTATTAGGGCGAGGACAGCAAGATAGAGTACCGCGGTGGGGGGCGGAAGCCATGTATACAGTACCATTGTGTAATTTTACGTAGCAAGATACAGTACTATACGCGGTGCATATTACGGTGTCCCTCACTTTAATGCGACCCGCTCAATAAATGATCCGCGCTAACGCCTTGGCAGTGGGGCCAGGAAAGAGTTTCTCAGTGTATATTGGTCAAGGCGATTTCGAGAACGACTGTATAAGGATTAGGATCTAGAATTCTTCATTGGCAAGGGAATAAAGATGGGAATTGCTCGACGGTTCGTAGATGATATTAGCGCTAGGCTAAGAACGTGAAGAAAGCAATCCCTATTTATGAAGTAATTTAGATAAGAGCCAGGTGCTTATTTAGGAGTTGTGGCGTTGTCTAGAACTTCGAAATAGTTGTCATACACGTTATATAGTGCGCCTTTAGATTATTGTGGCGAAGAAACTACCGCACGTCAATATTAGGAAAATTCAATTGGCTTGAGGCGTATCGGGGATGGTGTTGAATGTATCCGTCTCACACTGCACCTTAGAGCGAAGACGGAAGCTAGCCGGAATATCTCATAACCTCAGCGTTTTATTCTCGCCCAGCGGGTTTGGTTGTCGAAAAAAATATCTTTCTTCGCCTTTCATGCGCTTGAGGCCCAGTTTTCGGAGGTCGGAAAAAAATGCGAAGGCAGCGTCGAACGTCTCAGGATGGGTCTAGCCATCCCTTTTCACAAGGCCTTCAATACTATCGAAAAAGTCTTAAACCTCATTCCATCCCTCTGTTTCAACTAAATGGTGACTTAATTCCTCCTTGGTGAAGTGATAGGGGCAATCGCCTTGAATACCCATTTCTTGTCAATGCCTAGGTGTACGGTTAGCCAAACCCGATATCAGAGTCATGAGTTATACTTTCCACATTGATAAGCGCCTCTCGAAAAGACACGATTGCATCATCCCAGGTATTCCTAGCTAGTTCGACAATAAGGCGTCTTGTCTTTCCATGGTCTAGATAGAATGCTTTGCCTCGCACAGGGTTGCGTTTCTCGGTTTCTAGTAGGTAAAGATGGAAAAGAGTGGACATAAATATCTGCCTTTTAATCCGCATTTGCTGCTCAGAATCTAGATCCTCAAAATTGTCTGGACGCTTGAGTAGAATGCTGCCTTAATAATCCACGAGTAGAGATGGCTGCGCTTGAAGGAAGAGCGGACTAGCCCACGAGCCGTGCTAATCGATGATGGCCGTTATAGAATTGTCTTCGACAAAAAAGTTGGAGGAGGGAAGGTCGCAATGCCATAGTGTCGAGCGATTTAAGACAGGATCAACGTCCATGAGGCATGAGGCAATAGTCAAGTATTTTGGAGTATTTCCAGATGTGCTGGTGGACTGTTTTGGGCCAAAGAAACCAGCATAACCTCATCTGACGGCTTCGAAACGGCATACTTTTTTATCCACTCCACTTCGCGCAAGCCGATACTCGTCGCATAATCCTGGGGAGTTGACCTTAGAGACAACTAGACATTAGATATTCACGGTAGGAAACACCTACAAGGACCTCGTGATATATTCATAGTAGAACGCTCTTTTTCCTGGAAAGCCCTGTCAACAGAAGGGCCGATGGTGAACTTTTTAGAGACATGCTCTTTTAGTTCAACGGAGCTCTCACTCGTGATCTGGGCCGGTACCGCACCATCGATTTGATTTGTTCGGCCACAAATTTGGGGGTTATATGCATCATTTAACATCCAGATTAATTGGCAATCAAGTTCTAGTAATACCATGAACAATAAGAAATGATCCCAGTGTCAAGATTCATACAGTATCACAGCAGTACCTTGAATTTTATTCAGCAGGCGGTCTAGGCGGTCTTGGTTGGATGATGACCTTGGAAGTAACTAAGGCGTTCGTGAAAAAGACATAGGGTCACAGGGTTGTATGTCTGACCAAGTCTGTACCCTGCCACTGCCTATTATTATTTATTGCGCTGCCTTGCAATATCTTTCTGCAATCTCAGCAACTGAGTCTATCGCGTTCTTGAAACGGGTGAGTGTGCTTTGATGTTACTAGTTCACTGATTGACGGGCGTAGAAGTTAATGTTTTAACAGCAACCGCTAATCCATACGACTGATAGGCGAAGCGGTCCTTCTTGCTCGGTCGATTTTACTCTCTTCCAAGACGTTTCGTACAGTACTTATGAGAATTAACTAGAGAGAGTCTCACTGCGGGACGTGAATGGTAGCTATACGGGCTAGGGGCACCCATTCTGCTCATGGACTCGAGGAGAGCTCTAGTAGTTCGAATACCCTGCGCAAATAGGCTGTTTGGCGTGAGGGGAGCCCTAGGAACTGACAGGGTCAAAGATAGAAGCAGATCTAGGCCATTTGATAACCCTGGACCCAAGAAACATGGACTGAAAAAGCTTTAGGCTTGACAAAGATAGTAGACTTTATTAAATAATAATAATAACCCACCGAGCCGATAAGTCGTGATGTGGGTCCGACCTGCATGGCGTTTTGAGTCAGGTTCTCCGTCCCAAGTCCCAACAAGGGTCCGAATCTCCTATGAAGGAAAGTATGAGACATCCATGCACATACCCAGTCCACGATCCTAGGGCAGACCTAAGCGCCGCAAGGCTCCCCGAGCAAGACGCTCACTGTAGACTGGAGTGTATTCGAAGCCACAATATCGAGATAGCCATCTCCGTTGAAGTCACCTACTGCAACACCCCACGGGTTGTTCCCCACGTCGAATGTGGCCTGCGGCTGGAAGCTCCCCGATCCAGTCCCTAGCAAGACGCTCACTGTATTTTCGATTGCACTCACAGTCACAATATCGAGATAGCCATCTCCATTGAAGTCGCCCACTGCAACACCTTGCGGCGAGTTATCTACGGGGAATATAGCCTGCGGCTGGAAGCTCCCTGATCCAGTCCCGAGCAAGACGCTCACTGTACCGTAAGTATTCGCAGTCACGATATCGAGATGGCCATCTCCGTTGAAGTCGCCTACTGCAACACTCCACGGATAGATCTCCACGTCGAATGTGGTCTGCGGCTGGAAGCTCCCCAATCCAGTCCCGAGAAAGACGCTAACTGTATAGCCGTCACCATTCGTAGTCACGATATCGAGATGGCCATCCCCGTTGAAGTCGCCCATTGCAACACTGTACGGAGCGTTCCCTACGTCGAATGTGGCCTGCTGCTGGAAGCTCCCTGATCCAGTCCCGAGTAAGACGCTCACTGTATTGCCGTGATAACTCGTAGTCACAATATCGAGATGGCCATCTCCGTTGAAGTCGCCTACTGCAACACCGTACTGATTGTTCCCCACGTCGAATGTCGCCTGCGGCTGGAAGCTCCCTGATCCAGTCCCGAGTAAGACACTAACTGTATTGCCGCCACTATTCGCAGTCACGATATCGAGATGGCCATCCCCGTTGAAGTCGCCTACTGCAACATCGTTCGGAGAGTTCCCCACGTCGAATGTAGCCAGCGGCTGGAAGCTCCCTGATCCAGTCCCGAGTAAGACGCTCACTGTATTGATGTAGTCACTATTCGCAGTCACGATATCGAGATGGCCATCCCCGTTGAAGTCGCCTACTGCGACACTAAGTGGTTCCCCCCGCGTCGAACTGGGCCTGCGGCTGGAAACCTGGGAAACTTGTACATATGCAGGCGCCTGATGAGCAAGTTGATACAGCAGAGCACTGTAAAACTGTGAGTATATATCTCCCTAGCAATAAAAAATCATCCTAACTTACAACATTGCCACACTTCCCACAATTATTGTTGTCCGAGTTAAGAGAAGGACAGGTGCCATTGCAAGGACCTAGACCAGAGTTCTTGCATATACAGGCGCCTGATTTGCAGGTCGATCCAGAAGGGCACTAGGGAAATGTGAGTATATATCTCCTTAGCAAGAAGACCATCATCCTAACTTACAACATTGCCACACTTCCCACAATTATTGTTGTCCGAGCTAAGCGAAGGACAGGTACTATTGCAAGGAGCTAGACCAGAATTCGTGCATATACAGGCGCCTGATCTGCACGTCGTTCCAGTAGGGCACTGAGGAACTATGAGCATTAATCCCCTTAGCAATGAGTACATTGCTTGGACTTACTACATTGCCACATTTCCCGCAATTATTGTGGTCAGTATTAGTTTGAGCACAAGAACCAGAGCATAGGTTTTCGCTCGCGCTTGTTTTGTGAGGTCCACATATATAACAAGGTCCTGTTCCGAGTGCTGCAAGCGCTATACATGAGAGGGGCTGCGTGTGGGATATTCTGTGTACACCACTGTAGACAGAGATCCCTGCCCTGAGCCAAGCTCGGAGCTACCATGTGTAGGATCAATCAGCGTGAGCTCATGTTCATGCTACGGGAAGGCGTACCGAAGGATGTTAGGACGAGAAGGGCGAGGACGAGTTGGGCCATTGGATATGCTGCTTTCTTAATCTGCCAGTGTGGCAAAGATAGGGTAGGGCACGGGAAGATTACGCAAAAAAAAAAAAAAAAACCAGAGTGGAAAAGTAAACAGGTGGACAAGTTCGAGGCTTTTATTTGACCTAAGTCTTGTGCATATGTCGCTGGCATGGTGGCTTACAACTCGACAAATATCTGCCGCGTCTAGAGTCCCACTAAGAATGTGGTTGTAAACACAAGAGACATTACATTTAACGAAAATAACCCTTGGTGGTGCTACTTGTATATGTCTCTGGAATGGTGGCTTACAACTCGACACATATCTGTCGCGTCTGGAATCCCACCAATAATTTGGTTAACACAAGAAGCATTACATTTAACGAAAATAAGCGTGGCTGATGCTATAGCGCGGAATAGCTCATAGTCATATCCATGTTAGCTAGCAAGGCTTAAGGGTTTAATCTACCGTATTTAGCTTTCGTCTGTCTTTGACGACTCCTTTTATTAGCCGTTCGAGATCTTCCTTTCACTGTCAGTATAAATTTAGAAGAAGATGGCTTAATCTTTTCAGACAGAAAACTTGAGGATTTATATACACGTCCAGCATCCAGATTGATTGGAAATCAATTTTGGTAATTCAGTAGAGGACAGGAAGTGGTCGCACCAGTTTCGGGACGCACTGCACCGGAAAGGAGGTTTGGGGAGTATAGTGAAAGTCGAAAACAGATTCCCCCTTGCACACACACGCTTTGTCTCTCGGCCTGTACCCGAAACCACTCTAACCCGTATTGGGTTACTCTGTAAACAACCCCAGCGTAACCGTATCGGGTCTCAGAACGTATTGGATTTCAGCGCGCCATGGGTAATGGTAAAATACTGGAAATCTCTATAGAATTATCTAGGCAGGGTTCTCGAAGGGGGTGGGGGAGATCTGGCGATCTGGCTTGATCCATCCCCTTTCTTCCTTATCCCACACTGCCTATCAAGACTGTAGAAGCGTCCCGCAGGACTATCCCTTATTTGCCCCTGTGCGCTCACCAGACGTGCCTTGCTTAAGAGTCTACTTAATGTATTCTAGTAACAACGAAATCGATGACCGCGTCTCCCGGCTCTAACCATGCCTGATCCGCAGGATCCCACCCCATATCCTCCCAGCTGCGTAACCAGGCCTGTGCCTCCCACATCGAGCCCGTCTCGGCACCGACCTGGTTCCACATCTTCGCGAAGGATACCGGATTATGACGCCACTGAAGAACCTTAAGTGTTGGATTGATGACTTCCTTTGCCTCGACATTGCCAATCTGGTACCCCACCACCAGAGCGCCTGATCTCGTGAAGGCCACCAACTTCTTCGCAGCTTCAAGCTGGTCCTTCCAGCCCCACTGATGCATCACGGCTGAGATAGAAATGATATCGACACGGCCCTTTAGCGCCTGTAGTGCCGGATTCTTCTCTGACGACAGAATATCGGCTTGGATAAAGTGAGCGTCGAAACGAACCCGATCGCGATACAGCGCGTAGCCTACGTCCCAGTGGCTAACAATGTCGACGCCGTACAGGTTCGCCGACGGTGCACCATCAAACACGAGGCGACGCATGTCGCCACCAAGGAAACAACCAACGTCCATAAACGTGGCGCTGGAGCGCAAGCGTTGCAGAATAGTGGGATAGGCCGGGGAGCGGGAGATAAAGGGGACTAGCCAGACGCCCAAGCCGGTGCACGGGTAGGAGCGAATGGCCCATGCTTGATCGCGCTACAGATGCGTGAGAACTCTTCTTTTTGGCTTTTTTGAATGAGAGGTCGAAAAGGACGGGGTACGTACGATCTCGTGCACATGTTGCGATTGCTGGTCCCGAGGCACTTTACTGTAGGTCTCAAGTAACTGCCGCGTCTAACTAGGCAGGTTAACTCTCGACACTCTCCTTGCAAGGAAAGGTGGACATAATATTGCTCTTACCTCCGGAAGTAGATGCTTATCAATACTCTGAAGATACCACGGGTATTCTCCTTTATTCCGGCCGGATTTAGCATATCCAGGCTCAGAGTACGCTGGGGTTTGCTGGGGAGATGACATTTCTGGTGGTTGTTCCAGCTGCAAAGATATCTTGAAAATAAGAGGAGTCCCAATCTGAGGGTCTACTGATGACAATTGACTGATAACTGGCCGATCCAGTGTGGAGGCTGGACGTCAGCCCCGCTGATGGGAACCTCCGGTGGGAGTGTATTCGGCTTTCATGTAATTTACACTATCGTACGTAATGCAATCGTCCTGGAGTAAAAAAAGAAAAGGTCTATCCTTAGACGATATTACGACTTGCCCGATTATGGAGTAGCGTGGTTTCGGATACGAGCCTAGAAACAATGCGTGTGTCTCCATAGGGGAAACTGTTTTCGACTCTCACTGTACACAGGGGATCGGAGCGAGATCAAGTTGCACAAACTTCTATCGCTAGGCCAGCGTGCCGAAAATGGCCTCTAGCACTTTCTTCTTTTGCACCAACCACATCAATACACCATTCCAGAAAGACATCAAATCCTTAGTCAGGATTTTCTTCAAAGTAACCCTAGTAACGTTTAATGAAGCTTTTGAGCTCGGAGAAAAACTCCTCGGTCGGGTTTAGGCCCGGAGAGTAGGGCGGTAGATAAACCACTCTCACTCCCGCCTCCGTACACATCTGCGATATCCGCTTAGAATGGTGAAATGACGTATTGTCCATAACTAGAACGGATTTAGGCTCAGGCCATCTTCCGCAATGCTAAAGAAGCAGAGCGATAAAGTCCTCGAATGCAGTAGAATCGGTTGAACCCCGGAAGACACACGATAGAACGATCCCATCCTAGGCATACGCAAGTAGTATCTAATAGCGCTAGTCGCGATGGAACTGTGATACTTGCATAGGGGCCTTACTAAGTAGTGACCAACCTGTCCGTCTGAACCTAACCCTTTTATTACAACTAGATTCGTCAACGTAAACTAGGTGATACGATTGAAAATCTGATAAATTATGCAAATAACATTCTCACAAATCGACATTTTGCTCTCTAGCTTACTAGCGAGCGGTCTTTTTGGACCATCCTTCAGCGATAAGGGCTCTTCTAATGCTAGATGTTGTTACTAAGACCTAGAATTCATCCTAGAGGAATAGAGCCATCTTATCTAGGTAGAGTCTGGGCTTTGCATATAGGTGATCGTAGAGGGCTTCCATCATCAGCGGTGTTATGGTTCGTCTCCGGCCTATTCGAGTAAGAGGTGCGCGGACGCTTCCAAAATGGCGCAAGTTTCTGCGAATATTTATGATTGTAAGCTTGCTGCATTTAGCTTCTTTAGCCATTTGAGAGGTAGTGAGGGACTGGCTCTCTATCATATCACGGATGAGATACAGCTTTGAGAGGGGGAGCCTTGGAGCCATGTTGCATGTCTCAACCGTGGATGACACTTGAGAGTCAGAAAGGAGGACGCATGTGGGCTTGGGAGGCGGACAGCAGCGAAACGATGGCACGCAGGCAGCAGTGTATAGTGTCAGTGCAATTATCCACCTGGTAATTTACAATATGATCCAGCTGCTGCATTCCTAGCGCTTACTCAGCTAACCGCCACTGTCTATTATGGAAACTGGCGCCCGATGTGGAATTTACACGTCCATTTTCCACTCCGACAATTCCCGCCTGTCTACTCTATAAATACAGTCAGAATAGCTAGTCTGAATAGCATCGATTTCATCATTCTCCAATGAGACTACTAGGGAGAATTACTAGTGCATACGCCCATCAGACATCCTGACATATAGCACTTTCGTGTAAAATACAACATTCAAATGTCTCACCAACGTCATGTAAAATACAGCGTCTATTCGGGGAAGCGGAGGATCTACGACTACACCATATTTGGATTAGCGTGTTTCAGGTTAGGGTTCGGGAATTAATCCGTGTGCGGATCTTGGTATATCTGATTTCGAATATCGCTGTAACTGTTGGGTAAATGGGCGACCGATCCGATTGGGATAGCGATTGATAGCACGGTTGTCCGGAAGTCATATCGCTGTAATCGAAAAATTGTTGTGTTGTGTGCCGAGCGGGAACTAACGGCGGACCGATGGCGGACCCACCCGTGGGGGCTCCCGAAGCCCCTCCCACATACACCCAAGGAACGAGAAACCCCTTTTCAGCGGTTAACTTCGAACCATCGTTCGTTCCTCGCAAGAGAAGGAGCCCTCGTCATGGAGACGAAATTACCACTAGCGCACGCTCGAACCCCGAGTTTGCGGCCACTGGCGAAAATGGTGGGCGGGTCACAACTAAGGAGCTGCGACAGCTCATCGACAGCCTGAAGGAAATCATCACCAACCAGACCGCTGTTATTGAGTCCACAAAGGCGGACCTCCAAGAAGTCAAACGCGACCAACAGGCCCTCAAATCTATCAACGACGAGCTGAGAGAAGAAGTGCGAACGCTTCGGACGCAGATCGACGGGCTAGCCAGCACTCTACCAACGCGATCATGGGCCTCTGTAGCAGCCGGCACGGGCAACCCTGGACCCCCGGTGCAACACCAACGACCTGACAAAGACCGCAACTGCGTCCGAATTAGCACACAGCGCGCGTATGTTGATCCCCAGGATAATGAAGATGGTGAGGAAAACGCCTTCGGCCGATACCTCCCCACCGCTACCGCCAATACCCACATCCGAACCGCGTTGTTGAATACGTCGGCTACTCAAGACGTGCAAGTAGCTGGTATTGGCACCACGAAGACCGGGTACATGATCCGGTTCAAAGACGTCGAGTCGGCCGAGACCGCCCGTAACAACACAGAGTGGTTAAACGAACTGGGCAACGACACGAAACTAGTCAAGCCCCGGTTCGGCATCGTTGTGCACCGTACTCCAACGGAAGGCTTCGATCTCAACGGAGACAAAGCAGGAGCCATCGAGAAGATCATGAGCGAAAACGAGTTGACTGAGCCGGGATTCCAAATCGGGGACCTTGCGTGGCTGAAGAAAAGAGACAAAGTGCTAGGCAACTTCGCGTCACTCGGCATATGGTTTGATACAGCAGAAGCAGCGCAATGGATCGTCGACAATGGCCTCTTAGTGGGCCAGAGATATATTGGAAGCGTGGAACACTGTGAGATCAAACGGAAGAGATGCTTCCGTTGTCAACGATTCGGCCATCTAGCGTGGTCATGTAAGGAAACACCACGATGCGGACACTGTGCCGGCCAGCACGAACGCCGACACTGTCCGCCTGAAGTGAGAGCACGATGCCTCGACTGCAGTGGAGAACATCCAACTGGCGACCGACAGTGTCCGACCCCAGCGAACTCGAACCCCTCACAATGTTAAGGACGAACCTACGAGTACTACAATTGAACATCATGAAATCGAGGGCCGGTATGGAGGCCCTTATCAACGACCATGAGAGTCAGAACCTGGATGTGTTGCTTATTCAGGAACCATCGATCACTGCATACCGAACACATGTCAACCACAGTGCCTGGCGACTATACCGTCCGACGATCGAAAACGATGCAATTCGACTTCGCAGTTTGATTTACGTCAGCAAAAGGATCTCTACTTCTTCCCATCGCCAGGTGCATTGCGACCACTCGGACGTAACGGCAATCAAAGTATGGACGCCCGAGTCCCAGATCCTTCTCTTTTCAATATACATTCCACCAGTGCTTCTCCACACCCCTGAAGAAACTTCGGCAGAACCAGTGCTACGGGCTATTCGAGACACTATCGAAACAGTCTGCGACGGTGACGGAAGGCCGACGAGCATTGTCGTGTCTGGCGATTTCAATCGTCACCATCCCACGTGGAGCGGCAATAACATCTATCCACGGTTCGCGGAACACGCAACCGAGTTAATCGACTTCCTCCAAGCGCACAACCTCCAGGGCTGTCTCCCTCGAGGCACACCGACGTTCTGGTCTCTTAACCAACCGGGGAAGACGTCCACCATTGACCAGACGGTAACAGACAACCCTAATCGACTGATTAAGTGTAATCTGTACCATGAGAACTACGGCTCAGATCACCGTGCCACATACAGCGAATGGGACCTTCAGGCAAAGCGCCACGTCACCACGAAGCCTAGAAGAGCATACGACCGGGCTGACTGGGACAAAATCGGGGAGGAAGTGCGACTCCAGACGGAGTCATGGCCTGCCCCGACGACGACGACGACACTAGACGAAATTGTGGGGAAGCTCACGGAGGCGACCTCGGTAGCGATTGGGAAGCATACTCCCCTTCTACGGCCAACCCCATACTCAAAACGATGGTTCACACCTGATCTGAAAGAGCAGCAAACTGAACTGAATCGCACCCGACGGAAATGGCAGGAGAGTTGTGCAGAGCTCGGTCGGGATGATGCGCGCTCGACTGCCCTATTCCAGACGATGCTACAGAAACGTCGTGCATGGAACCGGACAATCGAAAACGCCAAAACAGCGCACTGGAAGCAATTTCTGGACCAAGCAGGAGAAGGACACCTATGGAAGGCCGCAACGTACATGAAGCCGCGGGATTCCTGGAGTGGCATTCCCTCGTTGAAGGTCGGGGCCAACGAACTCACCAGCAATGAAGACAAAGCCGGTGCCCTCATGGACGCGTTCTTCCCCAGGATGGATGACGCCCAGGAGGAGCTTCTAGCCACAACCCAGGAGGAGATCCCTTGGAAGCCCATCACTGAGCTTGAAATCTCTCGGGCACTCAAAGCTGCCAAGGGATCCACCGCACCGGGTGAAGACGGCCTGCCCACCCTTGTCTGGAAACATTTATGGAAGTATCTCGGCAAACTCATCACCCGTCTCTTCACAGCATCTGTTGACTTGGGACATCACCCAACGCAGTGGAGACGTGCCAAGATTGTGGTACTACGGAAGCCTGGAAAGCCAGACTACTCAGTTCCAGGAGCATACCGTCCAATATCATTGCTTAACACACTAGGCAAGCTATTGGAAGCGGTGATGGCGCGGCGCCTGTCGTACTACGCCGAAAAACACGGTCTACTGCCGAACACGCAGTTCGGGGGAAGACCAGGACGAACCACCGAACAAGCCCTATTGGTGCTAGCTAACGCGATCGACCGGGCATGGTGCCAGCAAAAGGTAGTCACGCTTGTGGCTTTCGACCTAAAAGGGGCATTTAACGGAGTCAACAAGAAGAGCCTCAATCACCGCCTACAAACCAAGGGGATACCAGCTATAGCTAGAAAGTGGATCGCTAGCTTCATGAGCGACCGCTTCGCCAACATTGGATTCGACGACTTTGAGACCGAGGTGGCCCCTCTGGGTAGTGCTGGGCTAGCGCAGGGTTCACCCTCTCGCCCATCCTATTTGCCTTCTTCAACTCTAATTTGGTGGACCAGGCCGTCGACTTCCACGGCGGTGCGTCAGCCTACATTGATGACTACTTCCGATGGCGCGTTGGCCGATCAGCAGAAGCGAACCTACAAAAAATCCAGTCGGAAGATATCCCCCGCATCGAAGCATGGGCCAGGAAAACCGGATCCCACTTCGCGGCTGAGAAAACCGAACTCATCCACCTTACTAGGAAGAAACGCGAGCAAGGCAAAGGCCAGATAATCATGAACGGCAAGGTGATTGAACCGTCTACCACTACGAAGCTCCTAGGCGTGATCTTCGACCAGGAATTGCGCTGGAAAGAGCATGTGCAGCAGACAATCAAAAGAGCGACGAAAGTGAACATTGCGCTCGGCGGACTCAGACAGCTCCGCCCGGAGCAAATGCGGCAGCTCTACCATGCGTGTATTACACCAGTAGTAGACTATGCGTCAACCGTGTGGCACAACCCTCTGAAAGACAAAACACATCTGCGACTACTGGGCACCATCCAACGAAGTACGCTTATCCGCATCCTCTCCGCGTTTAGAACTGTGGCTACCTCTACTTTAGAGGTAGAAGCACACGTACTGCCAACGCACCTACGTCTCCGACACCGTGCACAGAGTACTATCACGAGGCTGCATACCCTCCCGCACGATCATCCTATATGGTCCGCGCTACTACGAGCCCAGAGGCGTAGAGACAATATCGGGTCATATTCACGGTTCCCGCTAGCTGAAGCCTTAAAGACCATGGACCTTGAAAGGCTAGATAGGCTGGAAACAATTGACCCAAGACCGCTGCCACCATGGAGACCGGAGGCTTTCACGGAAGTTCAAATTGAGCCGGATCGGGAGATAGCAATGGAGAGGGCCGAGGCCATATGGTCCACCTCGGATATTGTCGTCTACTCGGATGCATCCGGACGTCATGACCACCTGGGTGCTGCAGTGGTCACACTTGATATGGACCAACAAATTGCCGAGTCACAACAGATACAAGTCGGACCGATGGACCAATGGTCCGTCCATGTTGCCGAGCTGATCGGAATCTTCTATGCCATCAGCTTTGTCTACAAACTAGGGCATCAAACCCAGAGATCAACGGACACGCCACGAAGATCCGCAACGATTTTATGCGACAGCATGTCTGCGCTGCAAGCGATCCGGAACCCTGGTAACAAATCGGGACAAAGAATTATTCACGCCATCCTACAGGCAGCCTCAGAAATCCAAGCACATGGAGTCATTCTCCGCCTACAATGGGTGCCGGGGCACTGTGGTGATCCCGGGAACGACGCAGCGGATCGACTTGCGAAGGACGCAGCCTACCCGGGAAAAACACACCCATTTTGTTCCCTATTTTCTAGGGAGAAAGCGTTCATTCGCAACCGTATCCGTACACAATGGAAACAGCAATGGGAGACGTCCGAGAAAGGAAGCCACCTTCGCAGAATCGACAACACGCTGCCCTCTCCCTACACAAGACGGTTATACGGCTCCCTGCCAAGGAACCGAGCCTACCTGCTGACACAACTCCGAACGGGACATTCGTGGCTATCAACATATCGCAAGCTCCGAGGTCACGCCGAAGACGACAAGTGTGTATGCGGTGCACAAGAAACCGTGGTCCACGTGCTCGTAGACTGCCCGCGGCTGAGAACCTTGCGACAGGAACTACGGAGAAAGGTTGGCGACGCATTCAATAGCGTTTCGATTCTTCTGGGAGGTCATGATGAAGGTAAGGTAGGTAAGGAGAACACTGCCACGCGAACCAGCACAGTGGAGGCGGTACTGGACTTTGCGGAGGCATCAGAACGGTTTCGAAGTCGCGCGCCATGAGGGCAGCCTAACAGCGAAAACGGCAACAGGCCACGGCAGGCCTTGACGAGGCTCTAAGTTCGTTTTCAGGTAGTGGAACGCTCTACATGTACATATAAGGATACATATAGTTGCGGTAGCCTGCATGTCGCTCAGCGATGGGTCGGGGTAAATGATCACACACACACACACACACACGCTGTAACTGTTGTTGTTTCTTTTTTTTTGGTTTTACTGAATTTAAGTCAATGTTTTCTCGCTTAGGAAATTGAATTAGAATCTGCAGGGAATTTCACGGCCTATTCTTGTAATGAGTGTAGGTGCTGAAATGGATACGACGAGTAACACGCCAGCATATATTCTTTGAACAGTAAAACGGTCTGGTGCCACTTCATAACAACGGCGTCGTTGCTTCGCTGCGAAAGGTTAGTCTCTATGTCCCAGACCGGACAGTACCCCGGCTCCCGTTGGAGTGGGAGATTCTAAGGACAGCGATAATGTTTGACTCGGTTTCCACTTGAAAGGAGTAGTTCCGAGTAGCTATCCAAGTACGAGAAGGACGGTATAGTACGTCTCGAAACTGGTGTCACCACTTGCACTCTTTTCATTGTTTCTCAAACTCCAATTGCAAACATCACTTCCATATTGGGAGTTTATCCGGATATCCCTGCTTTTTCAAGTTTTGTATTGTTCTTACAAATGCATACAAGTACTGTAACTCCTTGTATACACCAGGAATCATCTGAAGACGGTTTTCGGTAATCAATTACGTAAACGAGCGGTCATAACCCTTGAGGTTCACACTTGTTCAATATCTATGTGACCGTAACTATGTCGTGGCAAAGATATTGCCCAAGCGTTTTCGCTGGGACCAACAAGTGTTTCACCTTATACACACCCCCAGGATTATGGTCGGTGACAGTATTCCTAAACTCGCGGTTCTCATTGACGCAGACAATGCGCGGTCCTCCATGGTCAACCTCTTACTGTCAGAAATTGCAAAATATGGCACTGCTCACGTGAAGCGGGCCTACGGGGACTGGACAAGTTCTGATTTAAAGGGCTGGAAGGACGAGCTCCTTAGGCAGTCAATCCAACCGATCCAGCAGTTTGCGTACACCCACGGGAAAAATGCGACCGACTCAGCTATGATCATCGACGCGATGGATCTTCTATACTCTGCTCGGTTTGACGGCTTCTGCCTTATCTCCAGTGACAGTGACTTTACGCGGCTCGCCGCTCGTATCCGTGAGTCTGGACTGATTGTATACGGACTCGGGGAGCATAAGACGCCTAAGCCCTTCGTCGCTGCCTGCGACAAGTTTATCTACACAGAGAACCTTGTGCACCTAGAGGAGCTTTTACCGCATGCTGACAAGGCTGTCATTCCCAAAAGCCATTCGCCTACCCTAGAAACACATGAAGGTAGCCACTTAGCAAGTCAGCTACGAACGACAGTAGAGACTGCCTCTGATGACGATGGATGGGCTAGACTTTCCAAAGTCGGTCAACTCCTCACAACACAGTGTCCTGACTTCGACCCTCGTACATACGGATACTCTAAGCTTAGTGATCTAATCAACGCGTCGCCTTTGTTTGAGACTGCCCGCCGCTCCCCTCGAGACGGCTTATCCATAGAGATCTGGGTACGAGATAAGCGCCGGGAACGCAAGAGCTTTGCTTAATAGGTCCTAGTTTAATTTCACCTTTCAAAATAGCCTTACACTCGATAAAATACCCAGTAGGGGATGCCAAACTTTCATTTGTTGTGGTTGTATCCGGTATACCTCATTCACAATATCTTCACACGGCGGGCGACGATCAATAACATCGGGTTTTTCACTCACTATGTTCAAATAGAAGCTAAATTTGAAATAATAGTCCTAATTTTTCCTAACCCATATTTTCATAGATTTGTATAAGGCTTCAGACAACGAGGACATCTGCGTTCCGCCTGGCTGACGTCTGCAGCATTTCCAAGGCGAGGATTCCATCTAGTCCTTTGCCTTTCGAGGCAATGCTGGTAGGAGCCACAAGCCATGCAGTAGAGCCCTGATCCGCATATGCGCTAGCAAATACCACAAGCAAAATGGGGGTAACAATCGATATCAATAAACTGACCCTGCTGATAGATCCTCTCTTAGACACCACACTGGAGGCAGAATCGGCGGCTACCCTCTGCGTGTCCCTTTCCACGTTTCCCTTTGAGTTGCTTATCGGCGAAAGCATCCCGCGAACGAAGTTTCAAGCAGCGGCTACAAGAAAAGTAACCATTGTAACTACAAGATTTAGCTGGGACACCGGTGGGACCTGGAAGTTGTGCTTGCCTGCTCCACCTCTCTGCACCACATAGAAACGATATCTTTTGCTCTTGTGTTCTGGGATTTTCAACCGTAACCCTGGATCTGAAGAATCTGTGGGTTTGTGAGAGAGCAACACGTGAAGGGTAATCAAGCCAGCTGAAAATCTCAACGTGAAGCTTAGTTGGTAAATCGAACAATGTTAAGGCTTGCATCTGATTTGCAAGGAAACTTTAGATTTAACATGGAACGAGACGAAGGTCAGTATGCTTTTCTAGGCCTTGTCTTTAGGGATCGAGAAGTTTGCGGGGCGTACTCATAGAGCTCGGCGACAATCAAGCTAAGCTCTCCCGCCGTCAAAGTTATTGGGAAATCGAGAAAACCAAGCTGGGTCGGATTATATGAGTAAAAGCGAAAAAGCGAAAACTTTCCAAACTCGCCTTTTTAAACTTTCCGTTGCTGGTTGACGTGCTTCATTTCCGCTTATAGCGTACCCATAACTGGCCGTTATAGTGGGCATACATGAATCATGTAATATAATCAGTCAGAACATATACAGATGACCTTACAGGAAAGGGAATATTCCGAATCTACTCTATATATGGTTTAGTACACCTTGGCATTAATACTTACGAGACAATCGAAGTGTAAGTGGTGACACCAGTTTTGAGACGGACTGTAGAAGGCTACTAACACGTTAGTTTTCTCCCCTGTATATCCAAAACGTTTTCGCTAAAGATTATCTTGGGGTTATTTTTGGTCCCCGCGGGTCCGTTTTGGTGTCCTGCAGGTCGTTTCAGAGCCGTGCAGCTAACATCGGACTTGGAAATAAGATTGCGGCATCTCTTGAGCAGCGTCAGAGGGCTTTAAGAATATGATGATCGACCTTATACAGTCAATATATCCATGAGTATTGTGCATCAAATTCTGTTTTCTTCCAACTCCTATTTAGCTTGATGTAACAACGTGAGTCTCATCCAATGGCCACTTTGCGGTCTGCTTAACGTATGGCATCCACGGTTCCCCTCGTCCTTTCTCTTTCCTCCCACCATTTCCAAGGTTAGATACAGCAGCAACAGGTTTCTATCAACCGTATCAGTAGAGAAGCGATAGATAAGCCTACTGCTAGCCACGTGGTGATAAACATAGGCGCTCCAACGCTGGCATAGACTCCAAGAGGTTGCAGGAAGCTCTGGATACTAGCCGTAATCAAACTATATATCACTGTCATTGCGATTGATGCACTAGTGAGGAAGATGGATGCCACCTAGACTACAGTCAGCGTGTCTTCTTACTAGTAAAGGTATCCGTTAGATGAGACGTACAATAGAAGAGATAATGGATAGTTTTTCCCCCTATGATACAAGGATGGAGGTGATTCCAAAGCCAACTACGAGGGCTGTTGCGATAAAGCCTAAAATGTAGGCCGACTTCGACCATCTAGAAACATCGCGAAACCCTAAAAGGGTCTCATCATTCCCCTGTGGTAGCAGCTGTTCAATTTCAGTCGACACAGAGTCGAAGATCCTTAATAGGTTGAACGAGAATGAAACGCTCAGGTTAGAGTAGTTGGAGGGATGTGCTATAATTTGTTGTCCCTCATAATAACCCCAAAGCCCTACCGAATAATATGCGGGAAGGTGTAATTTGAGATCGTCTTGAAGACTATTGCTGATATAGTTGGCCTTATGCTCCGCGGCGTTAGAAGCATCCGATGCGATGCCTCCCGCCTTGTAGGTAGTACTAGATAGGCTAGATGAAAGCGACCGGCCGAGGTAGAGATGACTAAGCCCCGAAAAACTGCTAAATTCCACCTATGATATGCATTAGTTACAAACCACATATAAGTTAGAGTCGTCGTCGTTCCACGCTCACCTTCATGAAATATAGACTTGTTGGAGAAGACGGGGAGGTACATCCCACAAAAACAATAATAAGGCAGATCAAAGTAGTGGCCGAGATTGCCAAAGGAAGAAGCTTTGCTATTCGTAAGAACATTTTGCGAGGCATAAGGACTTCGAAGCATAGGTAAAATTCTTAATCCGTATCGATACGAAAAATAAAGGTGAAGTATAGGGCAGAAAATCCGAATTAGTTCACCTTTATATGAAGTGTCTAGAAGAAGGTTCCTCATAGTTTCACTGAGGCGACCAAAAGGTCTACGCTAAGAACTTTCTCCTTGTAGCACTCAAAGAAGTTGTTTATGTCCAATCAGAAGGGATAGCATTTATCGGGTAGAGTGCAGATCACAATGGTCTATCTGCACACCTAAAACAAGACGGCAGCCTTAACGCCAAGTCGGACGTTAGCCGTCACCTAAAAGGTAGTGGCAGGCTTATTGCAATAGCAATAACGAGGTCAAAACCACACCCCTTGCTCTTGCTTCGTTTTAGATCTTCACTCATAAACTAAAAAGGTGCCGCGGTTTTCTACGCCACGGTATTCTTCGATCACCGTTAACCATGGCTTACAACGCAAAAACAGTGGCTAGCTACGACTATAGAAATCACCACTACGCTTTACTTCTTGTTGGTTTCGCAACCCTCAAAAGGTAAATATTGCTTATGAACCTACGACTATTTAGGTGTACTTCCTATCTTCAAGTTTCCATTCCATATTTCTTTAAGGCACATTAGTTTACTTCGAACTAATATATTCGAAATGGGTGCCACCCTTCCCACCCGATCGAAGCGATCTAGTACGAACAAAAAAGCAATGCGCCAAAAGCAGGGTCGTCGCAAATCAGGCCTCATGAAAAAAGCATGCGAGTATAGTAGGATGTGCGATGCAGATGTGTGCTTGGGCATACGTCTCCGGGAAACAGGACAAGTCTATGTCCTGTCGGCGGATGCTTCAGGATTTTGGTCTTTCCTAGGCTCGCAATTAGTATGTCTCAAGTTCTTGCTCCGAGGAAAGATGATTGATCTCCCTAGGCCTCTTATTATCCAACCCCGAATTTAGTAACAGACCAGGACCTAGAGCTGTTCGAACGAGGGACATGCCCGGGAATGTCACGCCCGAACATATAGTTAACTACTGTGTGTGTGTGTGTGTGTGTGTAATTCATTTACGCTGACCCCTCGTCCCTTGCTACGCGCATACTGTATCTGTTATCAAACTCGAGACTTTCACACACCGCTACAATTTTAATTAGATATGCTGAGAAGCTTCGAAGTATAGCAATCTACAGCATGCTAGAAATTTGCCATCAGAAGACTGAGAACACTATCCTTAATCAATGCCAACATTCGAAAATACAATTTCCTCCGATCCTGCTATACACTTGTCACGGTCACCTCCAAGTGACAGGTCATCATCCAATGCGACCTCTACCATATCTTCCATATCGCTTTGAAGGTAACGAGGACGGTCATGTCTCTCCCATCTCGCCTCTTTAGCTAGCGTTGCATTGTCAACGCTTTTGCTTGACAGAAACCGAAATCGAACCTTGCGATATTGTACAGCGATAATCTGCTCGCCTTGGGCAACAAAGTGCCGTTGCAAGTCTTTCACACGGCCACTAGACCCGGATAATTTAGGGTCAACTAGATCACCAAATGGCACAACCACTCCTGATGCCAATAGCATACTCGAAACCGGCACAGCCAGATTTCCATCTAGAAGTTTCTGTCCTCGTGACTGCTCGGCAATACGAGCATCTAAGACAGTATGGTAACCGATCACAACATATATATCCTCTCCCTCATCGATAGTACGCTCAATCCACTTGCGGACATCTTCTGATTTCACAGTATCCCGGAACCACTGCCCATTATTATCCAGGTAATAGGTCTTCACTTGTTCCGTATTGATGTGAATCGAGGCATTCGTACGGCTTGACACGGACGAGGAGAGGAAGGCGGTAAGCTGAGAACCAAATTTACGTCGGACCCCAAGAGAGTCGGCACTGTCGTACTGCGTTTCAACTTTTTCGATAACACTGAGACTTTCCCCTGGTATCGGATCAAGGTAATCTCGGTGAGGCTCGTCAATATTGGTGACGAAACGTCCCAGCTTAATAGCAGATGGAGGCAAGAAGAACTGTGGAAGAAGTACGCTGACACGCATGTTCAGAAGAGGGTTAGATCTTTTGGGCGGTTCAACTGAGGAGAACAAAGTGCGTCGCAGAAGAAGGATTACGTGGAGAGACAATGGGGTTGAGGCAGTGTAGGTTAGTCTGTCAACTACTGGATCGGCGCACGGGATCGGCCGCGCTATGACCCCTGCGGCTGAACTTCCTCGCCGCCGGGCGAATGAGGACGCAAGGATTTGGGAGAGGGGTAGGATAACGTGGCATTGTTTGATTGAAGCCCGCACGGGACAACTCACCAACTAACTTCATTTACACACGTATCTTCAGAAGGTTACGTTTTAGAAAAACCAGACCTCAGAAGACAGTTCAGAAGCCGTCACAAACAAACAGGACAGCAAAGAAGCGATCTAGATGTCTCGCCAGGCGGTTCGGGCCACTCCGGACGACGATTCTGATCTTGCAGGGTCGTTCCATAGCCTCGCGAACATGCTGAAAAGCCAATGCGAGCAAACAGGACATATAGGCGACCTCGATGAAGCGATTCGGTTGTCTAGGGGAGGCGGTTGTGGCCGCTCCTAATGATCACCCCAACCTTGCAGGGCTATTGTGTGATCTCAGAAACAATGTCAACCGTCGATACGAACGAGCAGGACAGATGGAAGACCTCGAAGAAGCGATCCGGGTGTCTCGCCAAGCAGTTACGGTCACTCCTGATGATCATCCCAACCTTGCGAGAGGATTGAGTAACCTCGGGTTCACGCTCCGCAGTCGATACGAACGAACAGGACACATAGAGGACCTCGAAGAGGCAATCCAAGTGTCTCGCCAGGCGGTCAAGGTCACTACTAGTGACCATCCTGGTCTTGCAGCGGTACTGTATAACCTCGAAAACAAACTCGAACGTCGATACGAACGAATAGGACAAATAGATGACCTCGAAGAGGCAATCCAGGTGTCTCGCCAGATGGTCAAAGCCGCTCCTAGTGACCATCCTAGTCTTGTAGTGTGGTTAAGTAATCTCGGGAACAAGCTTGAAAGTCGATACGAACGGACAGGACAAATAGAGGACCTCGAAGAGGCGATCCACGTGTCTCACCAGGCGGTCAAGATCACTCCTAATGACCATCCTGTTATTGCAGCGGTCCTATATAACCTCGAAAACAAACTGGGACGCCGATACGAACGGACAGGACAAATAGAGGATCTCGAAGAGGCAATCCAGGTGTCTCGCCAGGCGGTTATGGCCACTCCTAGTGACCATCCTGATCTTGCAGCGTGGCTAAATAACCTAGGGAACAAGCTTGAAAGTCGGTACAAGCGGACAGGACAGATGGCAGCCCTTGAAGAAGCGATCCGGGTGTCACGCCAAGCAGTTGCGGCCACTCCTGATGATCATCCCAACCTTGCGAGAGGATTGAGTAACCTCGGGTTCACGCTCCGCAGTCGATACGAACGAACAGGACACATAGAGGACCTCGAAGAGGCAATCCAAGTGTCTCGCCAGGCGGTCAAGGTCACTACTAGTGACCATCCTGGTCTTGCAGCGGTACTGTATAACCTCGGAAACAAACTTAGATGTCGATATGAACGAATAGGACAAATGGATAACCTCGAAGAGGCGATCCAGGTGTCTCGCCAGGCGGTCCAGACTACTCTTGATTATCATCCTGATCTTGGGATGTGGTTACAAAACCTAGGAATTAACCTCGTACGTCGATTCGAACGAATAGGACAGATAGATGACCTCGAAGAGGCGATCCAGGTGTCTCGCCAGGCGGTTCAGACCAAATCAGCACCTCCTCTCCCCCGGATCACGGCCGCCCTGCTGACCGTTCGCCTTATGCTCAAGCGAGAAGACCATCATGGCGGCTATGCACTATCAGTTCAAGCTATTGATCTCCTACAGCTCGTATATAAAAGGTCTTTGACAATACAGGATCGACAATATGTCATCTCTCATTCTTCTGGCTTAGCAACATACGCCTGCGCTCTCGCCCTTCAAACCGGACAGTCTCTTTTCAAAGCTCTAGCATTATTAGAGCGTGGACGAGGTATTATCCTTAGTCTTCTTATAGATGACCGGAGTGACACGTCTCAACTGAAGAGGGCACATCCCATTTTATGTGCACAATACGAAAGCCTTCGCATCGAGGTAAATACGCCTGTCCAGAGCACCCCGCCCCAGAGGACGGGTGAGCCTATTTCCATTAGACGACCAAAGGCTCTCGACGAGCTCCAAAAATGTATACAGGACATACGACAACTTCCAGGCTTCGGTACATTTCAACAGGGACTCACCGCAGAGCAAAATGAAAGATGCCTCTAATGAGGGCAGCATCATCGTGGTGAACGTCACTAGCCTAAGAAGTGATGCTATTGTTGTCTCTTCAGCCGGATTTAGCTTGATCCCTCTTCCTCGGTTTAGTGCCGCCCAAGCGCAGAGTTGGGTCGACCAGGAGTTGACTTCAGCTTCGCCGTGTGATCGGGGTGTGAAGAACAAATCATACCGCCAATTTCTAGTCTGGCTCTGGCGAGAGTGTGTAAAGCCTATACTGACTGAGCTCGGTAATTCGGTTCAATCATCTCTGGAGGATCTCCCAAGGGTCTGGTGGATCGGGACTGGACTTGCCAGCTCCTTCCCCTTCCACGCGGCGTGTGATATCTCTACAGGGGAAAATACATTCTGTCGCGTTCTATCTTCCTACACCCCTTCAATCAAGGCACTCCAACATGCCAGAGAGCGGGTTTCTATCTCTACCCCAACAAGCGAAAACCCTTCAAAGCTACTCATGGTTACCATGGCAAACACACCCGGCGCTGATGACTTACCCGGGGTAAAGGCCGAAAGGTCCACGGTCGTAAGAGCACTTGGAAATTCCGTTCAAGTGGAATTACTCGATCAACCGGACTCGGCAAGTGTTATGCGCCAGATCCGCGAATGCAATATTGCCCACTTCGCTTGCCACGGAACCTCAGACTCGGATGATCCTTCTCAAAGTGGCCTCTTACTGCAGACTGCCACTGCAAATCCAAGACAGGACATCTTGAGCGTTCTCAAACTTTGCGAAAACTACCCTACGCTTGGAGAAATTGCATACCTCTCTGCATGCTCGACTGCGGAGAATCAGGCGAAACGTCTGATAGATGAGGTCCTCCATGTTGTGAGTGGTTTCCAGGTCGCCGGATTCAGACACGTCATTGGGACTTTGTGGCCATCTGAGTGGCATGCCATGGTTAATTTGGGCGCGTCGGGAGTCAGTAGATTATACTGTGCAAGGTCCGCAAATATCAGTATAGGCGCAATATCAGCACTTTATCGTATAGTCTCGCAAGAGCAGTCACTTGGCCTTGTCCACTATTTCGAGATTAGGCTGCGAAACTAGGGTTACGGGGCACGACTTTAGGAACCTAACCTCACGAGGGTTAACCTATCTTCGTAATATACCAGAGAGTACCACACAAGCGTATGCTGAAAACTAACTTCCATCTTCGGTGAGTTCGCACCCCAAGTATGCTGTGTTTGATGCCTTAGTGTCGGGTACGCCCCTCTGTCTGAAACCAGGCCGCGTCACGTGCAGGCAATTATGGCTGGTATACTAAGTATTAGTGGTATGGTGCATGAATTCATGGAGTTTCATGGCTGGCAGAAAAAAGGGCAGAAAGTAAAGCGGTCTATAAGGGGTCAAATACTTCTGCGGAGTCATTGTACATTAATTGTGAAACTGCATAGCGGTTTGTGTTTTGTGAGGCTTTTCTCGCCCAAAAAATTGAGTGCTATATCAAGTGTGTATATCGACCTGCGCCACTAGGAGCCGCCACTACGAGACGCCTTAATTATCACATTTCGCTGAAGACCATATGTCTAAAGCGAGCAATATGTCTGCATATACTGCGCTTCCTGTCTTATGGATCAATTTGACAACGGAACAAGACGCCCCTCCTGGTGAAAAAGCCGAACCTATCTGTCCCCTGCTCCATTGATGCACGAGTTTTCGAGTTGTCCACCTAAAGAATGCCTACGCTTCACCTGACATAAATGCGTCGTTAGAGCCCCTTGGTGTGCTTGCTCCTATTGCGCCAAGGATTACGTTTATGTCTACTGTTTGAAGGCCAAAGGTCTCCGCCAATTGTTCCGCAGCCATCACGAGGGCGAAGGAAGGAGGCAATTGAAAGAAACGTGCAAGAGAAGTTTTGAATAGCATCTTCGAGCTGACACACATGGCATCATAGCCTATGGCTCCATTTGAAAGTCGGAAACGATAGTTAGTTCTCTTTTCTCCCCGCTATGCTGCTTTGCCCAGATCCGACAGGGTGGCACAGTCCACACATGTCAGAATTGGTCATTAGTACTCGGCGTTTTTCCCAGCCCAACTGGAGAACCGTTGTGAAGGAGCCGAGTTCTCAATGATTACAACTCGCCCGGGCCGTTTGATGTGAAACTAAACATCCTTTTTCTCTGAAGCTTGAACGTCGCCTTCAAATGCATCTACAGGTCAATCTTTATAGATACAAGTTACTTATGACATGGTGCACTTGAAAGCTGCGTATACTGGTCTGAAAACAATCAGCAATGTTTTGCGACGCTTTGAATATTCTCATTTACAGGGCAAAGGGCTTTCAGGAGACTATAGATCCTTAAGTTACCGGTCTGAGTGAAGATAGGTGGGAGTAGAAGAATAAATTCGAGGGAAAGTTGCAGTTCCTGGTTTCCTCAATGATGCATCAGAAATTTTCAGAGCTAGTCTCTAGGACCACGAGGAAACGCGTGAAGTTCACTAAGGGAGCACAAGATGCAAGGCCTCAGCGACGGTGCCAGACTACTGCTAGGTATCTGCATAGCTGTGGGGGAACCCAAGGGGAGCATGTTGGCTTCTCCTCTAATTTGGAAGCTCGCTAGGTGAAGAAAGAGACTTCTTTCCTCGTCAGTTTTTCCCGCACCAGAAATGTAGTTTGTCGCTCGGCCATGCCAGTTATTTCTTCGAACTTTCTAAATACTTATAAGTTGCTTCAGAGTCTTCACTTTCAGGTCACGTATGGTCCTTTGTAAAGGACCGTGAGTGACTGCAGGTGACTCGATGTAGCTCCCGCTCCGTGCTCCAGTCAGTCTCTCCATGGGATCCTCAACTATAGAAAGACCCTCTCATTGAAAAAGCGTCAATGTCAGGCACGAGTGGCTCTTTGATATTCGACGCGTAATAGATCTTGCGGGTAAATTTTGAGGCAGCCCAACGCATAAGAAGTGGGAGAAGTACTTTCAAGTCAATAAGGGCATATTGTCTCCACTTGAGTGTGAGTCGCACGTGATTTAATGTGGTCCACAATCCTGACATCGGAGTGCATTAGCTTTGTGGCTAGCCAAGTGAGATTTCCAGACCCTGAGACAACGAGCTAGTGCACAGGACCTACGAGTCTAAGAGATCAGGCTGCTATATTGATATATATAGGCTACGGTATTGAGAGGGTTCAGTGTCTTTCTGGAAACTTTTCTACAGAAGATAAGCAAACGAATATTTCAGCCACTACTCTCACAATCCGTATATATTTATATGAACTAAGCCATATTCAGCTGTTCATCCAGTATGTGGCAGTAAGCTTTCAACGCCTGCCCGACCATATGGACCACAGACCATATAGTTTCTCCACTGAGTATCCGGGACCAAATTCGAATAACATGAGAACACAATTCAATCGGAGATCGCTCGAGCCCTTCAACCTGCCATTGCTCGGACAAACTATCCGCTTCTCCTACCATGTCGGTTATATAAGCAAGCAACCGAAGCTCATCTTCGTCAAGTGAAGTGCTAGAGGAATCTGATCCCAAGGTATCCAGCCACTTGCTGATGACAAACGCACACTCGAGAGCACAAAGAGAGTGTTGGAGTGACCAAGTGAAAGCTTGATTGTGTGCGACAGTGTTGACTCCAAGTTTCACTGGGATGCTCAGTGCGTGTGCAGAGTATAAAACAGTGCTTGTGAGCTTTGGGCTCCTCCTCAAGCGTGGGCTCTGGTGTATTGTTTGCGCGAGGATTTGTGGATCCTGATCACCGAGCGCACGCCATGGCCCCACGTCGACATGTAATCGTATATAAGCCATGCGGAGAAGCGCAGTTGAGTTGAAAGACACTGGGCCCGAAGAATTGCTTGGTTGCAAAGAGGATTCAGGGTTGTTTTCCCATTGAACTTGCCAGTTTCTGAGCGCCAATTCCATATTGTTCACGTCCATCTCGTCTAATGATGACATATCACCATTTGCTTTGGGCTTCATCTTGTTCAATTCTCGTAGCAGATAAATCTGCTGGATCAATGCCAGAATCAGAACGTAACCGCCTAGCGAAGAATATTGTTCAAATCTGTTAGCGCAGTGATTTGAGAAAAGCTGCAAAAAGCAAGCTCGAAACTGCGGCTCAGCCACGGACCCTTTTCGAGCTTCCCGCCAGGCAGATTCAGTCTGGGCTTCCCAGTCTGCTTCACGTGAGGGAAGACTGATATTGAGTTCAGAGTTGAGTATTGGAGGCGGAGTATTGTAAATGATTGTATGGAAATTGAAGAAGCAAAATATAATTGCGGCGGTCCTTTTCAATCCCTCGGCATGTATCCATTCCGGCCACGCTGCAATATGCAAGTTGCGAGTTTGAAGGAGCTTCTCTTCTCGAACAAAGCAAGCCAAAACACTTTGAAGGCTAGCAGGCTCGTTGCAAAAGACTGCCGGATCTCCCCACGTTGACATTGCCATGAGCAAAAGCAAAGTTTGCGCGAGAGGTAGTGCATCTTTTAGGCGATCGTCGTTGTCACCAGTAACCGAATCTCGTAACCCTGTTCGAAGCCGGGGGTATAATCTTGAAGGCGCCTCATGCTGATTCTCAGCTCCAGTCTCCCTCGAAAATGGCTCTTCTTGAAGCCCAGCTTTGCGACGGCGGAGACGTTCTAGTATTATAGCATTGGAAACTTTGAATAACTTCACAGCATGTTCCCCATCAAAAGAGTATTGGGCTCCAATAGCTGCCACGGCAAGTGTCAACTCAACCGGATTGTCGGTTGGTGAGAATGTCGGTATATGCAAAAAGGGTAGATGGCGGTGAAACCCAGTCATATATGCTGCAACATACCGGGACAATGTATGACGGGATGGGAGCCTGAAGTCTGAGGTGAGAAATGATATGAAGGGTCGGATGTTAGCCAGTACATGATTCCAGTCTGCTTGAGTAATGTTCCACGGGTCCTTTCGAGCTTTGTTATGCGAGGCTGGGTTAAAAGTGGGAAATGTAGAAGTAAACTGGTCAAACAAAGAAGGCATTGGCGACTTTGGTCGTGAGGGAGTGTTTTGAGGTTGCAAATGATCTGGAGAGGGTGGAGGCCCAGGAGCTCCAAATGGAGGAGCTAAAGGAAACGTTATGAGTGGTTGGTCAACCATCAATGCTGGCAAACTAGTGGAGTATGGTAAATCCATGCTGTCAATAAAGTCATCGAAGTCCCCAAAGTCGCGATTTTGGTGGGTCCATGGCATGCGGTATGATTCGAAAGGGGGGTCGGTAGAAATTGAAGTACCCATGTCGACATCAGTGTGAACTGAGCTTTGATTGAACAAAAAGGGATCCAAGCCAACATCAGTGGTGGTTTCCAACGGAGGGTTTGATTGGCCCTGTGTTGCCTCAATGCTTGGTGCACAAGTTTGCAATGCCACCATGCTTGGGCCGCTGCAATTAGCCGTTTCATCAAAAGATGCCTGAAGTGAACCAGAATCGGCCGCAGGAGGACAGCCACCGGTTGACAGGTCCGGATGAGTCAGCGCAACATGACGGCCAAGTAGATCTCTATTATCTATCAGTAAATCCGTGCCATGGCAGATGAACAGCACACTGTACCGCCTTGCGAAGCCCGCAGAACAAATTTTGCATTGGAATGGCTTTTCTTTGGTATCTGTTCAATTATGAGTGAGGCTCCAAAGATCAGCAGGGGACATACGTAGTCGTTCATGTCGTTGTAAATGCTCGTTCCGGAAAAATTCCTTGGCGCAAAACTGGCATCGGAAAGATCTTTTCTCTTTTTTGCGATCACCGGACTGCTCGCCTGCGCCTGCTTCCTTGCCATAATTGGCCATTGAGCGTTTCAGCCTTGGTGCCATTGTAAAGGCAGTGTTGCGATTGTTATGAACACTCAGATCAGATGAGATGACCCTATCAGTAAAGTGCCGCGGTGACGCGGTGACGCTAGGAATGCTGAGTCATACGGAAAAACGTAACGTAATTCCCGAGTGAGTGGGTCACACAAGCGAGCGGGTCAGCCCAAATCACCGTAGTAAATGCATTAAATTTAGAACTCGATATTGCAACAACCACAAATTAATTTTATGTGATTATGATGATGATGAATTCATTTGCCCGATGTAGCTCGCTCTAAATAATGCTGCTATGCGGGAGTGCTGTCAGGCCTGCCGACAGCTGGAAAGTGGTTGCCAGCCCACTAGACGACCACTTCATGAAACTCAGTGGGTTTCAGAAGAGATCGTTGTCGAATGTAGGGTATGAAACATGACAAACAAATAGGAAATAAGACCAAAACGAACGTCCTTGGCTCCCGCCCCCTAGCTCCAAAGAGCATCGGCGGAATAACTACCGCTTTGGTAGATTCTGCGCATAGCAGAGAGGGAGGCCCCTCACGTTGAGCCTGCCAAGCTTTGTAAGGCTCGGAGGACACGCCTGTCTTCGCAACCGCCTTTTCGCGGTGGTGATAGAATTCCAGTCCGGGGTCTAGCCAGTAGCCCAGGTAGCGTTCAGCTGTCGTCGTCGCTGTTACTGTGTGCCCTTGTAGAGATAGTGCCGTGTATTGCGGGCCAGTCTCTCGAGTGTTCACGAAGTGTATAAGAGCGTACTTCTTTCGGTCAAAGACGGAGGCATGCGTTTTGGCCCATCGATCAGCTTTTCGACATGCCGCTCTGAGGTTTCCTCGTGGTTTCGCGCTCGCTGTCTCCCTGGGCCATGAAGCAGACGTCATCCGCCCAGCCGTTGCTAGTCACGCCGTTTACGCAGTTCTCAATGAGGTCTGCGTTGTAAAGGAGATAGAGGATCGGGGAAATCGGTGACCCCGAGCTAATCTTATATGGGGAAACCGGCCATGCTCTCTTTAAATACAGAAAGCTTTTGGGATATAAATTTAACATGATCGCAATGTCGGCGGAGTTAAAAATAAATTCCGCACGCCGGGCTATTGACTTCAAGTCTCATCTTCAATCCGCCAATCAAAGAAAGGGCGGGGCTTCCGTATAATCTATTTCCGACATCTCCGACCCGGGGGTTTACCACACCCAGCTTCGGCACTGCTGCATGGGAGGCAATGTTTTGATAACTCGTAACGAAGTCTTGTTATGGAGGTTCACCTGAAGTGTCTAATTAAAGGTCATAGCATCTCATCTCAGTCTACCAAAAATGTTTTGTTTTGGTAGATGCTCTGTCAATGGGTTATAATCCCGTTGCGCTGGGGGCGGCAATGAACTCCAAAGTGCCAAGAACCCCAGAGTGCCAAGAACCCAAACCGTAACGTGGTCAGCACAAGGGACCCGACCGGACAATTCTTTGGCTAGGTAGTCATCTATGGGATAAAATCCTCCAGGCATTTCCAATTTTTTCCACCGTCGCTATTCTTCTTGCTAACAGCCTGATACGAGCAGGAAAAGCATTATGAACCCACTCCAAGACGCGGGTGTCTCACCGCACATTATTGCACTGTTAGACCGTCTCCATAAGCTGTCTCTCGACCAGGAGGCCAACCTCGAAATCACCGCCCTTCCCCACGATGCAGTCCATGCAGCAGCTCGCGACGCCTTTATCGCGCTTGATCAGGGAAAATGCTATTTCGTTTACCAGTTGGCCCGAGCAACAAATGCGAAAACTATAGTTGAAGCAGGTACCAGCTTCGGTGTTAGTACCATCTACCTCAGCCTGGCAGCAAACGCCAACGTCGAATCCTCCGGTGGACAATGCGCCGTCATAGCCACGGAGCACGAACCATCCAAAGCAGCCCAAGCTCGCAAGTACTGGAATGAAGTAGGGAACAGTATCACTAGCAATATCGACCTCCGCATCGGCGATCTGCTTCAAACTTTGAAAGAAGATGTTCCTCAAGTCGACCTGGTTCTCATTGACAGTGAGTGATATTTCGAGGAAGTGCAATCCAGCTACTGACCCGACCTTAGTTTGGGCCCCTATGACCTTGCCAACACTCAAGCTCTTACAGCCACGTCTGCGCCATGGAGCAGTTATTATTATCGACAACACAATCAGCTCGGCATCGCGGTATAAGGATTTGCTGCAGTATCTACGCGCCGATGGCAGCGGTTTCCTAAACCTCACAGTACCATATTCTAAAGGCCTAGAAATGTGTATATACTCCCCATAATACTATTCAATCTGATCTTTGGTTCGAGAAAAATTTATGCAGGTAGTTTAAATGCTTCAGAGCTTGGCCTTACGTTCTCTCCGCGCTAAGGAATACCAGCGTGCGTGGCACTTTGGTGCAATAGGCGTTGCTTGGCCAGTCAACTAGCGTCTGCTCCATATTAAACGAGGTCAGTGTTAGCAATATACGCTTTAGCAGGCAAGCCAAAGTAATAGTACAGATACCGCTATCATTTCAGAAAGGAGGCAAAAATGCTTTTGGATGCTTAGCATCCGCAACATGCGGACGAAGTGCGCGGCACATAATTGTCGTCTCCCACCATGTATGCCTTAGTCGATCATACGAGCAGGCTTGCTAAAAGCCTTCAACTGTCTTGAAATTCATTGCCATGGAACATGTGACTAAAGCCATACGTCTGCGTACAGTCAACACCGAAGCGGAAACCTCCATAAAAGAGCCAGCGTCTGAATTGGCCTCACTCCACTAGAAAGTACGCAATTTGACAACAGGCCTAGAACCTAGAACCAGCATCGCGAAAGTACCTCAGGCGGGAGCATATTCAGCATCATGTTCTACTCTAGAGCTTTTCATTATAATACAGCGATCTACAGATCTGCGATGATTTGAGATTAAGACTATTAAATAGAGCCGGAACTGTCAATCAAGGGAGGCGACATCGACGAGGAGGCAAGTTTATTTGAACATGAATGACACTGTTATGGCATGCCACGCAGCTTCATCGGAAGGTAGGTCAGTAGATTTGGGTAACGGCTCGACTAGGTATGAAGGAGAGGAAACAACCTCAAAATGGCGCAAACTTTGAAGTTCCAGCAGCTTAAAACGGGTGCACACATAACAGGAAGGGAGAACGACCTTATTAAATCACAAAAATGGCCAAGCTGATTGAGCCTATCGATTGATATTTGAAGTTGAATACAGAGAACATGCGGTATTCGGCAATCTGATCTCTCAGGACCCCTTTCGCCCCGTCACCAAGCATCACTCCTGGGATACTGGAAGAACTCACGAGCACCTCCCTCTCAGCCAATGTTTGGAAGAGGCGCTAGACTCTAACGGGATGAGTTCAATTTATCACCGTTACCATCGGGCATCCAAGGTGCTTTTCCTTGTCACGCAGCATCACGAAAGCCAAAGAAATTGACAATCAATCTACCAGCACATAAGGCTGCGTACGAAGTATAGAATAGCTTAATATTGAAGCCTTCAAGCCTCTCCCCAAGATTATCCCCACAGAGGGACTCATGAATACAAGGGACGGCATATCCTAGGCCGAAGTATCGAAGTACAAATACTTACGATCAACCACTTCATGTTGATTGGGCTATCGGAGTCGGTCTCAATTCACCATGCCTTGACGATGAGGCTGAACCGTTGTACTAGTATGTAGTGATGTTCTCACTGCCAGTGCTGTGGAAGTACGTGTCGGCATGTAATCATGGTGGAACCAGGGATAAAAGTTTTGTACAGCTGCTTTTTTTTTTGATCTTCTTGGCATTGTGCGTTCATTTCGCTTATTATGCGTTCTGTACTATAAAAGAGATAGCCAGATTATATTCAGAATGTCAGACATCGTCTATCTTGTTGATTTTGACCACATTCCCACATCCCACGTCAGGTGATGAGTGGCCGATCATAGCTCCACTTGGTCAGACAGTACGTAATAAGGCATTTGCCTGTGAGCGTCGGTGCTTTAAGTTCTCAATAGCTGGTCTGCAGAAAGACATACTTGATTGCCCGTAAGCCAGGTCGAAGGATCTAAATGAGAGAAAAGAAGCGCGTCGTTCTTTTATCAGATAGTCTGAAGGGTGGAGGTCGGGCAAACGGACAGCTGAAGACTATTGAGTTTCGAGGCCGGGTCTCGCTACCGAGGGATGACAAAGCAAAAGAAAAAAACAGCATACAGGATGTGCAGGGCATTTGGTATCTTCATCTGTCACTAGCTATGGTCGTTGGTCTAGCGTCTGGTGGAAACGGACTGAGACATAACACCCAGGTCCTTTGGGTATTAGTGTAAGCTACTCATTTCCGATGATGAAAGGCGAAAGGCGAGGAACATGTTGTCCATGGCCCTATCTGTATCTCAGAAATACGCGGCAAGATAACGTGGAGTGTTCGCTCTCAGGCTTCTTTAGCGCGCTCTCCTACGTTACATCATGAAGGGTGCCACTCAGACCACTCCCATATCTCTGTATTATGCTACATCCAATACTCTCGGCTCTGGTGCTACGAATGGGAGGATGGTTCGGAGAATGCCCGCTGCTCCCCGTGAGCAGTAAACACGTTTGACGCCATGACGCGAAAGTGGCAAAGCATAAGACTCCGATTGGCGCGACCAGTCCGTGGGACGGCCTGCTGATGACATACCTGGCTCTAAGGTTTAGACAGTCCACTGTGATTTATGACACTGTAATCCGTACAAAATATCTTACGCTAAATGGAATGGGGAAATATGGCCTCGTTGGCAATAATAACTTTTATGGTTGCCCAAAATAGAACGTCAACTTGGAGGATCCATGGCCAGAAGCCGGGCTCGCCAGTACGTTAGCAATATCCCTCCAGCTTTATGCAGATTCGTAATTTTTTGACAGCATCAGTGGCTGGCCATGTGTAACAGAGGAATAAAATTACTCACATCCTTAGGGTGAACAGTCTCAGGATACCGACCGACCGTCATAGCCAAATTCTGCAGCATATGCTAGTGTGTCGGCAAGATAAAGCTTCATATTCTCCTGTGAGGTGCTCTTGTATACATCGTCCAATGTGATTGATTGAAATCTACCTTCAAGTAATTGGACATGTAGAGTTTTCACCCAAATAGACATGGACTGTTTCCACGTCAGCAACTGGCTGTAACCAAGAAGAGTTTTTCCCGGTGCTGAATTCAGAAGTGCTTCCACGAGGAGCCCGGTGTCTTTCTTGGTCCAGATAGACGGCACTTTTCGGTTTCCATCCCCAAGACCAGGATGTAACCATCTTTGTGAATGATTTTCCTTGACAAAAATTGCAGTCCAAAATACTTTTTCCAATCACCAACATAATATCCGACGTGGATGAAACTGGACTTTGTCGAAAGATCATGCATTTGCGGAGAGCTTCGGATAAAGTGCTCAACTGCGGCTCTAGAGTAGTAACGCCAACAGTTGCGATATTTTCCTCTAGGCCGGAATGAACTGAGGCTGAGCGCTGAGTAGATGAAAAACTCAAGAGAAGAAACGGCTGCGGCAGCTATGGCCACATTCTTCCCACGTTGTGTTTCGAGGTCATGGCAGAGTTTGCTGATGGTAATGCTTCTCTCTTCAGCTTGAGCCCGGTATTTAGCCTCAGCCATTGGGTCCCAATAGTCAATCATTGCAAAGATTGCATGTGCACCATCGAAGGCCCGCTTCAGCGTTTCTACATCATCAAAGTCGCATTGAACAAGGTCAACCCCCTTCGCAGTCCAAGTTTGGGCTGAACTTGCGGCGGAGTTCCTGACTATGCCGCGGATCTTCCAAGAATGTTTTTCCAGAAAGTGGGCTGCAACACTACCACCTTGGTTCCCTGTAATCCCAATTACCACCAGAGGATACACTGAAGAAACACCACAACATGAACAGGCCTTGATCAACATACCACTATAGTCATTCTATTTTATTTTCCTTTGTTTATTGCATCACAAGACAATGAAACTGGTTCATTGCCCGTAAGTAGCCATTGAGTGCGGTTCTGGCCGGATGCCTTGGAGTTGGTTGGTAACTTTGTGATTTACATACTGTACAAACAAACCCCAGGCATCTTAAATGATACTTACTGGTTCTGAATTGGTAACTGAAATTGGCCGATACAAAATGCTTCGAAGGAGTCGAGACCGCTATAGATATACGTTCTCAAATTTGCGTCCAGCTGGCTGCAAGTAAAACAGTGAGTAACTTAATTATTGCAAGCTTCATAAGTTGAGGGCAAGCGCTATATCCCTCCGTACCAAGCCTTCAATCTTTGCCATAAAGTGTGTTCAACATCGTTGTTCGCACGAATAAAGTATTCAGAAGGTAAAGACACCGCCCACGGTTTTCTCAAGTAATAATATGTGGTTCGACAGAGCGGACAAGAGGCGTCGTGTTGTGTAAGCCAAATATCGATGCATAGCGCGTGGAAAGTGTGTTCGCATAGGAGTCTACGTAGACACAAATCTTTTGCCAGTTCTGTCTGGCACACACCACATGGCTCTTTTAAGATCGTTGTGAGTATATACGAGCACAAGGGGTAGATTATCTTGTTTACCAGCATCAGAATTGTCTCTTTCATATCGAGTCTGGGCCGTAACATCATGTAGTTCGCTCGGGCTTATCGGCCCTTTCGCTGTCAAGGAAGGAATTATGAAAAAGGATATGGTTGCCATCGTTTTCAATAGGAACTAGGAATTCAACTGCGATGTGAGAAACGAAATAAAGAGAGCAGCGGCGTAGGTAACCATGCTCTCCCGTCGGTTTTTCTAAACTAATCAGTTCGTCATACTGCGCTAAATCTCCCACCAGACTAGATTCAAGCGGAAACAATTTACACGTTTCTTGGCATATTGGAGAGTGGAGTCTTGCCGCGTAAGAATTGAGATTGACATTGTGGGGTCGTATTTTCTCGTACCCAAAATGAGAAATGATGCATCCATCGTTTTCGTGTCCGTCTCCAAAGACATTGTATCGGCTAAGCAGCATTTATAATCAGTTCGCAGCAATGCCTGCTCGAGATTTACGGGGAGCTATTGGCGGGGTCTGCTTACTGTACACTTTTGCTCATCAACGCTCGATCATAAGTCTAACAGGCCAGCTCAGTCGGTAGCTTTTGGCTTCTGAGTTGGTACTCGTAGGCCTGAAAAGCCGAAAAGATAGGAGTAAATGACCGTGGCGAAATACCTAGTAGTTTGTCATCACAACGAATTTCATATTTTTGAACTCTTGGGACGTAATAGTGGGAGACAGGCCGCAACGCCAGGCTGAAGAATAACTTTCGCGTCAGCAGCAGAGCTCCCGTTATGCGTGAAGCTTGCTTTTAAAGAACACGCAGTCTTGTGGACAGATCAGCAGGGTATTTTAAACATGGCAGATATGCAAATGGATCCTTACGCCAGCCATCAAAACATGGCCAGTGAATCTCAGCTGTGAGTCCAGCCCCACCAATACTGGAGTTGATAAATGAGTATACCTTGGTCTTCAAGACGGAATGCTTGATATTGGCTATAAGAGGCCAACTGGGAAAATTGAGGCTTCAATAATAGATGGAGCAAGCCTCCTCTCAGGATCAGTATACCCTTGTTGCCTGTCAGCTTGTTCCTAAGCCTAGCAATTCGGATAAGCATACTCGCTAATACCAAAATCCGGCCGAACCAAAAGACAACAGTGCGCATTAGCCGCGCGAGATTCCCTGTATAGGCTGGCATACATGCGGGTAGGTGGCTCCCGTAAGTCGTGGATGACACCATACACAAGCGCAAACAAGGAGAATAAATCAAGCTATATCTTGATAGGTTGCCTATCTGCCGTGGAAAGTTGCAATGGGTGCCTAGCATACGCAATATTTTTTAGACCAGCGTTATATTTTGAGCGGTACCCATATTACTGTAGCTGTTCTACAGGACGAAATGATGCAAAGGATTTTTTCGAAGAAAAACGTAAAGCATAGGCTGGCTGGTGATACAGGGACAATGCCGTTCAAGCCTAGCGCCGGCTTTCCAGACGAAGTCCAATTCGTGCAACAACCAATCGGACCCTTCGGAAAATAAGGAATTAGACATCCAGCAGAGATAACTACAGTTTCCACTGCCATTTCCACTTCCCATTAGTGCGCTCTATCATAACTTCCGTCCGTGCCCAGAAGACAGTCAGGGTTGATGCAACCATCAAAGCTCCCACAAAAACAGCCATATACAAGTAGTTCTCAGACGCCAGGCTCCCTCCCAGAGACTGAACCAGAACACCCGCCACGGGCGTTCCAACCAAGCCGGCAGCACCTTGAAGCATGTACATGACTCCCGTTATGCGTGGCAAATTCTCCATTCCGAATATCTCAACCAGTGCGGGTGAAAACAACCCAATGTATGCGCTTGCAAATAGTCCATAGATAATCGTGAAGCCAATGAAAAGACCTTTTCCTGTTGACTTGTTGGATGTTCCGATTATTGTGCTGGGGATCCAGAGCCCTGCTGTTGACACAGAACTCAAAAGAGTCGTAAGAAAAAACGAATCAAGCCGCCCAATTCTGTCTGCAATGAAACCAACTCCGACTTTGCCGATAGCGTTACAGGCATTGCTCAGTGAAGTGAAATTTGAGCCGTCTGCCTCGCTATAGCCAAGTGTTTTGGCATATGCTGCAATATAGAAGATCGGTGTGTAGTAAGCTGCGCTCTGGAAGATAGCATTGAGACATTGAGCAAAGAATTTCCGTGTCCTCACAATGCTGCGAGAAGGAAGTGGAACTTTAACGAGCCCTGAGACCCGAGTAAGCTTCATGTTTTCTTCATGTAGACGTGCGGCCATTTTCGGTTCCCACGTCAAAATGGCGCCTGATGCGCAAATGAGAACGGTACAAATACAGCCTGTAAGGCGAAGTGTATTCCGAAACCCTATGCTCCGGATAGACGCCGTGAGTATAGGAGACCACACAAGTCCACCAATGCCGGTCCCAGCTGAAATGAAACCCATGTTAGCTCCTCTATACTTTCCGAACCAGCTAGGCGGGACCGTCATGGAGGGCATAAAAGAGAGACAAGTGGCGATGCCTATTAAGAGGCCTTGTGTGAGCTGGAAATGCCACAAAGCTTTTCCAAAGCTGGCAAGTACGCTTGCAACGCCGAAGAGTAGACCGCCTGCACAAACCACTGGTTGCGGGCTGAAGTATTTTGTCCATGCCACGACGTAAGGTGCCCCCAGTTTCATCAGCGCCGCGGCTATACTCCCAATTAAAGCAATCTCGGCAGATGATGCGCCGGTAAAAGGATTGTCCCCTTTTTGCGACATTTCTTCGTAGAGTGATTGATAGATACCAAAGCTAAAGAGAAGACCACAGCCGGAGAAATTGAGCATAAAAGCGGCGACAATAATCACTAGTTTGTGTCTTTGTGTCGTCAGTTATCAAGGTAGATGAGATGAGAATATGTCGTCAAGCCTTTTGGTAAATAAAGGGTTGACAAAACAATAAGGATCAGGGCCATACTTCTTGGAAGGTTTTTTCTCAGCTTGAGCGTTTTCGTTACCATACCTTGCTTTCTCGGTATCGTTCACAGGCAGCTCGTCACTTTGGGAGTTCGAAGTGACACCTAAGACTTCAGTTGGTAGTGCCATCTTCGGATCAAAATCGCTTTAGTCTTGTGAGAGTATAACTTGGCAGTAAATGAACAATGTAAATGCTTTCACATACAAAATCGGTAAGCCAGAACTTAAATACTTGGAGGCTCATATGACATGACAAGCGCTTCTCTCCGAAAACGATTTTTCGGGGAAATCTCGTCAACTAACGGTGGGTGGCGCAGAGTTAGAGTAATGCTCCCCGGTTGCGGGGTGGCTTAAGCTCCAACAAATGGAAACGTTCCGCAACTGGCTAGCACTGACACTTGCATATGTACATGCGATATGTACATGCGAAGAAGGCTTGTCGCTATTGAACCTGGCCTATAACCGATGAAGCAGAGATATAGATAGATTCCACTTATTGGGCGTCGCTCTCATGATCTCCAACTTCCATCGTTCCATAATTGTCCTAACACGCCGAACCGCCATGGGGTGAGTTGCGAAGCCTTGGCATTTTGGAGAAATAATACCCGCCAGGCTCTACTGCGGCAGTTGCGAAAGCAAAATCTTTACAATACTTACTATACTCACTCTACAATGTACGTCTTCAGATTTGAAAGACTTTTCCTTCAGTTCCTCATTAGGACTTGGTTGTGACCCGATTTATGCGAATTACCATTGGTATTCAGTGCAGCTCTGTGCTCAAATCCTTCAGCTGCGGTCGTTGTGCGTCCTGCACTGGCCAAGCATGCGGCCTACTTCTAGATGCCCACGTGCGGATGGATAACTGTGCGAACGTTCTTTCTACTAATGGCCATAGGCTGGCACCTTACCCACACTCCAACGAGGAACTGCATGGTATTAACAGCTCGATAGAACTTGTGCGTAACAATAACGGAGCACGTCTGTCTTCCCTCCAACCACGTTGAGTCAACCAAACCTCGTAACGTTTGGAGATAGACGCTTGCCCCCGCCACTGCTTTTCCACTGTGGTGGTGAAATTCCAGTCCGGGTTCTAACCAGTAGCGCTTGGCTGTTCTCGTCGCCGGTACAGCATGCCTCTGTAGAGATAGCGGCATGTATTGCGGATCAAACTCTCAGGTATACACTAAGCGACACGAGCGCGCTTTTTGGGGTCAAAGACCGAGGTATCCGTTCTCGCCCATAGATTGGCTTGTCGACAGGCGGAACTTGATCGAAAGTGTCTTCGGCCATATGAATGCTAGTGCTCCGAGTATACGATTACCATTTTCTGAAGCAGGCTGTCGTGAGAGACACTACCATAGGCGAGGGGCAATGACGTGGCATTCGGAAGGGGTTTTCAAGATCGACCTACAAGTTCAGAATCCCTAGCTCGTGGTACTGCATATCAATTAAGATACCACCACATACCAGCTAGGCTCTTGATATGTAGACCTGAGCCGGTTTCCGTAGTAAATCCGAGAACTTGCAACCCCCACTAAGGCACGTGTGTGAGGCGTCCTGTACACAGTACGAGGAGCAGCAGCCATGTTAGAAACTCCGCTCACAGCCGATCGAGCCTCAGTTGGAACCAAGTCACTCAAGACCTTCAAAAATATAGCATAACTATTTCGGTATGTGGTAATAATGGAGCCCATGGAAGAAGGGAGCTTTTAATGGCGACAATAACCGCAGCATCCTATGTACGACTCAAGATGGTACTACCAAACAAACAAAACACCAACGCCCAAAACCCTTCATGTCTTTTTGAGAAGCAGCACCAATCTCTAGGGGGTGAAATTTGGACCTCAAGGCCGGAATGATGCCACTAATGCCCGGCAATACGCGACTAAAACGGAAAGGTCTTGGCATCCTGGGGTATTAGCGGAAGTAGACTATGAAATGTAAGGTCAATTTAACGCCAGGGTTAATTAAAATTTACAACGCTGTAAGCTCGCCGATTCTCTATTTAAGGGAGTGCTAGCTCATCAATGTACCAAGTTTTTTATCTGCCCGCGAAATACCAGCTTTATTGCCCTGGATTGACTCTCCTCATCATTTCGCTCCATTTTCAACACTGAGGGCATGAGGGGCAGGGAATCGGACCCCGAAATATCAACTGCTGAGCAGTTATCTACAATTAGCAAAATCCCAGATGGAGGATATGGCTGGGTCTGTGTTTTCTGCGTTTTCCTGAACAATGCTCATCATTGGGGTATTGCGAGTGTGAGGAAGTCTACTCAAAATCTGCACCAGTGTCCACTAATCTGTGGCCTTTGCAGAGTTACGGTGTTTTCCTTTCATATTATCTCTCCGCGTCTGAGTTCCCTGGGGCAACGCCTCTAGAATATGCGTTCATTGGAGGTCTCATCACCGCGACTGCCCTTATTACCGGACCCCTAGCCTCTGCTATTACGAACCGATTTGGCATGAATGTCACGTTACTCTGCGGGGTGGCTTTTGAAACCGCTGCCCTCGTCGGTGCATCCTTTTGCAAGCAGACCTGGCATCTATTCCTTAGCCAAGGGGTCTGCTTTGGGCTAGGTCTTGGTTTACAATACCTATCTACCGTAGGTATTATCCCTCAGTGGTTTCTCCGCCGTCGGGGCCTTGCTAGTGGAATCGCAGCTAGTGGAAGTGGCACCGGAGGTCTCATATATTCGCTCGCTGTCCAAACAATGATACAAAAATATGGAATCTCCTGGTCCTATCGCATTCTGGCAATTGTTCAGTTCTTTGTCAACACAATCTGCGGACTCTTGATCCGAGATCGAAATAGGGATGTTGGAACAACGCCGACTATGTTTCAGCTACAGCTGTTCACACAATGGCAATACTGGTGCTTTCTAATTTGGAGTGCACTGAACGTCATGGGGTTCACTTCTGTCTTGTTTTCACTGGATAATTTTTCGAGAACCATCGGCTTGAAGGCGCAGCAAGGATCTCTCATCACTGCTGCTCTTAATATCGGCCAGATCATTGGCCGCCCAGGGATGGGAAAGATCAGCGACATCATAGGCCCATTAAATATGGCTGCTTTGATGTCATTCATAACCACCATCTTGTGTTTTCTAATGTGGCCCTTTGTTGCAAGTTATGGGGCAGTTATTGCATTTGCAGTGCTTACTGGCATTTTCTTCGGTGGAATATGGACTGTACGCAAAAAGTGGCCCCCCTCAAACATGACAGTGCTGACGGAGATTAGCTGGGAGGGCCCGTTGCGGCCGAAATCGTGGCACTGCCTGGTCTCCCATCCTGTCTTTCTATAATGTGGCTTGCTTGTGCCGGACCTGCGGCGGGTATTTTGCTATTCTCTTTGTCACGTATTGAATTCCTACTAAATATTTCCTAGTTGCTGAGCCAATTGCGCTCAAACTTCGGCAAACGGGACGGGACGGATATCTCAACACCCAAATGTTCACTGCTTCTTTGTACATGGGGGCGACGATTTGCATGTGCTTGATAAGAATCTGGAAAGCCCAACAATACACTGGGCCATGCAGCTCAGCGGATACGTTGTCACGTGCTAGAATGCCACGTAGCTCGGGGAAGGAACCTAACCACGCTAGGAGGTGGTATGGTTAGCTGGAAGCGTTCACCATTTCACAATAGTCTCTGTTTCTCAGGCCAAGGGTACGAGCACAGAGATTCTAGGTTGGGACATATGTTGCACGCCATATTAGCTACTCTCGGCAAGAATTTGGGCGAGCTAATTATAACAAGATTGTCGAGGACCTGATGCAGAAAATATATCAGTGGATGCCACGATTGTTAGTTTATAAGGCCTGAGGTCCACGCTCCTTCTCCGTAGTTGTTCTTAAAAGAAAAGGTCGGCTTATGCTTTGATCTTTGTTGAAGAGAATCAATGCCTCGCGCTTTCGCGCCTTCCAGATCAAACCCCGTGTGCGTACGATGTACGGCGAACCCAAACCACAGATTGGTCAGTCTCGTATTACTACTAGTTCGTTCAAACGTCGGGTAATTGTGGACCGCAGTAGCCTATGCTTGATTGTTAAAGCGAACCATATATCGGGTCGTTGGGATGCCAATGCCAGGCACCCCTGTATCTTGCGTAGATGATACGCTCAGCAAACCTGCTCGGATGTGGGCGTTCGCAAGTTCTGCGAGGCAGTAAAGAGAGTGTCCCCATTAGGACTCACTAGCGATCATTCGATACTGATCCGCATGCAGTTCAGCTCCTTTCAGAATTATGAATTTCAGCGAGGCAACCGGGCAAGGTGGAGGAGACCACCTTGACATATGGTCTGTATATTTGCCAGCGGCCCAGCAGGAGCCATCCGTCCAAGGCCCCGCCATTCCCATTGCCACAGTAAGTCTTTCTTCGTTATGTGGCGGACCATATCAAAGCTCAGAGGCAAAACGGCCATCTTTATTTGGAGAGAGTTTAAGATTACAATTAGAGAGTTTTCACTGTTGGTAGTGCTTTTAACGAACCAAGAGGTCCAGAAGATCTACCACCGATAATATTTTGCGATAAGAAGCTGGCGAAGATTATGAATAAAGCCGCGTCGTCGAGATTAGCGTCCGAAGCCTCTATATAAGAATTTCAATAACTTGGAGTCAGTGTAGTGTACCGGGCTCCTCTTTACCGTCAAAAGAAAAAATAAGCAATTATTCCCCTAAATACGCTGCGAGGCTGGAGGCTGCCTGGCATGTTGCGAAAGTAAGTGTATACCCCAAAGAACATACTTAAACGTCACATCTATTTAATAACAATTATATCACCTGATGGTAGGTCTGGCGGATTTTCTCGATGGCCCGCGGAAACCTTTTCACCCCGTTGCGATGCCCACCATCGAGACACGCTCCACATCTCTTCGTCCTCGCCCCCCACAAGCCACCACCATTTCCGGAGAAACCATCCTTTTGCCTCCCAGCTTCGGCTTTCCCACGGGCTCCCTCTGTCCATGCCACCGCCTCCAATGGATCCCCAGCACACCAGGCCGTCTTTCAACATGAGATCAACACAGAGGTCATCTTCATTCAACAACGGAGGGTCCGTAGACAACGCGGCAAGTGCCCTCTGCCGGAAAGTTGGAAATGGCAAGGTATCCAAGTACGGATGGTGTGGAACGGTCAACTGGCACAACAAAGGTCGAAGATTAACAGGAGTGTCTTTGAATCCTTCAGGCGAAGACAGATTGTCTGTGCAATAGGGCGAGATGCTATTTTCGTCGAGGAATACAGAGAAATCGAAACCGAGGGCGCTGAAATTTGCGAACAAAGCAGAAAAATATGAGAGTCGTGAGATACGAAGTGTGTTCGTATACGGGGAAAAGGATTCCGCCATTTCAGGTGTGAACCACGGGGATCCATTCTGACGAAATGCTGCAGATGAGTGATTTGGACTAGTGCCCGTCGATGGCGAACTCCCCTCAGGAGTCTCCAGGCCCGCGATGATTTGGTCTATAAATCCAAATCCACCAGTCTTTGCCGACTCCAAAAGCTGATGGCGTAAATTTGGCATAAGTGAAGATATGTATCTGCGAATTCGTTCAGGTCTGACGGCCAAAATTTTCCCACTGGGCCGGTATACAAAGATTAATTGACCATACAAACCATCTGACTCTTGTAGATCCTTGTTTGCGCCATGAATGTCACTAATTTCTGGCCCTAACTTTTGGCGACCAGTTACCGTGTTTATGCTCTTGACCGCAGTTAAAATGCCTTCTGCAAAGTTGTTGGTAGGCATAATGTCATCAACCGACTCAGGTGTGATTATAGGCGCATCTGATGCCGACTCGGCCATCGGCGCCATAGATAGAGAATGAAGGTTACCGTCGAATGAGAGGCCCGAGTCTGTGGTAGCACAGAAAGCTGGCCATTCGCACCAAATATTGTTGATGGATGTGCCAAGATCAAAATCGTTCACAGTATTCAACCCATTTACGAGCGGGGAGGGGATCTTTGGGGAAGCTGGTGAACCACTTCGCGGTATCGTGTTCTCGGAAGGGCGCCTGAGTCTTGAGGCAGTGGCTCTGTTGGAGCCGGTTGTTGATCCAGTGGCGCCTGGATAGATCGCTCCCCGATAGTGGCCACAATTTTCTCGAGCTGCTCCAACCGATTTCTCTTTCTATCGCCTTTAAAATTCTATCAGTATAAGATCCTGATTTGAGTTATCGCACACAAGACTTGCGGTATGCTCTTTGGGCTTTGCGGTTTTGCAATCGACGGTTTTCCGACGAGGATCTCTTGGATGAGTTTGCATCAAGCTCCGAAGAAATGCCATGATCTTCCTGACTTCGACCACGATAACGAACGCTGGCACTTTGCGTACCCCGCTCTTCCATCGTCTGCTTTTGGTTGCGTTGCATCTTGTCCTTCCGGACGATGAGAGGAGCCAGGTCTAGAAAAATCCACCAGGCCAGCCCCGCCGACGAGGTCTTTGATCGAGTAAGGCTTCTGAACTTTTAGGACAGAGTTGAGGCTTGATCGGCGGTTGCGCTGCAAGATGCCAATGGAGATAGCGCCACCCGCTTACAAATCCGGGGGCCCCGCCGCTCCACGTTAGGTAAGTTACCTAGTTGTTGTGGCGGGTAAGCAAGTGAGGCGCCCCAAAATACCATAGCTCAACAGCCGATAGATCATGCTACTTTGCTTTTCGTATCTGACTTTTCAAAGTACGAATACAGAGTCTGACTCTGATTTCACAACATCTAGTAAAAATACACTGTAATCTAAACTCTTGAGCTTCTAAAGCTATATCTCCCAATCATTATAACCTAAACCCTTTCGGGACTTTTAGAATATGCTAGACGTGGTATGAAAAACATGAGTAATAAGAAGGTTTTAGGGGACGATACTGTTGCTGGGATATAAAGTTGTAGTTTATCGCTTTACTCTGGTGTTTTGGGGTGGCTCCCTCGCTTAACTGTCAGGGTTATCTCACGATACACCTGGTCGGTTGGTTTTACAGATTCGGGCAATAGAGACTCGCAGGGAGGTTCCGGGTGCGACTCAGCATCATTCCAAGACTGATCGCTGGCCCCTGAAACTCAGGTGCCAGCGAGGTATTTATGTACAGGCTTCTTACCCCGCTCATACACGCGTTCATGCGTGCGATCAGTGCGCAGTTGTGAGGCAGTAACAACCTTACAAATCAGGCATGCAATCGCAGCCTGTCATCGTAGTACAACTGCCCTCACATTAACTTACAGGCTTACTCGCTTACTAACCAATGTTAGCGGGGTTCCAATGCTTAGTGTTGGATCCCCTGTACCGATGGTATTGCTCTGTCACCCTGATACGCACTACTCATGCATTAGGGTTAGACCTGTATCTATAACACTGGGTCGTGACCCACAGAACTCCATAACAATACAACTACCATACACATGCTATAAGACTTAGCTAATTGAAGTGGCAACCCTACAGTATCCATCGTTTCGAAATGCCGGAAGTGTCGCTTAGTTCCTTTGTGACTCCTACCAAGGTTGGCGTCTGCAATTGCAACTACCCAGATAAACTCTGGTTCAATCATCTCCAGAATGCCAAGAGTACACCAACACCTTTTTAGGGATGTTGTTACAGGAGAAGCGGAAGATTGCGAAAATAAAGGAATTAACTATCATCAGGTGATGCACACGCATAAACAACATGAGTGGACTTTCCATGCTCTTCGATCATCTCTCGTAGGTTGGGTACAGTCCCAGGAGGCTTTTATGGGTGCATGCTTGCAAGGCATCACTATCCATATAGACAAGTGGAGCTCTTGCACCAATACTTTGTTAGCGCCGAAAGCATGCCGGGGACTCCAACCAAGCGGAGACGGCGAGATCGGAGTAAAACGGGAAGAATGGAATGGTAACTGAAAATCAAGCCTATAAGCTTTGGCGCCAATACAAGAAGGCGCAATAGGATGAGAGGCTGCAGACGGTTTAGAGGCATGAAGCCTATGAAAATGTGAACTCGGGAAAGGTTGAAAGAATTAGACTAGTCATCGGTGCGTTCTGACCTGTGGTTGCTTCTCAGGAAGTAGCAGTGCAGTTCCCAAACTAAATAAACCAGGCATCCTAGTCTTGGCATTTTGGGGCTTTGAAAACTCACTCGTTGCTCCAGGCTGCCGTTCATTATTAGATTGCCTTGGGCTATAAATCATGTATCTTGAGTCTGGATCTTACTATTTTATCTATTGCCAGCCGGCCTTAGTCGCCTCTTTCTATCGCCTGTTGTCGGAGCTCTCAATAGTAAGCTGACAGCAAATTGCTTCTTGCTTTGCAATAAGACCCATAACGCTAAAACTGTTACCATTTTTCATGACGCCGAAAATATTCCCAGGATATATTATTTCAGCTTTCCACAAATACGCCATTAATACCGGGAAACTCCGTGGCTTCTCCCGTAAGTCTAATCCAGCCGCAGTGTGAAAATCATCGTTGTTTAGTTAACAAATATGCACGCAGGCAGAATCACTTCAGCGGGCACAGTCCATAAAAAGAGTGTCCATATTATACGAACGGCGGATACCCAGTTCATGAGTTGGTGAAGCAGTCGTGTTTCGCAATATATTAGGAATGAGCTAGATGCAAGCATATTTGTAAGAAGGTACGAGACGTGACAGCCTTCGGATTATACTTCTCCGAGGACCGTTAGGCATTCTTTTTCTCCTAATGTACAGTCCAAAACAATCTTCTACACTGTCTGTTCAGGTACTTCTTGCATCCTATTCGATTGACATTAAGGAGGTGAAATTGGTGAGAATTGCACTTGACTTACGCTGATATGGGTCTTCATGGGTATATTGATGTGTACTTTGAATAGAGGCCTTCATCTATTTGGAAGGTTGGAGCGAAACGAGGAGACGCTCGACGCTCTCCGGGTAATATTCTAACACATAAGTGAAATTCAAGAATATATGGATTCCTAGTCACCAGTGGCCTCGTCAGAGATAAGAGCAGCTTGGCGTCTTTCTAATACACAAACTATCTCCGTCCGATATGCGCGCCTTTGGGTCCACTAAACACCTGACCTAGACTACGCTCCCAAAAATTCATTTTATGGCAATCTCGAAGCTATGAGAAAGTTGGTCTTTTGGTCCATTTAAGCCGTCATCATGTCCGTCTGGCTCCGCCGGCTCGGAGGGTTGAGTGTTGTGATGTGAGGCTGGCGCAGATCAGGAACAAGTCTGCACCATTGGAAATAGTTCCCGAGTAGCTTATATAAATTACAAGTTGGCTTTCAATCGACTTGACCTCCTTGTTGCATATATAGCCTCTGAGATAAGAATAATCAATGTTCCTTTAAAGCACAACAGATAGCGCAGACATCGGGTCGCAAATACAGCTCTTATCTGTATTTCAAAGAGAATTCTTCTGAATCGTGAGATATGATGGGCCTTTCATTGTGTTCTTTGGAAAAGCTGCGATTAGTCCTCGATCAGACAGGGTAGCAGTTGCAGCATGGATAATAGATTCATGTTAAGGGCCTTTGGGATTACACAAACCCCTCGATTGGGTCGTATCGTGTGTGTCTTATCTCCTATTCAGGTTGCCCTCCCAGATTCGCTTTAGACCCTCGGATTCCTCATGTGGATCTCCGATGGACGATGTATGTAATAAGCCAAGTCTGAAGGCAGCAACGTCGTATGGTCCTTGCGCTAGGAACCAGCCAGTTGTATGGCGACCTCATTTTGCAAATATGTGCAACATATTCCGAAATATGGTTATACGGTGGTCTTCACTTTCTGATTCTTTCTGTCCGTCTGCTTCCTGCTTTGTTTGATACGTATTCCTATGAGTAGTGCGGTACATTTCCTTGCGCACCAATAAGTGTTTGACTGTTGACATTGATTACACACACTGGCCATCTCTAATGCTCGCCATCGCACAGCACAACACATGCCCCACGTGTAATATACCGAGTGAAATCAACTATTAACCACAAGCTATCTTCATTGCCAAATTTAAGTCGTTAAGTACCATTTTCAGCTTCCAGCAACATGATTAACCGACTCTCCACCCCCTCAAGAATCTTCCGAACAACCCCAGTTTGGAGTACACCCTCTTCATGACTAACATTGATTACACACTGGTCATCCCTCATGCTTGCCATTGCAAAATACAGCATTGGTCCCACCTGCGACTTTTGTGCAGACACGGAGAACTCAGCACTTTTCAGTTGCCAAGGCCCGGATGATTGACTTTTTGATTCGACCAAGCTGGACACGCAAAAGGTCTTCGTGACAGCGACATCTAATATTTTGTATATTCCCGCCATAATAGACTCATCGTCTTCGCCAATAGCTGTTAACCCTAAAGCGTTCGCCACTGGTCGTGGTGTTTGATGCCTGAACATGGCAGAATCAAGGTCAGCTTTAGCTCTTTGGCTTAGCTCCCACATGAGCGCAATCTGCCTATCGTTAGCTGGAGATGTAACTCCAGCTCTGCGGTAATTGCACAGCCAGTGAATAGTTTGATGGCTTGATACATAGTTGCCCATGGTGTTAGAAAACTCAGTCGGCAGGAAGCGCCGTAGGTCAACTGCAAGGTACGATAGACCCACTTTTGCCGCTGGATAAACATCAGATGCAAGCGTAACGTGAATTAGTGTTTCGATGAGGGTGGTGATTGACGTGTTGTGTTTCCTGCACGCTTTAAGAGTTGCTGCGAGCTGTGATGGGTTGAGGCACATCCTTTCCAGCTTGGTGACTGGCCGCTTCGCGAGAGGCACTGGGCTGTCTTTAGAGGGTAAACCCTCTTTGAACATGACATCGCTGAAGAAGGTATAACTACTCCGTAGGAAGAATTTGACCATAAAAGAGGAGAGGTAGCTCAGTAGACCAATGCATATGCTGAATCTCATGCCAAGAGCCTGGAGAAGAGCCATTGACTCGGGCTTCATCTCATGTTTTGCCACATCGATATCAGTCGATATACTTTTGTCTTGCCCGGTCTCTTGTTGCTCCTGGGTCACTTTGTTAAGTGCAGTGAGCAAGCTGTGGTGAAATATCATACCTGATCTGCCATCACAGACCGAGTGATGAAAAATAAATAATATCTTCGAACCATTAACCACAACTCTCCACAGCGGTTTTGCCCTATCCTCTGTTTTGAACCAGATATCATGCTCCTCTTGTAGCAACCGAATGAACTGTTCTTGCTCAGCTGCATTATCCACAAATCTGACGCAATCCTTGACACAAATTTTTCTCAAACGTGCTTGCCAGGCCCTTTTGCCTCCAATCTTCTTCTTGGATGGCTGATCAACAATGATTGTTGCCAGGGCTGGGTGCTCCGACACCACTAAGGGAAGAGCTGCGTACAATATGCCCGGAGTTAAGTGAATATTGTCGGTCCGCTCATATGTCGCACAAACAATTGTGTTCGACAAGACGCCGAGGCCATGGTGGATCTTGTATATGCTCTCTATTACACCTGTATTGATATCAGTGTTTGTTCAGATCGAAGAAAATAGGCAGTACTACCTGCAGGACGTATGAGCTCAAAATATTCATCGGCTTGTCCGGACTCCAAGCCACCCATTGTTCCGTTGGGATTGTATTCGGGATGTTTCATGAGTATAATTAGTATGTTAATTCTCAAGGAGAAGAATTATCTGAAGTCAGACTGGCTGGTGAAAAGGATTATGCTCTTATGTGCGAGAGAAAAGGGGATCAGGGACACGTTCGGTGCTAGTGAGTCTCTAGGCCTGGCCAAAGCTCCTCTCAGACTGCTGACTAATAACCCCCCAAAGCTGCAGCCCAAAGCAGTTAGCGCCACCAGGGGTTAAGAAATTCTTGTAGCATGTGTATAGTACAGTATCTGAAGACCTCGAATAAAGGGCACATATGCGCTCGAGACCCACAAGGGATCCTTGGCATATTGGAGAACGGAGAACGGAAAGGTTTTCACACGCCCGGCAAGATCCATCGTCTACCTAACGAAACAGGCATTCTTGACATCGTCATATTACGCTTTGATAATAGATTATTGCTTGACCAAGCCGATGGAATTCAAAAAGAATGTAGTGGTCAACCTGATTTTGGTCCACCGCGTAGTAAATGCCTGTAGTTTAGTGGTTGTAACTCATGTTTACTTGAGCTACCATATGACAATCATCGCATTGGCTGCGACCGCACGGCGTAAGGAACGAAAAGGTCACAGTTCGATGAGGGGCCACTAGCAGAGAGGACATTGTTTGAAAAAGCAATCTTCGTACTTTCACTTGAATATAGAGTCGTAGCATATTCAGTCAGAGTCGGCCAAAAACAGAAGTATAGGCTACATCGAAACGGTCAAGGTTTGCCGCCCTGGCCCAGGTAGCAGTAAAGTCGCGGAAGAGCTTAGAGTGGCAGCTGGAGCTACCATAAGGCTCAGCGAGAGCACGCAGCTCGGAGTGGTGACTGGGGATCAGATCCACGCGAGTCTGCAGGCCTTCCTTGGCGCTGACCTTGTGACCGACGCCTCAAAGTACTCTTTGCAGCCACCGGTGGGCTTCTAAGAGAGAATACATGTTGTTTATAGCAGTCACTTGCTTGGATCGCTACTTTTGGTACTGCGCCTTTAGTAGCATAAGCCATTCGCATGGTCTCCGAATGTAGATAGTGTCTTCTGAGCCTTGATACATTCTCTGGTATTGCAAAACTGGAACTCAACCAATACATCCGCTGATGGAATTGGCACTCAATTTCAAGCTGGCTTTACCATGAGCGGTGAGTTGAATACATTCGCCTTCGACCATATGAGAACCCATTCCTCGCCTGTATCGTCAATCATATGGCGGGTCCCACTCATTGGTATGTTACCATATCTGGCTGGAAATTATGTGCATCAATATTGTGCTATTGAGATTTCAACGGTCAAAAATCCAGTACCGTCAAGGAGAATTGGGGTTGTGACTTGGGACGCGCACTTCTGCATAATTATTGAACCACGATGGGAAGGGGGTTCTAAATATGCTTTTTCACTATCTTAGGGAAGCTAGGTTGAGGATATTCTGTCCCCTTGAACGGACTGGTTCTCTCACTCTGATTAAGTGATCGGTCGGCTTTTTAGTGAAGTAAAATCAAAAGGTTCAAGTATCTAGATTAGAGGTCTTCATCATGATGAAGAGGTATGGTGAAGAGTGTCCATTGTTTGTTACCAGTCCCCAACAAGATAAGTGGTGCTGCGGCAAAGACCAGTTATTTCTTTCACGGTCGGCTCTATTCTATATGGAATGACACCTTAGCATTTACGTTTACGAAAGTAAGATTACCCTTCAAATGTGAAAAAAGGGAGCCTCAGGTACATGGAGGAAAAGGGAACACCTGTTTTTAGAGAGTGCAGGGTACGATTCAACTAGTCATGTTAAAAAGCTTTTCCCTCTGTGTAAGAAAAAGATGAGAAGATTGTCAGCCTCTCAACGGCAGGGGCGCGATGACAGCCAGTGTCAGCTGTAATAGATCACAACATTTGAATTGCACTCACCGCATTGAAATTCAGGTGGCATTGTCACTTGAGCTGTTCGTGGCTGGGGAAGGAAATTTATAGTAATCACATGACTATTCAAAGATGGTAAAAAAAGCAGACGCCTAGTCTTGTCGTGGACCGAAATTGCCGCTACATGTTACGTATTCCCTAACAAAAACTTTGCGTGGCATTACTCCTTTATAAATATTCAATTCCTACAAAAAAGCAGCGGCTCACATCCGCGACAATAATATATTCAACATGCGTATAAAACCAGTATTCGTATCGGTCCGTTATCCGCTTAACTAGCGAGTAATCCCTCAGTGCAGTCTGGCGTTCTTATAACTACCCACGATTCATCAGAGCAGGGCTATCGCTGCCACGTGATGTTGAACCATATATCACCATCATTCCGGTACCAGACCTGTCAACTTCTCGCTTAGTTTCCATAGCTTATTCGCCGTATCTGGGTCCACGGAATCATGGTTTAGGCTAATGTTGGAAATAACACCATCGGTGACGAAATACCCTTTTTCATCTTTATCAAAACTTCAGTAACTTTCCTCTCATAATTATGAAAGCTTCATAGATATCAGGCTTACTAGTAAGTGTATTGTCAAAAGCGGCAATGATCGCAGATGATGACCCTTCTGCTGAAGTCTTTGTTTTTATGGCGGAGCTCAGTTTGCCCTGTTCATCAACCCAGCCTAACCAAGAACACGTAAGCGCCGCCGGTACCAATAAATATTTCATGCGGGTGCGTAGCTCACCTAGAGCGATGAAGTCCTCTGGTGGGACACTACGCGTCAACGAAGTCGTCACGATGATACCGGGGTCAACGCCGAAGGATCGGAGGCCTCGCGCACCAAACCTCTGGACCAAACCGACCGAGAAAAGAATGTTGCAGGCCTTGGAATTGCTGTAAGCTAGCCACTTGTTGTAATTATCGCCATGGCTGCCATAAGATAGGTCGTCCAAGAAACCCATTTCCGCGCGAGAGTGCGCCTCGCTGGTATAGTTCACTACGGTTGGACCACCTGGTGCGGCCAAAAGCTTTTCAATCAGTAGATTGGTAAAGAGGAAGTGACCCAGGTGGTTGATGGCAAACTGAAGCTCGAAGCCGTCCACGGAAGTCTGGTAGGTCGAGGTCGCCATAATACCAGCAGTGCATATCAGGCCATCAATAGAAGCTACCCATTCTGACACCTGCGCAGCCGCAGCGCGAACTGCCTTGAGAGATGAAAGGTCCAGACAGAGCGATCGGACAACAGTCTCAGACGGTATGACCAGAGAGGCGATGACCTCATTGATTTTCTTTTCGCTCCTACTCGCCAGGATCAGCTGCGCTGGTTGGTGGGCCAACAGGGCGCGCGCGGTATCTGCACCGAGACTTCCGGGGCTGACACCAGTAATAATGACTGAAAAAGTAGCTCTTTAGCAGCCAATTCCGGGCCTGGCAATCCGTACTGAAACTTACTAGTCTTGTTGCGAATCGACGCACTCAGAGCTTCTGCAGCCTCGTCGGAAGTGGTGGGGAATCCAAACTGCGCCATATTTTCCTGGTATGAAGTTGTTTAAATTGTGAGGGGGTGAGTCTGATCTCAGGCTTTGTTGATGTGTTCCTGTGTTAAACTGGAATTGGGCCACATTTAAATACATTTTTAAGCTCCTACTACGGATTGCCAAGAGTATACTGCGTAGATATGTTGCACACAATCATTTAACGTAACATCATGTGAGCATTTCCAGAGTGGAGGAATCAAAGATGATTACGTGTTGGTGTACGATAAAAAGTCGCGGGTATGTGATTATCGGCGCAGATGCTGACGCGATTCCGGGTCAATGTAAGTCACATGATGTCGGCCGTAAGCAATTCCGATCTCATAGAGTTAGCTAATAGTAGACCCACAATCACGTCAGCATGGGTCTCGGTAAATGAGTGCTAGATCGGCATTTACGAGACTGGTTCAACGAAACATGTGCGCCTGACAGCTTCTGATCTAATCACAACAAGGTGTTGGAGATTAGGTTTATCCGAGCGTACCACAAGTCCTCAGAGTTAAGCAGTGAGGTTACCTCCGTCTGTCAGAGGAATGCTACCCCTTTTCAGACGCATATAAAGTAGGTAACAAACACATCGCTGAATATGCACGAACGCCTTGCTATTTCAACTAAAAACTGAACGGCTAAATCTTACTCGATGAAGCTATATAATTAAGATAGCCTTGATTTCTTTCGTGGCCTTATTAGGGTCCCTATACGAATAATAGACGCCTATATAATACCTCCAGTAAACCATAGGGGCTAGATCTGTGGGTACTATCTTCGAATAATCAGGGTGAAAAAACTATTTTGCTTGCAGGGTTGGGGGTTGGCAGAGTATTAGGAGATGCATGGGCCTCAGGAGATCAATCTTCACGTGAAATGACACATGATACATGCTCGCCCCACCTTGCCCCAGGAATCGCTTCCAATCGATGTTATGACTACAACAAAATCACAACAATTGGATGAGTCTTCCATTCCTGGCTATTGTTTCAAATTGGAGGGTCGCTTGTCTTCAAACTCTTTGATAGGACGTCATGAGCATTAGAGGATCTTGAGGTGCGTCATGTTGGGGAAGAGATGCTTTCGAGATTTTCTCGCATCATCTACTCGAGTGTCCAAAAGGTTGGCAAAGGTCACATGACAAAAAGGGATGGATAGATGTACGATCGACTACCAGGAGCGACGACGGTGCGCACCAATTTGACTAGCCTGGGTGATTTTGCAGACATAATTGTGTACGTTGAATAGGAGGAGAATTAGGTCTGTATTTGGAATATTTTGAGGTTTCGTGACTCTCGTATTTTGAAGTTAACCCAACCCACCGTCATATCATATCGCGCTTTCCTGAAACCCTCTCTCTCTCCCCTATGACCGCACCCGGATTAAACGGGCGAAAAGCGGTCCACCACGCGTCTGGTTCTGGGCGGACCGTATCGTTGTCTCCGTGCGGTGGACCCAACACGCCTGCAATTAGCAGGACAAAGCGAGCTTTTTACGCCTAATACGGCAGATGTTGCAGTGGGAGCCGGGCAAGCGTAGCTCTGCTTAGGAATTAGCAGACGAGTGGATTCGTATGCATTTATAAGTGTGCATTGAAGAACCAAATCCTTCGAACAGCGTTGTAAATTCGATCTTCTAGTGGTTTGCCAACATTGAGCACCTTCCAACAAGTTCATTTTGGCATTGTGTAGTTCAGCTCATGCGGTCACTGCTACACTTGGAGTCAAACCTGCCTAACTCGTCAGGGTAAATGCTTGATCCTGGTCTTCTTGGTCGCGACGAGCCGTGGTCAATTCCTATTGGCCGGGTGTTGCATCCACGTCGATCTCCCTGCATATTTTACGTACCCCTTACTTACTGTACACATCCGGCTAATAAAAGTTGATTTGTTCGCCGTCATTCTTTCGTTCGTCTTCCCCTATTGACCATTCATTCTTTTTACACCCATTTCCTTATGGGCTCACCTATGCCGCAATTCAGACCTCTTTGGCCTCGTTTGCCAATGCCGATTGACGTAAAGATTGCGCAGCAAATCGGGGGAGAGACAGCGTCAAAGGCGGCGAAAACAAGAGCCCCGATCGCCTGTAAGAAGTGCCAGCGCTATCGAAAGAAGATGGGTCTTTCGCTTGTGTATGTCGATTATTTTGCGTTGTCTCACATTGGTTTTTCTCATTAGTGCAGTGATGGTTTTCCTTGCCTTGAGTGCAGGAAGTATAATCGAGCCTGCGTTTTCGACGAATGTTTCGATAAACGCCGCAAAGTCTCTGCCAAGAAGGTAGAAGAAGAACTCAGATATTATCGAGAGTTTGCAGATCAGTTACTAGAGCTGATTCGGGTTTCTAACAATTCCGATGTACAACATGTCGTTGACATAATACGCTCGGGCTCGTCAATGGAAGATAGTCGGTATAAGATTGCCCGCTTGTTTGAAGACAACCCAGCTGCACGGACTGCTCCGCAATTGACGAAGCCATTCTGAAATCATGATCATTACAACACAGTGTTGATTATCAGTTGGAGCTCTTATCGTCATAAATGGCACCTTGTGAGACTGTCGGTAGACGTAGAAGAGGTCAGGAACAATTTAATCAAGTCTTTATGAGAACCTAGAAAGTGCAGTCGAAAGCTTCTGAATTGGCCCTCAACCGATGGTCCCCTAGTAAAAAAATTTAGATATCAAACTTGTTGTGGATCCTCGTTCAACAGCCTAGTCTTTAATGGTGAATCTTCTGAGCGAGGCGCGGTGAGAACTGGCACCGCTGAAGACCGCCGCACCTTTTCAGTTCAAGATCTGACAGTTCAAGATCTGAAACGACTCGGTCGCGAACCAGGGGCTTATTGCCACGGTCATTTCGACGTTGAACTACGCAAAATACGAAGGCTGGTTTGATCGCAACCTTCATTCATTTTCGAGATCCGGAAGGTTCACCATTAAAAATAGGCTGTTGAACGAGGATCCACCCCAAATCCAGAAAGCTTCCGACCGCACATTCCAGGTCCTCATAAAGACTCGGTTAAGTTGTTCAACTGCTGGTCGCAGCGCTTGCAACAACTTTTTGTTTCACCAGATGATCGCTAGTCTTGTATTTGCTATGGATGTCCAAGGATAGTACTGTACCTAGTCTCGAAGATTTAAAATTGGAATGACGCAGCGAATCGACTTGCGAAGGACGCAGCCTGTCCAGGGAAGACACACCCATTCTGCCCTCTACTTTCGAGGGAGAAACCATACATTCGCAACCGCATCCGCGCACAATGGAAACAGGAATGGGAGACGTCCGAAAAGGGAAGTCACGAAGTCACCTTCGCAGAATCGACAATGCGCTGCCCTCTACCTACACTAGACGGTTATACGGCTCCCTGCCAAGGAACCGAGCCTACTTGCTCACACAACTGCGGACGGGACACTCGTGGATATCAACATATCGCAAGCTCCGAGGCCACGCCGAAGAAGACAAGTGTGTATGCGGTGCACGAAAAACCGTGGTCCACGTGCTCGTAGACTGCCCGCGGTTGAGAACTTTACGACAGGAACTACGGAGGAAGGTTGGCGACGCGTTCAACAGCGTGTCGATTCTTCTGGGAGGCCACGATGAAGGTAAAGTAGGTAAGGAGAACACTGCCACGCGAACCAGCACAGTGGAGGCTGTACTGGACTTTGCGGAGGCATCAGAACGGTTTCAAAGTCGCGCGCCATGAGGGCAGCCTAACAGCGAAAACGGCAATAGGCCACGGCAGGCCTTGACGAGGCTCTAAGTTCGCTTTCAGGTAGTGGGACGCCCTACATGTACATAGAAGGATATATATAGTTGCAGTAGCCTGCATATCGCTCAGCGATGGGTCGGGGTAAATGATTTCACACACACACACAGGCACGCACGCACGCACGCATACGCTGTACTCACCCGGGATTGCTGCCGGTCGTATATTCCTCCAAAGCGACATCAAGCAGCCGGTGAACCATGATTGGTTAAGCACAGCCAGGTGAAGGAAAGCACAGTCCTCCAATGCCTCGTACTGTAGAGATGGTGTTTAGTAAGAAAAAATTAACAGAATGTGGTAATTGGATATACATGTACTACATAGTAGAGCATCGCTCCTAGGTGACGTACTTCCGCTCCTTAAAAGCCTCAACAGTTCCTGCCGGAACATATTGCCTTTTGATTAAGGTCATAGGGCTGCTATTGGTTATCATCTCTGTGTGGCCTAGATACAGTATAGCACACCGTGTAGAAACTTTGGGTTATTATTTCTTATTTAGAGCAGAACTTGGTTGCAGATGCTGATATTGGACCCTGTGACGCTCCGCTGTCCGTGGTATCGAAATTATAGAGAATGTCATCAAGAATTTCCCATGTTATCCTTGCATATCCGTCATTACATGCCTGGTTTCCCATCAATTCATTCAGTACTGAGTAACTGAAATCAAGACCTGCAGCTTTTTCGGGATTCCAGACAGTACGGGACCCTTGTGCACAACGCGTACAGCCATCACCAATAAAAAGAGTCTGGGGAGACGGCTGGCCGTTGACAGAGACAACTACTCGCTTTCCGCAGTATTTCGCTGGATCGTTTACAAGCTGGGTGTGGTTCATTGCAACAACATAGTTAGAGTCAATATTATCTAACGATAATCCTGTGACAAAACTACACTCTACGTCACCGAGATTCTGATTGGAGAAGCTGGTACCACAAACGTCTACCTGGGCAATATCGTAGTAGTAGGTTCCAAAACCTGTCCCGTTGAAGATAACATCATGTGAAATGGACCCAACGGCGGGAAGTATTGTTGTTGCAATATAAGGATTCTTCATTTTTGGTGAAGAAATCCAGGAGAGTAGGTAGTTCTCTGTCTCCTATGGGAACGGAATATACAAGTAGAACTGGAGATATTATAGGAAATAAGATTGATAAATGATCCATTGAAATAAATTGTGTGTGTGTGTGTAGTCGGGCTGCCCCCAAGGCCCCCTTCCAAATGGACACACATACGAGCTGACAGACGTATGCTAGTCACGAGACCACTAGCTTAATTGGACTTGTATTTCCTTCCGGAACAGAGGATGGAATCAATCGTGCGGGCGCTTCAAAGCGACAGTGGCCATAATCGGAGAGTAAACCGCCAGTTGTAGTATTAGCGATGTCAGTGATAAATTACTAATGTGCGTTGCATATATTAGTATCAGTTGAGAAAGAGCAGGAAGAGTGATCATAACAATGTTTACAGTACAGCAAACTATGCATACTGTAAACGAAGTAGAACTTAATCTAGTTGTACCATGCTGCAGGAGAGTATATTGCAGTTCACTAGTGCTAGGCTAGGTTCTGGTGGATGAGTTTCACTTAAAACTTTACTAGGTTGCCACAAGAGTTCAGTGCATGACCTAGAAGGCGAGGGTATCGTGATGGTGGCGATATTGGATTCTATCAAACGTGGATTGATATTTGCCATCTCGAAACCGATAGAGGAGCGGAAGTGACATAGTAGGGCAACCAAATGAATCACAGTAGAGAGAAGTACTGTATTGTAAAGCATTGTCTATAGCTTTTTAAACATGTGCCCGTTACTAGAAGTCAAGAGCCACCCTGGCCAACCACAAACTTTGAAGCGCGCTCTTGCTTGCGCTACTTTGTAGATCGTCAAGTCCGAGATCAGGCCCCCCGCCGCTTCTTCACTGGACTGCAACCTGACCGTTGAGTGTTGAGACGATGAACATCCTGCGCGTGCCTGCGAAGATGTATCTCATGTAAGAGATCTTCGTTACATATGAGACATTTCCGATCATCTAAATGTTTCTCTCGAAAATGTCTCAAGGTTGACTTATACTCGCTCTATTTCTTTACTCGAGTATAGAATGGCTCCTAGGTATTTCCAAAGCATTAGAAACATCTTTCGGGTTGACTTGCATACCTGATATGATGCTCGGCTTCTAATAGAATCATTTCATCTAGCGATAGCGCTATGTTTTCCGGAGTTCTTATGGCTAGACTGACCGTTGAAACTAGCTGTTCTTCTTCGGACCCGTCGCCTAGCGATACTCGTTTGCGCCGTCTACGCAACGGCCTACCTTTAAGGTGACCACAGTACTACGAGATTGCAACGATAGCCGCATTTCGTCTCTGCCACTCCGCATCTAATGAATGGGAAGTCGGCTAGGTTAACAACTTCTCGAGAAGATTGATCTACTCTAGCAACATACTATCTGTTCGAAGTGAGTCCTTGGCTTCCTCGTCGTCGATAGCCGCTCCGGAGAGCTATCGCTCAATGTCTATGTTCGCCTATCCGCGGTCAAACTCCTTTCGAACTTTCTATATTAACGCCCTCTCTAGCCGGCCAAACATATTGAGCTTATCGCGTGCGAGAGTATCACGTCGCGATCGCATTTGTTCACTCGGGTCATAGATGCAAATTTTAGTTTACTCTTCCAATCGTCGGACCGCTTCGACATACTTAGGATGTTCACGGATCGATGCTCGTTGCTCGGTTATTAGGTGTTAAGGACGCCTCGTGTCGATCCACCTGCTCATGCGGGTGATTACACGCATCAGAGATTTGTTAGATTCGCGGCCGTTCATCATACTTTGCATGTCCGTATCAACGTGTCGCGGAAGGTAATGATTGAGGAAGGTACGGGTATCCGCGTGCTTCATGATTAGATTCTACTATGCTTCGCTGACCGCGTCACTATTATTCAACATCTTTCTACCACCATAGCGCATACGATGCGCAAACATTGAATAAAGCCAACTATGAATCTCTCTAAGATTCCTTAGTCGAGCGGACATAGTGACATCGACCATGGGTTGATCCTACCGAAGAATCGGACGCCCGTTGACGACTTCTGTCTTGCAAAAGATATAACGATCCTCGACCTCGGGTTTCAAGGGGAGTGGCATCTGCTGGCGACCACCTTGAACAAACAGACTTCGAAGTTTCTCTATAGAAGAAAGGGCTGGAGATTTAAAAGCTTGTAGCCAGAAGAGGATACCAAAGATGAATACATGCGGGCTGAAGATAAGAGAGGGGTCGTCGATGATTTTAGGAAATGCAAAAGTATTGCTAGAAAAAAAAAAAGAATCAACCGCCGAGCCTTCAGGATTAGGGAGGAATGTATACCTACATGGCTTCAGACCCGAGGAACCGCTTCGTGTGCTCTAACCTGATCTCTACTAGAAGCACAGGAGGGCCACCGTGAGGATCCTTCTGTATAGAGAACTGCAGATGCTTGAGCTGTAACGAAAGCAGCGCACTCAGTCGATTCACGGTGTAGATGCCAATCATGCTAAAGAGACACATTTGAATACGCTCGTATCCAAAATGAAATCGCCTTTCCTGGGTTCGAAGAATGGTCTCATTCAATTCGGTCAGATCTTGTACATAGACTAGTTCTTTGCCTCGCTCTTGTTGATTGAGCCCGAATTTGTTGATCAGTTTCCGAATTCCCTAGGTTTCGTTAGCTCCGAATGTCGTAAGAGGAGGACGTATAGCTTACTACATTAATCTCTTCGCTATCTTCAGGGCTGATCCTGGTACGGGTTATTCTTCGAAAGTAGCCTCAGAAACTCTTCCAGTCGGCTTTGAGGGCGCTAGCTTTGTTTATTCCCTTCAAATGCCTACCATCTTGGCCATACTTAAGTTTCAGGCAGTAGTTAAGAAACCGATGTACATCATTGGGAGTGACCTAACGAAGAGCCTCCGTCGGGTCATTCTATTTCGAAAGCGAATCAGGGCTTTTAGCCTTCACTCGGCAGTACCTAGTTATGTCAGCACGCATCAGAAGGCAAGCTTTTGAAGGTTCGCCCACTTCTACCAGCGTTGCTCAATTCGAACCCCGCGAACCTTAGTTTTCTCAGAACGCCCATAGTCAAGAGGAATGTTTGCAATGTCCTCGTCAGTGTCGTCATCGGGATCGTCACTGAAATCTAGTAAATTCCTAGAGCGAACGGGACCACGCACGGAGGGTTTAGAGCTACGTGAGACTCCGTCATAGTGTTTAGGAGACCGTGAAGGCTCGGGTGAAGTCTGAGTTGTCGAAACTGGGGCTTTATCGGCGTCCGATTTATCGCTATCGCTATAGTCCGGCCGAAAAGACACGCGGGATATGTCACTATCATCCTCTAGTGCTTGGTCCGACAATTCGACATCAGAGTACGTAGGAGACATACTTGGATCGGCGTGTTAGTAGAAGATGCACAGCCCGGTAGACAGGGGGCACAGGATTATCGTTCAAAGTGCAAGAGAACGCCCCTTAGCGGGCAAGGAAAAGAGCGCGAGGCGGAAGCGTGAAGGAGAACGAGGGAGCCTAGGAAGGAAAAGATGAAGGCGAACGAGGGAGAGCAGGACGACGGCAGTGGGCGGTTTTATGGCCGGTGACCACAAGGCCGCATAGCCAATGAGTGCTGGATAAAGTGTGGCCATTTTTGGCGCCGCGAAAGACAAGGGAGCGACGTGGTGGGTGCGGAGGGAATAATCACCCTGGAGGGTGAGTAGAAGGCCAGGCAGGTGGGCCGACGGCTGGGCATCGATCGTTACGCCTCCCGTTACAGGGGACCGAGGGTGGGGTGCGTGGTCGTGGCTGGATAGGTGCGTGTGTGGAGGGAGTGGTGCCGGAGAGGCCATTTTCGGCCACGAAAGGAGCCAGTTTCGGCTGCCCCGGCACAAATAGTAATTGTTTAGGTGGTAGAATCGCCTTACGCTATATGAGTATCCCTCACACTAAGAGACCGTAGCTGCAATAGAGGCTAATGGAATGGGACGAGATATTTAGTCTAATTAGTGATACTAAGGAAGATAATGAGGATTAGGCATATAAGGTATAGCCTCCTAATGTGCAGTTCCTTATATAGTCTTTTACGATAATTTTTAACGTTAAAGATCGAGAGGCTATAAATATGGACGATAACGACGATATAAGCCTTCCTTTCCCTAATATATAGTAGCGTATATCTGTAGAACGTAGAAGCGTTCAAAGCTACTTAACGGCTATGTACTTGGAGCTTAACAATTAGTATACTATTATTCTATTTAATAATAGTTTGTATGATAAGGAAAGTGGTTTTCTCCAAATTTAATATCTCTCTATATTGAAAGTTATGGAAATATACACGGAGAACCTCCCTGATTTTACATAATTTGTGCAAAAGTAAGTAAGACACGTTTTCTAGCTATTTGTCCTTTTTGAGGACATTAAGGGTCACCCGTGGGTAGGCGGGTAGGTGCCAGGTCTAGGTGGAATGGACGAATACAGCCAGCATGGGAGCTAATGATCTCACCAAGGCACTACGAGGTCAAAAACATCAGGCATTCGTCGAAATGCTTGGGATAATGGCATTCAACGCATCATATAAGAGCAAAAATTGCATAAGTTCCAGCCCAAATGGGAATTACAGTGTGCAGTTGAGCACTAAGGGGGTGTGTCCGGATCCCACCCATGGTGGACCCATGTATAAAAGTTTCGTACAGCACTAAACTGCTTTTGTTTATGACATTCTTGACATTGTGCGTTGATTTCTCTTATTATACGTTCTGTACTATAAAAGGGGTAGCTAAATTATATTCAGAATGTCAGACATCTTCTATGTTGATGGTTTTGACCACATTCCAGCATTACACTACTAGGTAATGAGTGGCCGATCACTTATCCGCTAGTGCTCGACAGCTGTTCTTCTTTCCTTTCCTCTTTCCTTTCCTCTTTCCTTCTCCAACTTGGAACTGTCGTCCATAGCACTCATATTTAATACTTTCATCGTTTTCTCTTCTGATCTGGCTGCCAGGTCCCAAATAGCTAGGAATTCAACTAGTAGTTTAGGAATTCGCCTAGTAGTCAGGAATTCGCCTGATTCCTTAGAGATTCCTACAATTCCCTACCCCTGGTCGTTTCGTCGCTTCTCACCGGTGGGGGTCCAGCTGACAGTCCCCAGGAATTCGCTGAGCGTATCCTACCCCATGGGGGTAGGAACAATGGGCCCTGGATACCAGTCGGGCGGCCAGTAGGAATCAGGCAAAAAAGTGGGGCGCGACCCCAATGGGATTAGAGGGCTTGCTTCCCGAGCGTGGTACCATTACAAATAGTCGGGCAACGCGTCTGTAAATTTAGTATGTTATGGAGCAATAGTTCATCTATGCGCAAACTTAATTTCAGCCCTAGTTTCCTAATGGAAGGGGTGGATCTAGGGATGGGAAGTTATCTAGTTAGTTCCAAAGTATCGGGGTGTGGATCTTAGGGCTTAGGGAGCTGTTAGGGAGGATTTACGCTTTTGTTTTGCAAAAATTGGACAGGCCTAGAGACATCGGTCTTAGCGAGCAGGGTACGAGCAACTAGGTGCCCTCGCCGGTTTCATGCCTCTGAGCCCACCTCTTCCAAAGTCTGCCTAACCTTTCAGCGGCAAATGGTCGTTGGTGCCGAACGAGCTGCATAGGATGCGTGGTCAACCGTCTGTGTTGCAGCCTAATAGGCTAGAAAGTTCAGTCGGCGTTGCAATGTTATGCTGACTTGAGAAAGAATCCAATTGCATTGCCGACTTGGCACATTCTCGCCAGGCAGCACCATCGTCCACGCCCGAGAAGCTATAAGGCAGGCACGGAAAATGGAGATTGGCCTCGGATGGTCAGAGGGGTCCTTGATAACAAGATCAGCTGCAGTGATTAGTAGCTGTGATTAATTACATGACGTGCATTGCGACAAGATGTGCATTGTCACTCGCTACGAATATGAGACTTCGTTGCCAATTACTCTACTTTACCTGGTCTTCCTTGTGTATCTGTACCTTATCAACGCCCTTTGGGATGTTGCCATGCCACAAATACATTCCGTCGACGCCACGAAACCTTCCATGGAATGGATGGCTCTTGGACTCACGAGCTAACTAGGACCGCAGACCTCTCGTGGAATGGAACTTGTATGCGCGGCATGGGTCTACGCGTGGATTTCGTGGAGTGTTTTGCAACTGTACTTGGTGTCCCCCTTGTGTATATATAGGCTTGTCTACCTGTGGAAGGAGTTTTACAGGATGACATTTGGTGCGAATTTCCAACACTAAGGACACACTCATTACGCGACGCTTTGCTTTGCAAGTCCAAAAAATGTCCGCCAATATGGTAGCATCGATATTTTTGCCACGCACTCGGGCTACTCACAGCCAACGAAACGTCTTTCTCGCCCTCGTCATTTCGACGTTCTGTCGCAATGTTCATTCGAACCCAGAACACTACCGTGCTTCCTGGCCTGCCGCGGTTCAGGACCGTTGGGCAATGTTACGGGACGAGCGCGTATGGCAAAGTTACCCAACGGACACCAACATCCAGAAATGGGACAGCGACGGCGGTGTCCAATGCGGAGTGCCGGATGACAGCCAGCGAATGTGGTTTACTCAGGGCGGTTGTAGCATTGCAAGCCAAGACCTCACCTACGCCGACACGACCGGCAATGTCACTGTCATCCGCACGGCCGCAAAGGGAGAACTTGTCAAATTGACTTGCGAGGACGTGTATTGTCCGGTCCCAGCTCGACCCGATTGTTATGAACAGCCTGGTATCTGCTCGTCTGATGAGTGGTGCATGATCGACATCCACGAGAGATGGGGCCCATGGGCCATGGCCCGTGACGGATCCACTCCCCAATGGGAATACTGCTTCAGTGTCGCCGATTTCGTCGCGAACTCTACTGACGAGGCATTGATCTCCAGCTACAATGCTGATTGCGTTGCCAGCACTGTCGGCGACTACGGTATCAAACTTGGACCCAAGACGGAAGCCTGGAAACCTGTGAGGGGCAGGTGCGTTACATTCCGAAAGGTGGAGGAGAGCTGCATTGGAAATCCGCTCGAGTTTGGCCCTTTTGAACCCGACTTCGGTCTGAACTATGCCCGGGAACAAAATGGTTGGCCGTTTCCTCGCCCGCTCGTTTGCGGTCCCGGACTTACCTGCACTGGTGCTGAGTTTGAGGTCCGCCCCTCGACCTGCGTGGTCCAACGGCCCCTCGATACCTGCTTTGCTGGTCCGTGGTGGGATTCTACCCAGTGTCCGAGAACAGAATATGATGCCCCAAAAGGCGGCCTAACCATGGAGCAGACGGTGGAAGCTCTTCGCAGGGCTATCCTGTTGTATCCGGGCGAGATTGCCTCTGCCGGAGACTGCGCCTATTGGAATCGCACCAGCAACGTCGGCGTGAGTGTGCTCGCTACGCAGCATAGGATCTACAACATAGCCGCTGCCCTGTGGCCGACTCAACTCTTCGATGTAATACCTAGTTTCGACGAAGTTATGCAACTGATTCCGGATCCCAATATTTACGGAAGTCCCTCGGATTGCGTCGCCCAAGCCGACGTTCCTGGCTCGGACATCAACAAAGCTCTCGCCAACGCAGCCACGCTTTCCTCGCAACCCTAACCAAGTGTGGTCGCTCGTTCATTTTCTGATGCACAACCAACAAGCTCCTCTGAGTCCTAAGCGTGTTGCTGCCTCACGAGCGCTCGCTGCTCACCTCTCGGAAAGCTTTTGGTGTGATGACTGTCGGGGCTTCTTCTCAGTTGGCGTTATCGAGGTATACGGACTCCCACCTCTGAGCTCAAATCCTGAAGATCATGCCCGATGGTGGTGGTACGGCCACAACGTCGCTTCAGAACACGTCGCCTCGACCCGGGGCGGCCATCCCTGGATCCATGAATTGGGGGAGCAAGGCGTTGCTTCGTTTCAAAACCCCTTCTTCATGACCTGGAAAGATGCTGTGGACATGTGGACATACAACAATTCCTAAACCAATCAGTGCTATTCATTTCGGAACCGCAGTTAATCTGCGATATAAGTCACAAAAATGTGCTATCATGAACGTGCCAGACGTGGTGGTCATCATGGGCAGAGGCGGTCGATCTGTACATGAAGGCCGCGTGGGTAAGCGTTGTCGGAAGCCAGATATAATGAATACTTGGGCGTCCTAAGCAGCCGTACCTTTGATCAGCAGCTCGAATCAATTACAACCGGAGAAGTAATAAATCAAGGCGCCTATCTATAGCTATAATGTTTGATGCAGGAATACGATTATGTAATTCGAGAATCCGGATCGTTCGCCCCTGGAGTTCAAGATGACAGCTCCAAGTTCCGCGTGTGTCGCCACACACAGAGCATTCCTGTGCTCCTATTGCATGCACGCCTTCTGCTTCTATTGTGCCACTTCTGATTACGTGCAATAACAATTGTGGTTTAGTCAACATACCAGCGTGAGGGACCATGGTGATTTAGTCTTGGATTGCCTCGTGCATTCGTGGGAAACTCACTAATCTCCATCCCCGCAATTATTGCATCACGTGATGTACACCAGACCCGTCTTGGCACGATACTCCCCTCAACCGGAATATTCTCTCGGTAATTTATGCTACCTATAGTCTTCGTAACTTTATGATGATCAGATGCATAGGCTGTCACACACATTCGGGGTATGTCAGCCGGGTAGATCTAATTCAACTCACAACGATCATAATCGAGAGTATATATCCGAACCAAATTTCCGGACAATGATTACAAAATTTATTAAGGTCATTGCTTCCGCACTTGAATTCAATGGGAGTGTTATGAGTTGCAAGTTCTCTTGCAAATCGAGACTCTCTATTACATAATTCAGCTCCTACAACCTGGACCACCTGTGAAAGGTCCGCTATTCCAATCTTCAACAATGTCCTTGTCCTCGACCGTGGGATCCCTCCGGTCAATGCTCCCCGCAGTCGTTGCGAATACCAGTCCAGGTGTTATCCTATCTGGAGCCTTTGGCTTAACCGTTAGTTGCATCTGGTTCCATTCTTTTTCTATTGTATGCTGAGTACAGCAGTCCCTGTGCGCATTTGTCGCCTGGATGAGCTATAACCTTTATTTTCACCCGCTTGCCTCTTTTCCTGGCCCAAAGCTCAATGCAGCAACGCCTTTTCCTCTATATCGCGCTATTTTAAAGGGACAATTGCCCCTGTACGCAGAAAAATTGCATGCCAAATATGGCGAGGTTGTACGCATTGCCCCGGGCGAAGTGACGATCATCAATCCGGATGCATGGAAAGACTCTACGCAATTCGCCCAGGTAAGGCGCAAAAGCCCAAAGATCAGCGCCATGTGTCGGTGGGGCCGAACCATATCCCCAGCATCTTACGAACAGATGACCAGACGCACACGAGATACCGTCGATCTCTCGCACACGGCTTCTCCGAGTCCAGTCTCCAGAAACAGGAAGTTATCGTTAAGGGCTACATGGATCTGTTGATCCAGCGGCTACACGAACTCTCAACCCCCGGAAGCACGGTAGTCGATATGACAAATTGGTATAATTATACGACGTTCGACATCATTGGTGATCTTGCCTTTGGTGAATCCTTCGGCTGTCTCGAGAATTCAAAGTACCACTTCTGGGTATCCGTCATCTTTAGCCACTTCCGAACCGCAGCATGGGCTAACATCATGCGCCGTCTGCCCTTCGGCCGATACCTGATGAAGTGGATTGTTCCGAAGAAAATACAAGAGAAAAAAGCACAGAACAAGATGACTCACGAAAAGGTTCAAGCCCGTATTAGTTCCGGAGACAATGGCCGGCCCGACTTCTTAAGCAACGTGCTCAAGCAGCCTGTCGACAAGGGCATGACTGAGGACGAGCTGGTTTCTAATTCCTACGTGCTAATAATCGCCGGCTCTGAGACCACCGCTACATTGCTATCCGGTGTGACATACTATATCCTCACCGTCCCTGGAGTTATGGATAAGTTGAAAGCAGAGATTCGAGGAGCTTTTGCGACAGAAGGGGAGATTACCTGGTCGGCGGTTAACCAGCTTCCGTATACGCTAGCCGTCTTGAATGAGGGTTTGCGGATGTATCCACCTGTTCCCTTCGGCTTCCCCCGCATGGTTGAGGGCAAGGGCGATTTTCTTTGCGGTCGATGGGACCCCGGAGGCGTAAGAGCACCGAACCCCCCATTCTCTTGGTTCTGTCGAGAAAACTTACCGTACAATGTTGCATATATCTATCGGAGTACCGATTTTGGCCGCCAGTCGGTCTGACGCAAACTTCCATAAGTCTAAAGAATTCATTCCTGAGAGATTCATGGGAGAGCCCGAATTTGAGTCCGATAAGAGGAACGCAGTGCAGCCATTCAGCGTGGGTCCGCGCAACTGCTTGGGTCGAAAGTGAGTTGATCGCAGCGCATTTTGATCCTGAGAATACCTGTTGAACCGTGATCATTGACGAATCTCCGATAGCCTGGCATATGCAGAAATGCGACTGATTCTGGCTCGTATGATCTGGAATTTTGATATGGAAATTGCTCCGGATTCCAGGAACTGGATTAACCAGGACGCGTATGTCGTGTGGGAGAAGCCAGCCCTGAACGTGAAATTGGCACCGGTAGCACATGTTCAACGTGGATGATGGCCTTGCGATTACATGGGTGAATTTATTGTTATGCTCAAAGACGTGGTGAAAGACAGTGGCTATGTGTGGAGACAATGCTTTCGTTTTTCTATTCCCCAACCACTAGATCATCATGAAGCCACTAACAGTTCTGGATTTTGCGCCTTTCTCGCAGCCTCCTGCCGTTCATGAAGAGCTTATAGTAAATGAATTATATAGTATGCGGTGGAAGCATGGCTCACATTTCTAGGGACTGGTAGTTAGGAGCAGCTAAAAAATAAAGTCGGATGCCTCGGCCAGGTGTTTGGATTATCCAACATAGCCGCGTTGAGTGGGTTGGTGGCCTTGGCATAGCTAACTTTATTTTTTGGATTATTCAACACAAAAATAGTGAATTATTCAGCAAGCATTCGACGTCTGTGCCGTCACGCATCAATGAAAATAATGTCAACCTGAAATCAACTTTGAACTGTGACGTGGCTTAAACCCGTACAGAACTACACTTATAGCGGAATTGTTAATCGAGCCCAAAGGATGGCAGATGCAAGCGACAATACCATACGGTTGAGCCAGGGGAGCCGTAAGCGAGGGCGCCCGCTACTCAATGACACCCAGCAGCGCACCCTGGTGAGTTTATGCTACTCCAAGAAGCTCGCCTAAACTCATCCTGTACAGAGACGGCGAGAACAGCTTCGCAGGGCACAGCAGGCATATCGCATTCGGAAAGACGACACAATCAGCAATTTGACAAACCGTGTGGAGGAGCTAGAAAGGGGAGCCCAAGAAATCAGCAAATCGTTTCTTAGTCTCAGCAAACAATTGCTAGACACAAAAGCCCCCGAAAATTATTCGCAAATTGCCTCGGCCTTGCATAAGGCGACCCGGCAATGCCTGGCTCTTGCGCAGGCGGCGCAAGCAGTACCCAGCGTTAGTGACGACAACGAAGCCTGTGAGAATGCGGCCGATTTTGTCAAGTGCTGGCGGATGGACCAATCAGACGACCATCAGCATATAGGACAACAAGAAGTGCATTGCGACTTGCCGTCAAAAGCCATCGAAACGCCCATAGATAATTCAGTTGATGGACCAACTCGATGGGTTCTTGGATCATCACTACCTCCAGACTCACCACTTGGTGACCCGAGAACAACGGAATTCAACAGCAACAGATATAACTTGGCATTGCCCTTTCCGTCTCCCCACGCGAGCTTGCCCCTTGTTACTCAGCCATTCATACACTCAAGCGAAGAAACGCAATTTATGCAGCTTTTGGTTCAACAGTGCTGCCTAACTGCATACGAGCTATTAGTCCGGCAGTCAGATATCCTAAGGATCCAGGAGGTATTTGGATTCATACCACCAGCTTCGAATCGAAACCAGATGGCACTTTGTCTCTACAACGCGTTCCAAAGTGAAGATACACAAAGTATTCAGCGTCAGGCTAAAGTGCTTACTTTCCTGCGCTCCGGGGAAGTTGACTTTCCAACAGAGCCAACTGACTCATTATCCAGGGCCTGGGGATACGCATTTGACGCCGAGACTGGTGCGGAGTGGTTGGATGTTCATGGGGTGCAAGAACTCCTGTCTAGGAAGGGGTTCCAGTTCCAAGAGAATACCTCTGCACTATCCCAGGAAACTAGTGTAAAGTTGGATTATTTTCCCTCACTGCACTTTGATGTGACCGCCTTCATTAAGGGTGAGACCCTGGGAAGTTGATACTGAACCATCGTGCGATCGCTGACAGTGTTTAGTCCTCTCCAGCAAAGCCATCTGCGTTTTTCCTGGACCGGCATTTAGGCGTGAGGTCGTTGAAAATGCACTGGATTTTGCGATTGCAGATTATTACGCCGTCCATCATACGCCTCGCCAAACCCCGCTCACGACCCAACCCGCCTGGGCGCATCGAAAAGCCGACCCAAGACCTAAACGGGTACCCCGTAGAACACACCAAGGCAAAAAAGGCTGACCAGTCGACTTGCATGAAATTATGCTGCAGTTTTCCGATCGCCCGGCGGATTTGCTTGGTTCCACCTGCTGTGGGCTTTTATCTAGTATGCTCGAAGTTTGCAGATAATTTGCGAAGAAAAGGATATTTTCATTTTGTATATGGCAGTGAAAGTATTCCTACCTTTAGGTCTTCCAACCGATTCAACCAGGGGTGGAAGGAGTCATCTCCAAGCCCCATATTTGTTGGCACTGTTAGTCTCACAAAATGCCAAGGCTGGATATAAAAATTCTGTAGAAAACACACAAGGAAAGAAGATCTTGCATGGCTTGTCCCGCTCCCAGAGTATTTACTGTGTATTTCACTCTGCTGCCTTCGCGGGGCACAGCCCAACCTGTGCTTATTCGTTTACTCTAATCGGGCAATTTTAGACGATTCGCCCGCGGGGTTTCATGATAGCGTGGAAAACTGGAAGTTTCGGGCACATCCGAGCCCACCATGCTTATAATATTGACCCGGCCTCAGGTAAGTGGGCTTTTGGAACTGCTCAGCGAGATCGAGCTTCATAATTCCAGTTGCAGGGCTAATTTAGAGACTCTTTCGCCCGTCCACGAAAGCTCTAATGGATTTTGGTCATTTCATCGATCTTTGTGGCAGATCGCTCTTCGCAGAAGAGTATCTTGGGGATCTGGACGCTGCTTGGGATTATCTCCAGCAGACGCAACCTGACATATCCGAGGTGGAGCCTGCTGTCTACGCAGAGCACCTTCGTTGTTCGGCCATACATTCAGTACTTGCCGGTAGGCCAGCAGATGCATATGAAAGCCTCGCGATCTTGAAAGATCTCCTCGATAAATTACCCAAAGAATGGGGCCTACGATATGCCAACTATAAGGTCTTAACCGACTACACCCGCCGCTTTCCCCCGCTACTTCACTTCTATCATGAGAATGGGAAACCGGTCAACGTTTCCATGCTCGGGAACACCAGCGTCCCTTTTGAAATTCAAGAGAGCTTCATGGACAACTTCAAGAAGTATTTACCTCATAGCCTGCCCCGTGACCAAATATTGTCTCTGGTTTTGAATGCCGTTCTCGGATATCCATCACGAGCAAGGAATATCACGACACTATTGCACCCTCTCAGTCCCATGCGCCAGGCGACCACCTCGGCCGAGGACAAACTCTCTAAAGTTGTGAAAGTTGCTCAGACTTTTCTTGATTTTCGTGACAAGGCCGATTCCTACGGAGTGACCAGGATGGGTACATACATGTTCCGACTGGTCGCTGAGTTGCACCTCACAAGCCAGAGTCCTTCGTCAGATGCCCTGTTGCGAGAACTATACCAAAGATCCAAAAGACTCGAAGATCACGAGGAGATGGCCAACGCCCAATTGCTAGAGGCAGATAACCTTATAAGCCCTCCGTTTGCCAGCCCCGTCACGCTGAACCTGATTATTGTCGACGTCACCAGCTGCACGTTTAGCGATGCCTTGTGGGACCCGGTTGAATTGGATCTTAAGTATGATTACGTTCCCAGAGTCAAAGAACTTTACGATTCTGCCTTAGAGCTGTTTCGAGAAGCAAATAACAAGCGCGGTCAGGCTGCCGTGCTACTGCGACAAGGCTGTTGTCTTCATAATAAGGCCCGTCATGAACGGCCCTTGAACAAGCAGGTGCTCGGCCTACTCGCAGAGTCCGAGCTCAAATTACAGAAATCTCTCAATTTTTTTGGGAGAGATGAAGCGAACGCTCAACTGGTGAAGACACACCTGATTCTGACAGGGATCACGGGAGGAAATCCGGGCAACATAAAAGCGATCGCGACGTCGATCGGAGTTTGGGGCGTTGAGGCAAAAAACGAGACAATGGCCCACTGCCTTGGAATGATCTTATCCCGATACGCGCATCAAGAATGGTACAAATTTTCGAACTTGGACACTGCTTTGCTGGCATGGGAGTGTGCATACGAAGTATTCAAGCGTCTCGGAGACATGATTCCGTTGTTCCAATCCGTGGTCTGCCGAGCACACGTACAGAACGAAATGTGGAATGTCGATGCAGCTCGAATCTTCATCGAGGAGGCGCTATCTATGGTCGATGGAGTTGTTGAGCACTTTGACTCCATCATTCAATCGGCGCCGGACACACCGTCGTTGCAGACGGACCGTATCACCATATCGACGAGTAAATTCCAATTGTTGTCGACTTTCGGCAGTGAAGTGAACAACATTTATCTGCGGAGTGAGGATATACAGCGATTCAATGAATGGAACAACAAACTGGCTTATTGGATTGAGCATGATGAGAGCTTCGTTGCATTTCGCGAGAAACTGGAAACTGGCGACATTCTGAGATTTACTCACCCTAATGCTCATTTTTCCGAAAAAAATGTGAAGGGCCTATGGCGGAAAAGCTTAGCTTGGAATGCAGCCATGGTGAGATACGCTTCTGCGGATAACACCTTCCGCCGACTGATGGATGAAGGCGATATCCTGAAAGCAGAGACAAGCCTCCGCCGCTTTGTGGACGAGGTCGCGGATCTGGAAAGGCAGTATAGCAGAGATCTCTATCGTATCCTGGCATGTGATCGCATTGGCGATACTGCCAAAGCCCGTGAGATTTTTGACACTATTGATGATAACGAATTGTTCAACGATAGACTGGAGGAATTCCAGCAAGGAATCGGTATTCAATCCGGATTTTCTTTGAATGCCCAGGTCGCATTGATCATGGCTGTATTTTCAGGGGACAAGCAACGAGCCCAGCGACTTGTCGATATGATCATAAAGATCTGGCCTCCCTTCTTTGAAACGATGACCGAGAGTGCAATGGATTACTCCCAACGACTCAGTTACTATGCACAAATCATGAAAGATCAAGAACCTGAGATTTGCTTTGCAAAGCTACTCGAAGCTCGTCAAATCCTTGAAACTTGTCGTATCCAGACGAAAGATTTGGATGCTAGGATTGGCAGTTCCGGTCAGGGGTGGTCTGTAGAGGTTTATATGAACCTCGCACGTCTTTGTTTGAGATGGGAAAGCTCAGGGGTCCCCGTGAGTTTTATATCAGCATACGAGCATGGGCATTTTGATGATATTTCATGGTCTGAACATGCCCTACTGTTTATTGAGATGAGTAGAGCACGGGCTGTGCTCGAATCTCTACAGTCTCAAGCCACCCACATTCCTGGAATGACTGGAGTCCCTGATACTACACCACTCTCAGAATCAGTCCAAAAAAGAAGACTCTTAAGGTCCCTGCTTTCTTTGAGGAAATTGAGTTCAGAGCAGGAACAAGAGGTTTCGCAGCTGCGAAAGGATATCGATGAATTAGAACGAGACAGGAATCTCTCCTATGCGACGGATTTCATCGAGACCGCCAGTTCTACTATCGAGCCGAAACTGTTATATCAAAGCATCGATGAGCATTCCGTGGTAATAGACGCTACTTTTACTCACCGTGGATTCATCTCATTTGCAGTGACTCGGGACGGCATACAACAGACGCATCAAGGAACGACGACTGTCTTTGATATCCGGAGGCCCGTAATGCAGGTAATGCAGATCATGCACAATATGACCGGATACATTGGGGAAGAGGAGGAAGCACGCAAAAATGCTCTCAACAAGCTGTCCCAGATGATCTCTGCAGTGCTGCTGGAACCCTTTGCAGACACAATCAGAAGGAAATCGCACGTCATTTTTTCAGTGTCTGATCCTATGACAGCATTCCCATTTGCAAGCCTTGTATTCGATGAGAAGCCACTTATCATGCACGCCGGGGTCTCGCAAGTCCCCAGTCTGAGTGTGCTCCATCACCTCTCCCGGAGAAGGTCGGCCTCGATGACACCAACGGTATCCGTTCTTGCCAAATCACCCACTAAAGAATCATCCGAAAATCCAACACGAAGTAACAAAGAGGCCAGCCTCCACATGGCAGGAATCGAAGCCATCAATATAGCCCGCACATTTGCAACGTGGCCTATTGAGGCATCTCACATGACGCGAGATGAATTTCGAGAGTACGTCAAAGGCGGCTCGTTGATCATGCACGTCGGAACCCACGGAGATGTCAACTACCGTAACCCTCTGCTTTCGTCGATTTCAATTGGCGAGGGTCAAGAATTTCGCGTGATTGACATGTCTGCCATCCGTAGCAGCGTCCATCTTCTCGTGTTTGCGGCATGTCTCAGCGGACTCGGAAAAGCGACTCTAAGTAATGAAGTGCTTGGATTCTCCCACGTGGTTCTGAGCACTGGCTGCCAAGCTTATGTTGGGTCTCTCTGGAAAGTGAGCGACTTTGGTTCCATGTTGATTATGACATTGTTCTATCGCCATCTGAGAAGTATGCCACAGCTTTCTGTTGCAGAGCTTATGCGGAAGTCCCAAATGGAGCTATTGCAGCTTGATGGAGAGAAGGCCGGTATACTTTTGGATGGGCTGCTAGAAAATTGGTCTGATACGGAAGTGGAGGGCCAACGTCCGGCTGAGTTTGTGCCTGATGCGGAATTTCTGCTTTCTACGATGAAAATGATTATCGACCAATTGGATTGGTCGAGTCCGTTTTACTGGGCTCCGTTTACTCTGGTCGGATATGGAGGTTTCCGGTTTGTCCATGAGGATTCCTAGCCGTTTAATTGATAAGGGAAATAGCTCGATTCTAACTTCGAGCGACTTTTTTCTTCTTTTTAGAAAAAGCCAACGAGAGACACTGCATCTCAATTTGCTCATCATCACGCGCTGCTGATACCCTTGTAGAGCTAGCGGTATAGTGCACTCGCTAGCTTTAAAATTCAATATGCATGTCACACATATAAGTCGTTTTCAGACCAAAAACTCCTTAGAACTCGTTCGGATCACAGGAATTTTTTCATGGGCAATCTCGTCTTTCTCGGAAATTTCCGAGATCTCCTCCAGAGGTTTTCCCTGTGGTTCAGGAAAGAAGTTGACCAGAGATAGGGCAACTAGAAGACAACCTACATAAACAGTAAAATACTTCCACTGGAGATCCGGGAATGCCACTGGACTGACTTATTGGCCAAAAACCCAAGACGGAGCACATGTCCGCTGTTCAAAGTAGAAACGGATACAGCTGGTAAAGAGTTTCAGACTACGGGAACACTACTGTACCTGTTCCTGGTTCCCCTTTTCTGGCTTATTCTAGGGGCCCCTGGAGCAAGACAAACCGATAAGCTTTCAGGGCACGGAGCCGCAATGCCGAGCACCTTACAATAGCTTTGAACATGCCCTCTCCACGTAGTCCATTGTCCAACTGAGATCATGTCACAAACATGTAGTGGTCACTGGTTATTAATAAAGTGGAAGTCGCAATATTCCTCTCCTACCACAAAACAATTTCAAAGTGTACCGTGCGCACCGTCCTCACTCCACTTGAGTATTGGGGCCATATTATTTACCCGCTCCCAGAGGTCGCCTTTCTCTGCCTCTTTTGTAAACCACTCTTCAGCACTTCTGATTCGATTTGGATGTATTTCGTCCAGCAATTCGTAGTTTCTTCTCATGACCCCCTTGTTACCTTTGCTCGCTCTCCATAGGTTCCAGAACCCTGTGAAGTTCGTTTCAAAGCTCAATGTGGCAGGATCTGCCGGGTCGGCGTTGTAAGAAGATGGTTGTTTAGTTGAAAAGCCAAACCCGAATCGCAATTTGGACATCAACCCCATACGTGGATTTTTCAACACGTTCATGAACGACTCACGCCCACTGAATGCCTTGAAATATTCTGCAAATGGAACATCCACGTAACGTGCAGGCCTTCCTGTCACCTTTGTGAAAGCAGCAGCCATTTCGGAATACGAGATGTGGGCAATGGCCACTTCAAGATCCAGACCATTTGCTCGATCATTGTTGTCAAATAGCCAACGTACATAGATACCACAGTCTGAGAGGGCCACGTGAGAAATTTCTCCCTCCTGTGAATATTTTAGCATTAGATTCTGGGTCAATTTCCGGTTTGGGTCTCTTACCTAGGGGGACCGACCATGTAACTACTCCATCGATAAGTCGCGGCGTCATGATGGTCAAAGGAGAGAGTGCCATATCTATATATGGTCTAATTCAGCATGAAAAGAAAATGATTAGTATGCGATAGTGCCGCTAGTAATAAAGTAGATTGGGTTCGTTTACCCGGTAGTGAAGAGGGCTACCCCCATTTGAGAAGTTGGGTGTTGCAATATCCATTCTGTGCGAAGGGCATATGCTCCGTTAAACTCCTGTATCATTGGGGAGGAGAAGTTTGACTTACCCCCGACTCGTCCTTTGCCGTCGTAGTGGCCGCATCGATACTTTGGGTTCCAGTCACCCTTTTTTAATCCGTAGTCAAGATTACCCCAGACATAGAATTTCAAGCCAACGGAGATTGCTATCTCATAAGCTCGTATGCCCCAAAAGAGCTCTGATTTTTCGCCGCAGTTAAAGCTGTCGATATTCACAAACTATTTAATTCTGGCTCAGTATGAAAACGATGAACTGTTTCCGGGAAGGAGCCGTTTCACAAAATAGCATGGAGTAAGATGAAATACTCACAGCACCATCACAGCCGGTAAATCCACTAGTCAGGTCATCCTCACTGGCAAAGGTTCCCTGGAATAACTCTACACCAGCCAATGCTGCTAAGTCTTTTGCCCGTCGACTATTCGTATCTCGAGTCATGACACGGACTTGGTACCGTCGATCTTTGACAAGTTCTAGAACGCGGCCCTAATAGTCAGTGATGTTCAAGTGAGTAGTAGGCAAAACAGAGCGTGTATAGCAACCTTGAACAATGGGTAGGCCCTGGGCACCCGTCCCTCCAATCACCAAAATTTTGGATATCTGGAACAAAGGCATGTTCACGTATCTCAGTTGAGTTTCTTCAGCGCATCAAGTTCACCACGATTCGGCGTCTTTTACGTCGGTTACTGGGAATAAATACTGCTGACAACGTTTTAACCTACTGCGACCTTGAGAGTGTTGAGTAATCCAAACCCGTATAATGCCTGGATTTGGCAACCAGTTCCATGGCTACAACGATTATGCAATTAATGATAATGTAATCCTGATTAATAAACACACTATGAGATCTAATAACTAAGTTGACTTGTTAACATTAGTTAATAAACATCGATTAATAAACAGACTAGGGAAATTTTAACTACCGTCACCTGTTTTACATGAATAAACCCTAGTTCGATTTCCAAATTGGGTTAGTCGGACTGTAGTATAGTATTGAATATGATTGTCCTCGGGCCTAGAAATGTGTCCGTCTGTTATACAGTGCAACTTCGGATGACTCTACGCTCAACAATGGAGGACGGCCCCTCAATTAACTCCTGGTCATCGTGTGCTAGGGTATAGTTAACCCTTGCTCACCTTGTTAATGCTATATGTATCATGTCTTATTGTATAAACTCCCTCAGACTGCAGACCCTGACGTTTGGGATGGTAATATGATTCTTCTCCTATAGATTGTCGCCAGTCATGATCGTTTGATTCTCGTCAAACCGAAATCGTCGGATTCCTACCAGAAAGCGAGTCCCTAGTGTGTCCAACTCCGATTGCAGCATAACGACGTTTTCTGGAAAAATGTTCTTGTGCACAATCGTGAGGCATGAAGGAAAGCGACAGATTGAGCTAGGGATTTGGGCTAGATGGATCCGTTCATTGAGTTTGTGGGCTTTTTCCCCCTTAATTTATTCTCGCGCCCGAAGGAATGGAGGCCGGTCCTAATCGGCACTCGGCAACTATAGCTCGCTTACCAAATAAGGAGTTCGGCTTTTCCACCTCCCCGCACAGCAACGCCCGACCCTGGAACTCTCAAGACCTTCCATCAGGTCAGGGTTTGTTAGCAGCCTGCTCAAGATAACTAGAAAGCATGGCCTCAGGCCATATTGATGTGGTGAGGAATTTTATGTGTCCTTATTTGATATTTTCTCACCTCGACCGACAGGATCCTGGTTACGACAGCCTAGAAGACTCGGATTGGCAGTCGTGAGTAAGCCCAACTCCAGGGGTATTATCAATGATAATTGAGCTCACCAAATGAACCAGAGATACTACATCCATCGTTTCAGAAATAGCCAGGGGTCGTTTACAACATGGTCGAACGTAAGCTATCATCATTAAGTTCAGGATATATAGCAGGACTAATTTGGCGGGCAGATACCAGGCATTGAAGCCAGAGGACTACTGGTGGGAATCCTATGCGTCCACACTGAGGATCAAGACTAAAATTGGTTTATAGGAGTCCATCCAATGACCAGCAATTCGAGGCCTATGAGACCGGGTAATAGATAAGCCCCTCTTTTTAAGCTTCCCTGACCCGAAGATGGCTGATTTTTTAAATTAATTACCAAAGCCACGTTGTATGTCTTCTGCTAGACTACTACCAGCCTAATCTACTACATCGAGCTCCTATTGGCAATTCCCCTAAAGTGAGAGCTATACCTGTCTCCTCGGTACAACAGCATACCAATGACGAATCTAGCATATTCTCGATGTCGGGACTGGCAAAGGAAATTGGGCCATGTAATTCCCACGCACCCTATCCGGGGATATCGCTGATTTGTAGCTAGCGACGTCGCAGATATGTACCCATCTGGTAAGCGCTCCATATTTCTACCATGCTATTCGTTCGCTCATTGAGATCTATTAGCCATTGTCCGCGGCGTGGATCTGTTTCCACCCCCTGTTACCTGGGTACCCACGAATTGTATTTTCGAGGTTGACGACCTCCTTCAGGAATGGACATGGCACAGGCAGTTCGACTTTGTATATTTGCGCCATATGCTCGGATCTTTCGACAATCAAGGATGGGCTACGTTGTACCAGCAGTGCTATGAGTCAGTCCTAACCCCTTCTCAGATAACGTATACTCCTATACGTGTAAAACTAATATCATTAAGCAACCTTGAGCCTGGCGGCTGGATCGAACAAATGGAATTCGATATTCGAGTGAAGAGTGATGACGATACACTACAAGAGGATAGCGTCCTGGCTAATTGGGGTGAGACCTTCATCGGGTGTGCTGAGCGAGCTGGCCGCCCCTTGACAATTCAGGAAACGATGCGAGCCAGTATCGAGAAAGCCGGGTTTGTTGATGTCCACGAGCATATTTACAAGGTACCTATTGGAGCTTGGCCTAGGGATAAGGTGCTCAAGGAGGTTGGCAAGCTCAACTACCACCACTGGGTCACTGGCATGGAAGGCTATGCAATGTGGTTGCTCACTACTTTCGGAGCACCTTCTCCATGGAGCCCGGAGGCGGTACAAGTGTATCTGGCTGAAGTCCGGGCGCAGTTAAAGGATTCCCACATTCATGGCTATGAATATGCGTGAGTTCATTTTATAGGTTCTTTGCAGAGCTATCAGTCGCTGATGAAGGATTCTAGGCGCCGGGTTTGGGGCAGGAAGCCTAGAGATGCCGAAAAGAAGAGCAATTCGACCACGCGCGAAGTAACACGCCGTGAGACCAGATCTTGATCGCTGCGCAAGCATAATTGAACCTGAAACTGTTGCCATACCAGTTTTCAGTCGTTATCATCATCACTTTGAAAGGCCATACGGATATATTTCACAATTTCTTCTATACATAAATTACTCTTCTATACATAGCTCATTATATACAAATCATTCACCATTGCGTCTATTATGCTTCCAACCTCTTACTGACCCACGAGTTGAGTGTTTCCATCTGAGCGAGCTGCACACTGCATATATGATGCTATTGCATTCCATTAAGTCGGTTGCAAAATTCGTACGGCCTAGTATGGCTACTGTCTACCCAAATGCTTCTGAGCAATGGCTCTTAGTTCGAATATCTAGCTAATGGGGGATGACGTGCCACCATTGTGGCGTCCACGAAGAGAAATCGGTAATCCCCACACATAGAAGCCGGGGTTTTGCATACCTATGTCCTGGTCAAAATGTTAAAACCATTGAAAAGCGCATACCTAATAAAATTATGATTAAATATATAATGCTTGATAGCACTTATGTCATCATACCACCCTGTGGACGACGTGACAACGGTAATGGCCTGCGCTGCGTTGGATCATCGTGAGTGCAACCAGGCGCGGGCTTTCCAAGTAGGCTAAAAAGACCGCTATGACGAAGTTCTCTCTGACTCTAGCTTCCTCGTGCCTGGGACCACTGTATAGTAGTATCGCGCGCTATCAGACCGCAGTCCTGACAATCACGCGACTGGAATGTTTGTATTGTTTGGCCTACTTCTGTATTTAGTCTGGAATCTAAGTTTCGGCTCTAAGACTCTTAGAGTTGGGCCCGCGATTCTAGGTTTCGAGAACTAGAACTTGGGTCTTGGCGGTCCCGAGTCGAATCGAACCTAGACAATCGCGGCTCCGCACGAGGCCTAGGTTATATAGTACAGAGAAGGCATGCACTACGTGCGCAGCCATTCTCCAGCTAGAGAAGACTTATAGAAACAAAGAAGGCCGACAAGGCTATTAGAACCGCCATTTGCAAGAAACGGTTCAGTAAGACGGATCGCGCGCTCGGTGAATATTAGATTTTGCTGCTCTCCCAGCCTACCTCCGTTTTAGGTGGTGGTCCGACATTTTCAAATACTACCAAAAAGAAAGCCGAATTGATGCGACTGGGCGCTCTGTTTGTGGTTAGATTGTCCGTGGAGTTCTCACGGGAAGGATATAGACAAGGGTGATAATCGGTGGAGCGGGGTTGACGAGGGACGGCCGAACGCCACTCAATGTTACGGGCGGCTACAGTGCCATGTTGACTGGCTGAGATCTAAACAAAGAGTAATCTAACATTGATCAAATGAAGTCCAGTTCTGCTCCATGCATGAAATTGTAGGTGCGACACCAAAGGAACGGACACGTCTACTTAACGAACGATAAGGTATGAGGCCACGTTGCCAGATGAATCAAAGAAACTGGAGAGTCCTGCAATCTCGCTTAAGGATGTGATGCATCCTCCAACAAGCTGAAGTATAATTGGTAGTATTATTACTACATAGCAGAGTGGCTGCATGCCCTGATTTCTTCAGCCACCAAATGTAGCTAAGTTTCATCCAAAATGCCACCCTTATGACTGGGTTTACTGCACAGTTGCATGGACGCAACGGTATTCCATTGGCCTACTCCAGATGGGCTAAGATTCATCCACAAACTAAAGTCCCTTTAATATCTGATATTAAGCGTCAGTTGACCTCCTTCTGCTTCTTGCCCTGCCATGCGGATGTTGCATATCATACGAGTGGCGCATATCGTTTGAGTATAGCATGTCGCTGGCAACTCAACGTTGCGAGCCTTATCTGAAAAATGGCAGTTGCTACCCTAACCCCTGAGCGTGTAGTAACATCGTCTGTGAAAGCATTGATGCTCCTTGACTTTTTATCTGCTCCATTGCTTACAGATTTACTTGAACGACGAGGCGCTAGAGGATTCTAATGTCACACATCACATACACATGAGCCTTTCAGGGTCCACGTTACTCTACTTCAAACCCTGGAGGGTTAAGTCACCTCCGGATGTTACTTTTTCCTTCCAGCATTCCAGGCGGGAGCGTATATAATAAACATGGTAACCCCTTGAAGATCACCTACCATAAACATCAACCGCGTCAAAGCTTCTTATCACGTCCTTTCACTTCTAAACTGCCTGTGGTGCATCATTGTTCAATCTATCTATCTAGATAATGATCTCCTCATTGAGCATTTTGGGCCCAGCCCTGGCCCTGACCCTAGCCCCCTTTGCTCGCGCTGGATTTAATCCTAGCTCATCTTCAAACATCGCAGTATACTGGGGTAAGGACAGGCTCCTACACGTGAGCTGATACGATTGGATATAGAGCTGACATGTTCCGCAATTAGGACAAAACTCCTACAATCAGGGTAGCGGCTCGCTTGCTCAGCAGAATCTCGCCTATTACTGCTCCAGTAGGTTTTCATTAAGACCTTAATAGCTATATTTGACGAAAATATAAGCTAACCTTGGAAACTTTGATTACTTTCAGACACTGATATCGATGTGAGTATGAATCTGTTATCATATGTTAACAAAACTAAACGGCTTGCTAGGTTATCCCCCTTGCATTCATGAACGGCATTACACCTCCAATTACAAACTTTGCCAACGCTGGAAACAACTGCACCGCATTTAGTGACAACCCCAATGTCCTTAACTGTACTCAGATTGCGTAGGTCCCTCCTATTTACCACTCTTACATCTTCTAAATGCCGCTCAGGGATGATATTGAGACCTGCCAGAACACCTACGGCAAGACGATTCTTCTGTCACTCGGAGGCTCTACATATACTCAGGGGGGATGGTCTTCCACAACGGATGCTCAAAATGCTGCGCAGACAGTATGGAATATGTTCGGCCCCCAGACTGGTGTCGCGATCGACCGTCCTTTTGGAGAAGCTGTGGTCGATGGTTTTGATTTCGATTTTGAGTCAACAGTCAACAACCTCCCGGCATTCGGCGCCAAGCTTCGCAGCTTGATGGATGCCGCCAGTGGAAAGCAGTATTACTTGTCTGCTGCACCCCAGTGTGTCTATCCCGATTCTGCTGATGGCACGACTCTGGCCGCTGTTGCTTTCGATTTTGTCATGGTGCAATTCTATAACAACTGGTGCGAAGTATCTAACTTCCAGGCGGGAGCAACTACTCAATCTAGTTTCAATTTTGATGTGTGGGACACTTGGGCCAAGGGCAGCCAAAACCCCAACGTGAAGGTCTTCCTAGGTATTCCAGCTAACTCCGGCGCTGCTGGTGCCGGTTATGCGAGTGGATCCCAGCTCCAGGCTGCTATTGCTTATTCTAAGCAGTATAGCAGCTTTGGAGGGGTCATGATGTGGGATATGTCGCAGCTATACGCCAACAGCGGTTTCCTCGACCAGGTTGTCAGCGACCTCAGTGCCTCCAGCACTCCCACTACAACTACAACTACAACAACGTCGGGCTCCGGCTCCAGTCCTACTGGGACCCTCGTTCCTCAGTGGGGCCAGTGTGGCGGACAGGGATATACCGGTTCTACCCAGTGTCAACCCCCGTATACGTGTGTCTACGGAGGTGCCTACTGGTCTTCTTGCAAGTAATCAGAATTTTGGCTGGACACGAGTTTTGTCAACCCTAAAGCATTGTCATGCAGGAAACCAAATTTCCACAATTTGTTATCACAGGTCTTTCTTGTACATATGATTTTTTTTAAAGAAAAAACAAAAAAGAAAAAAACTGCAAATGCCTTTCTCTTGTATATATGCAGAGCTAGAGCACGTATCTCATTTCGCGTGTCCTCTTGCCGACCCCGAACTGTGTCGGCAAAAACACCACAAGCGTAGACAGGAAATGACTTGGGCTGGTAATTTTTTTCGTCTTGCGAAATCATTAGGCCCAATTACCTTTTAATCGTAGAGATGTCCTTGGTGGTCTTGATGACGGAGCTACGATTCCTTAGTGCACAGGCCACACGGTTCAACTCTCCATAGCTAGCACTATATTGTGAAATTCGATGATACAGGACGCACTGCCACCAGACTTGTACATCCGCGATGTCTGCCAGAAACGAAACGACCTCGGGGATGATACCGCCGACCAAACAAGACATAAATAAGATCGTGCCACAACAGCTTTATTATCATCTTGACATACACACACCAACCATCCACTCATCCATCCATCCAAACAATCCCCTATCGTGTCAAATCGGCGGCAGTACGCACGGAGCATCAATCTGTCCAGATCGGCCATGTGCATGCGAGACTTGAGTTCAATAGTCATTCCTATTCGAAAGGTCGCTGCGAAGAAGAAAAATAAAAGTAGGAGAAAAAGACGAAGCTCGCTAATGAACGGGTCTCTGAGATGAGAGAAGAAAAAATGGAGAAGGGGAAGGAGGAGGAGAAGAAGAAGAAGAAGAAGAAGAAGAAGAAGAGATGAAATGCAAATCGTGAACATTCCGTTGCAATCCAATCCACAGACAAGACGGAAGACTCTATTATGTACGAGGTTGCAGATGGCAAATCAGACACATCAGTCAGTCAGTCAGTCGGTCAGTCGTCTTTCAGACGCTCGGAGGCATGAGAAGTCGACCCACCTCCGCCTCCAAGGCCCGTTGTTGCGCGAGACCTGCTCGTCGTAGACACGGAGGGGCTGGCGAAGCGGAAAGACGAGGACGAGGAGGCAGCGCCTTGCAGATCGGGTGTTGGTACACGAGCAAAGGAAGCAGGAGAATTCCGGCCATCCAAGGAGCAAGCGTCGTCTAGCTCGATCAGATCGCCCGGTCCTCGGATGCCTGTTTGGCGGCCTCGATCGTACGCTCGCTGGTTCGGTGATCCTTGCTGCAGCTCACTGAGTCCGGCTTTGGCGCGAGTGGTGACTTTTCGGACCCAGCCTTCGAAGGCGCCGCCAATGTTCTCGAGGCCGTTTGATGCGGTGGAGGTCACTGTTGATGCGGACTCGAAGGAGGATCTTCGGAGGTTGGCGGGTGGTGGAGGTGGAGCTAGCGTTGGCATGTGTTGTGCGAAAAATCGGGTCAGGCCATCCAAAGCAGGTCCTGGGACAGTTGAGGTGCGATCAAGTGTGCCAACTCCCGTACCAGTGAGCTGGATGCTACTGCGCTGGCGGAGATGGCGTGGACGGGTAGGATACGAGGGGCCTGTTGGCTTTGGTTGTTCGTCACCAGATTTAGTTCCAGGACCTTTGCCTGCTGAAGACCGCGGTGATCCAGGCGGGGAGGGGAGTCTGGGGCTTTCTCGAGAGGAGCCAGATGGCTCTATGTCTGTGTAGTGGATCGATTTTCGCCGCGTGCGAGGAAAGAATCCTAATGACCTTCGAGGAACACGGCCAATCTCCACCGGCGCAGGGAACCCATCTATTTGTACCCAGGACTCATGTTTCCAGGTCCGATTTCGTTCCGGCTCAGATGAGCGAGAGAAGGTTGTTCGTGCGGGAGAAGGGGTGGGTAACGGGACAATAGAGCTGCCTTTGGGGTCTTCGAGTGAATCGCGAGAAGACTTGTTCAAGAGATTCAGACTGTCCTTGGGTTGCACGGGTCGGCCTTTCACTGTGCATGCATCAACTGGTAAAAGAACCGTATTTCTGCTTTGGATGTCATCATTGGGCCAGAAGCCGTTCGCCTTGCGGAAGACCGCAGCTTGACACCCATATTTGATCGTCACGCCCGTGATGCTGTCACTTGCTTGTACATTGTGAACGTATGCCAAGGCCTCCTCGTCATGTTCTGGATCAGGCGCCTGATCTGAATAGTCTTCAGAAATCCTTCGTTTATGCCGAAGATCGCGGCTCGAGGTTGGACCGGTATCAGCAAGTAAAAGAGCCTCGCGCTTCTTCGCCTGCACCATCGCCTGCCGTTCTTCCTTTGTACCGGCTCCAATTTCCGGAGTCGAACGCCCAGAGGGACCCCAGGTTGAACTGCTTGATCTCGGCGCGTTATAGTATAGATCTGGTCTCGATGGTTTCCTCCGTGAAAGGACCTGGGCGGCGCTATTTGGTGTTATTCGTCCCATGTCGCTCCCTAATACTGAAGAGGCCATGCTCTGGAGGGATGACCATGGCGAGTCCAAGAAGTCCACCGGCCCGCGCGAGGATGACTGTTTTGGAGATCCGTTCCAACCAGAGGCAATTTCGTTGCGGACGCCGCGATTGGACGACTCGGTGGCACGAGATGGGCGTATCATGGGTAGGGGCGAAACACCACGGGACGACAAGGGCGAAGGAGTGGCACCGCGGGACCTCGTGGCCCCAATTTCCGGAGTGGCAGAGGAGAGCGGTTGCAAGTCATTGTTATAGGAGATATTGCTGTTACTGGTATCGTCATCTCCATCCATTAACGAGACGAAGCGGCGTGGACGCGACCGGATCTCGGAGGTGGACGTGCGGGTGCTGGCGCTTGCGCTGACGGGATTGGAGCTCGGGGAAGCATTGGCAAAGGTGTTTGGGGGACTCATTCCTATCCGTGAGGCTGGTAGAAGCCTTGCTTCAAGGGTGGTGGTTCGTCTGCTCCCTTAAAGACCAGTTGTGCGTCGCCAGGGCACTGATTGCCATCGGTGGTCTCCTAGACGAGACCCATTCGTCATCCACCCTCAGAGGCGCATTCGTGGCCTTACGACCGAGCAACACAGGCCAAGGCGCAATCATGCAACCAGCCGGAACTCTGGAGGCGAGTAGTTTATAGCACAACTGCCACTTCCTCTCGTACAAGGCGGATCACCAGTGAGCCACCTCTGCGGATGATGTGATGGAACGGGCCGGGAATGATGGTTGTCCAGGGAGTCAGGGAGGCGACCCACCCTGGAACAAACAGCACGGAGAATGGAGGACGAGGAAGGAAAAGAATGGCGGAAAACCAACCGGGTTGTTGGTAGCAGACTCTGTACAGGGACGGGCCAGAAGGATAAGAAGCCACCGGCGTAATGAAGGAGAGACGCTTGTTCGGTCGGGCTGGTGGATGATCGGCAGGCGGCGAGCAAGTAGCAGTACATGACGTTGGCTGGGGGATTCTCCCGAGCGAGAGGTACCGGTACCTTCCGTACGCGGTTGACACCTTAACGTGGATGTATGCGCTGCAATGGTATTAAATGTGTACATTATACATGAAATCCGTCGACAGTTCTATAGACAAAGATCGTGCAAGACAAGCAACAAGACCCAGGTAATGACCCCGGTATCAATCCGACATATCCAAGATCCAACGCCCTCTCGCGCGGCGAATGCCATTACGATAACATCAAAAAACTATACAAGTCACTCCGGAGGCTCAGCCATCACTGCAGGTCGCGCGTCGGCTTCAGAGGATGTCTCATCCTCGGTGCTCCATTCCTTCTCTTCCTTATCCGCGTCCTTGGCCGCCCTGGCCACCATGGCTGCGGCCGGCGTAGGCTGCGGAAAGACCTTTATACCACCGGCGCGACCAAAAAAGTCTTCTGTGCGAAGACCGCGCACTTCTTGAGGATCAACCGCAGTCATTTGCGCGCCGCTGGCTTTCTTCTGGCGAATGAGTTCCCGCACAGGGACCATGGCTGCATCGCGACACGCTTCTTTGATGTCGCTACCAGACATACCGGCCATTGTCTTGACCAAATAATGTAAATCGAAATTGTCGCGGTCGACCTTGGTGTCCTTGAGGATCAGGCTGAGAATGCGAAGTCGCTGTGCCGCCGGAGGGAGGGTAACTGGGAACTTCTTGGGCATTCGTCGGAGGATGGCTTCGTCGATATCCTGAATGCGGTTGGTTGCGCCAAGAACAACAATGCGCTGCGGCTCTCCCATAGAATTGGCGGACATCAAACCGTCCCAGTGCGTCATGAATTCTGCCTTGACCATTCCGCTGGCTTCGTGCTCGCCACTTCTCCGAGTCCCGAGCACCGCATCGATTTCATCAATGAAGACAATGGAGGGCTGGAGTTTGCGCGCAAGAGAAAATACCGCATTGACAAGCTTGTTGGAATCACCGTACCACTTCTCCGTCAAAGTCGAGATATGCAAGTTGATAAAACAGGCTCCACTCTCGTGGGCGAGGGCTTTGGCCAGCATGGTTTTGCCGCACCCCGGCGGACCATAGAGCAACACGCCAGATGGCGCGGTGAGAAGAGAAGATGTAGAGGTGTACAGATGCGGCATGGTCAGCGGGTAGATGACCGACTCCTTTAATTCGTCGATGATCTCGTCAAGTCCTCCAATGTCTTCGAACGAGACAGCAATATCCTCCGGGGCGACAACGTCCATAGCGATCGCTTGTTCATATTGAGTGAGGGAGAGCTCCCCGCGACGTTGTCGGCGTCCTCCCCGTTTTGTCCCTCCTCTCCGCGGCGAGTCGCCGTCCGATTCATCTCCGCCATCCAATCTGCGCAAGATAGCAGCAGACTTCCGCTTTTGCTCCTCTTTCTTCTGGCTCTCTGGATCGAAATCAACGCGCGACAGGAGATAGCGAATGAGAAAGTAGGCAGAGGCCGACTGGAGACAGCGTCAGTTCTGAACCATGATTAGTAGGGCATGGAATGTCACTCACTGTGCCGGCAATCATGACCAGCTCCTGCAGGAACTGTTGCCATCGGCGGCCGCCTGCTGAAGCCATAATGATAAAAAAATAATGGCAGGGGATGAGGGGAGTGGTCAAGAGAAGATAGAGACGGGGAGAGAGAGACAAGTTACTTGGTCGGGCCTCGGGGCAAGTGTGGCGTTTGTGGCTGGAGATCACATGCCCATGACGCGGGTTGGTCTTTTTGTTGTGGTTTGTTTCGCGCGTGTTTGATCCCATAGTTAAGTTAGTTATCTCCCTCCTTCACATCATTCTTATCCATCCCCGCCATGCCGAAGCGGAAAGCGCCCTCCAAGATCTCGGGACTCGTTGACTCGGACGACGAGGACATCATCCAATTGACCGAAAATGAGAACCTTCCTGCCAACCCCGAAGCCCCCGCCAAGAAGCGACGCGGTCGACCACGCATCTCGCATGAGGATGCGCCGGAGCCCAAAACCAAGGCCGCGACAGCTGCAACCAAACAACCCGCTAAGCGAGGAAGGCCAAGAGGCAGTAGTCGCGCAGCGTCGGTGGGAACCGACGGCGCCGACGACTATGAGCAAGAAAATGAGGATCCTGCTGCCCGGACGGAGAAAAAGACTGCAAACGCAGGAAAACCTGCGGCGACGCGTGGCAGAGGACGCCCTCGCATGACCAGCGCGACAACGGCAACTAGTACGACAAAGCAAATGCAGACCGATGGTGAATTCGAATTCACACCCACCGGTACGCGGAAAATCGCTTCCAGTGGAACCTCGCAGGCACTGGCCGAACCCCGTGGATCACGGCGGCAGATCGCCAAGCCTGAAGTGCCCGAGTCACAGCGGGAAGACGAGGAGTATGATGCAGAAGATGGGGTGGACGAGACCGTTTTCCCAGATCCGCCCAGTGCCAGTCGCTATGTGACCAAGAACGCTCGTGCTCGAATTACCGCTTTGCGAAACTCTCAAGATTCCTCTCCTCGTAAGCGCAGACTGGGCATGGAGTCCGAGCCCAACGGCGGGGATCCCGACTTGCGACGGAGGTTGGGTGAACTCACCAAAAAACATGATGCTTTGGAGATCAAATACCGTAATCTTCGCGAAATTGGCATTGTCGAAGCAAATTCCAATATGGAGAAGCTGCGGAAGCAATGTGAAAATGTCACTACGGGTATGTTCATTCAAGTGACAAGTTATGGAGCAAAGCTAACAAACCTGCTAGCATCGAATGAGTTGATTGCTTCCCTGAAATCGGAGTTGGAGGCGCAGCGAGCTCTAGGACAGCAGAGTCGCGGCTTCCAAAAGCAATTAAAAGACCGCGACACTGAGATGGCACGGCTCCAGGCACAGGCCGACGAGGCGCGCAATCAGCTTGCTTCCGCACAATCTGAGATCAAGACGCTCGGAACGAAGCTCGCAGCTGCGCGAAACACAGCTGCGAGTCTCGAGAGCGCTGCAAAGGCTCCCGGCAGTGCTATCAAGGGTGGAGGAGCCAGTCGCGCAACATTGGCCGCTAGTGCCGAAGCTGCACAGGTCGCGCAGCTCAAGGAAGATTTGTACAGTGATCTCACGGGTTTGATCGTCCGCGATGTTAAAACCCGCGAATCGGATCACCTGTATGATTGTATTCAGACCGGCGTCAACGGATGTAAGTTTGCTCCTGTCTTTTTGATCTGGATAATTGCTAAACCTTGGCAGCTCTGCATTTCAAACTAGCCATTCCAATGGCCTCCGCGGCTGACTACGAGACTGCGGAATTCCAGTATCTCCCTCTCTTGGATGCTAACCGTGACCGTGAATTGGTGGATATCCTGCCGGATTTCTTGACGGTAGACATTACTTTCAATCGGCAGCAAGCGTCCAAGTTTTACACGAGAGTGATGGATGCATTGACCAAGCGACGATCGAGTTCGGCGCAGTAGGTATGGTGCTATATAGGTGTTTGGGTGGTTGTGTTTGGAGTTTCCTCTTTTCTTTTGGATACCGCTCTTGTTGTTCTTGTAAATATTCAACTTGTCGCCTTTTCTGGTCCTATAGCCCAGTAATCTACCTTGTTTTATACTCGTGCCTGGCAAAATCTCCATTGACACGGCCTTATTGGCTCACCGCCAAGTCCCCCCAAGTTCCCCAAACGAGTGTCCGCAACTTCTTGTTTTTGTTCCATCCAGGGGATTCTGTCCACTCTTTTCTTTCTCCAACCCCGGCATTCCTTTGGAACCCCCTGTGAGCGGAGCGAAATCATGGCGCGTCTCGGTCGCCTTGGGTTCCTTACCCTCGCCGTGGTCTTCCACTTGATCTATACCTACTCCATCTTCGACATCTACTTCGTGAGCCCCATTGTTCGGGGCATGCGATCCTACGGTGTCGAAAGACCCGCTGGCACCGATGCCCCCGCAAAACGTCTTGTCCTGTTCGTCGCCGACGGTCTACGCGCCGACAAGGCTTTCCAGGCCTTCCCAGACCCATCCCCCGAATCCCCCGATCGCGACAGCAACCAATTGATCCGCCTGGCACCTTTTATTCGCTCGCAGGTGCTCTCACATGGCACGTTTGGCGTCTCCCATACTCGCGTCCCCACCGAATCTCGCCCCGGCCATGTTGCACTCATCGCGGGCCTGTACGAGGATGTTTCGGCTGTGACAACGGGTTGGAAGATGAACCCTGTCAACTTTGATAGCGTATTTAACCAGAGTCGGCACACGTGGAGCTGGGGTAGTCCGGATATCCTTCCCATGTTTAAGGAAGGCGCGGTACCCGGCAGGGTGGACGCGGAGACGTACAGCGAGGAAGCGGAGGATTTCACCGTGGACGCGACACACCTGGATACCTGGGTATTTGACAAAGTGCACGGGCTGTTCGAGTCTGCAAAGACCGACCCGGAGCTGGATCCGGAAGCTGCGCGACGACAAATTAGTATTTTTCCTGCATTTGCTGGGATTGGACACCACCGGCCATGCCTTTCGCCCTTACTCCAAGGAATACCTGCACAACATCAAGATCGTCGACAAGGGAGTGCAATCGGTTACAAAATTGGTGCAGGATTTCTACGGAGATGGCAAAACAGCATTCGTCTTCACCGCGGACCACGGGATGAGCGACAAGGGTAGCCATGGAGACGGGCATCCGGACAACACCCGCACGCCGTTGGTTGCCTGGGGATCCGGGGTTGCGAGCCCCAAAACTACCAATGGCGCGGATGTGACTGGCCACGAAGACGGGTTTTCGTCGGATTGGGGATTTGACCAGGTCCTCCGCCATGACGTGGCACAGGCCGATGTGGCTGCTCTCATGGCATATCTGGTTGGCCTGGACTACCCTGTGAATTCTGTGGGCCAACTGCCGCTGGCATATCTCGATGCCAGCCCACAGGAGAAAGCAATGGCCGCTCTTGCAAATACGCGGGGTGTGCTAGAGATGTACCGGGTCAAGGAAGAGCAGAAAAGGGAGGCCGTGCTTCGGTACGTGCCCTTCGAGCCTCTTTCTGGCCATGAAGAAACCTCTGTCGAAGGAAGACTCTCCAAAGTTGAAGCACTTATCACCAATGGCGCTTATGAGGAGTCCATTGCTTTATCATCGGAACTGTTGTCCACCGCGCTTGAGGGTCTGCGTTACCTGCAAACGTACGATTGGCTCTTCCTGCGCACCGTCGTTTCTCTGGGCTACTTGGGCTGGATCGCGTACGCTCTCACTTCGGTGATTGACCTGCACGTCCTGCATGGCGCCACGGACTCAAATCGGACGATGGCCAGCACCATGTTCTTCTCATCCATTCTAGTGGTTTTGTTTTCTGTTTTCCTCTACCAAGGGTCCTCATGGCGGTACTACTTCTACGGCGTGTTCCCCGTCTACTTCTGGGAAGAAGTTTTCGCTCGCCGCAAGGCTTTGACTGCCGGCCGGGAGATTGTTCTCGGTCATGTCCGTTCGTTCAAGGGCTACCTGACTTTTGGACTCCAGTTGCTAGCATTCCTTGCTGTCCTTGAGGCTCTCGTATGTCTCACTCTTCTTTTTCTCTGCAATTTCTGACTCGTTCCTCGCCAGGTCCAATCCTATTTCCATCGGGAAATATTCACTGTCTGCTTTGCCTTGGCCGTTTTCTGGCCTACTTTCTACGGCATGGACTTCATTCGCAACCATGTGCTTCTATCGACAACATGGGCAGTTGCCAGTGGATTGATGGCCACGTTTACTCTTCTCCCGGTGACCAAAATGGAGAACATTGATACCATGTAGGTTTCTTGAACCACCAATTGAATACCTGTTGACCGGCTGTCAAGTACCTATGGCGCGTTTCTGATGTTCTTCACCGGCGTTTTGTATTTGCTTTTCGAGGATGCCATCATTGGCCACCGCGGTTCTTCATCGCAAGCCTCCCTCAGCAGTCTAGGCGCGCGGATTATCATGGGCTCACAGATCGGCATGATTCTGCTCGCCTTGGTTGTCACCCGGTCTAGTGTCTTCTCTCTTCAGGCTCGCCAGGGGTTGCCTTTTGGAAACTTGGTGGTGGGGTGGTTCGTCCTAGGTAAGTTTTGAAGTTGCATGTCTCTCGGATCCTATCTAATATTGCGCAGTGGCCTCCCTCGCATCGCCCTTCCTGCATCGCCTTTACCCTAACAGCCACTACCTGCACCGTCTCATGGTCCTCTTCCTGACCTTCTCACCAACCTTCATCATCCTCGCCATCTCCTACGAGGGCCTGTTCTACTTTGTGTTCTGCATGACCCTCGTAACATGGGTGCGCCTCGAACACGCCATCTACGTTCACACGGCTGGATCGAGGCCTGTCCTGGACAACAGGAAATCCGACACGGCGACGGCCACTGTCGAGGGACAGACATACCACTACCGAGCCCTCACCCTCTCCGACACCCGGGTGGCCCCTATTCTTTTTCTTCCTACTACAGTCCGCCTTCTTCAGCACCGGCAACGTCGCCTCCGTCTCGACCTTTTCCCTCGACAGCGTCGTCCGCCTAGTTCCCGTGTTCAACCCCTTCAGCCAAGCCGCGCTCCTCATCTTTCAAATCCTAATTCCCTTCGCCATCATCAGCGCCAATCTGGGGATCCTCAACCGCCGTCTAGAAGTCGCGCCCAGCGCCTTGTTCATGGTGGTGATGGCGCTCTCGGACGTGATGACCCTCAACTTCTTCTACATGGTGCGCGATGAGGGCTCGTGGCTGGATATCGGCATGACGATCAGCCACTTCTGCATCGCTAGCTTCCTGTGCACTTTCGTCGCGGGCCTGGAGTTCCTCAGCGAGGTGTTCATCAGCGGCGTCGAGTTTGGGCCGTGGCCCACTACTGCTTCAAGCTGGGGGAGGTGGCGAGTGCTGTGGAGGTTCCGTGGAATGCGGGCATGAGGGTGGAGGCGGGAGGTCCGCCGACGAACGGGAACGGAAACGGGGAAGTAAGAAGATGAAGACGAAGGCGAAGAAGAAGGGTGGCTGATACTTGCATACTTACTTGGGTCAGTCTTGATTTTTAATTGGGGCCGGGACTCTTGTACCTACTGTATTCCTAGCTACGGTCGTTGATGTTGAATACATGGACCGCCTCCTCTGAACTGGCCTCATTCGTTGACTTCCATGGTCCCCGCGAGTATCCACTGCAGTCCATGGTGCCCGACATGGATGGCGGGCTTAGCCCATTCAGAGACCACCTGATTGGCCCAAGCTGGGCGGAACAGTTTGAACCTCGGCATCACAAGATCCTGACCGTCTCTCTGTTCCTCCTCTATCTAGCAACAACCTATACGCCTTCTTTACGGGTAAGCCAGAACGCGCACTGACTATCCAGCCCCTGCCACCATCCCCGCAGACGCCCGCATCCATCCTTCCGTTTTCCGTACTTCCTGTTCCCCGCAAAATCTAACACTTACTTCCCACAGTTGGAAATAGTGGTGATCGGCTCGGCAGATCTCGGGCTGAGTAGATCTGCGTAGTGGCTCTGGAGGTATTGTCTCACTAAGGTGGCCGAGAACCGGATTCTTCCATCGTAGTGAGGTTACTGTATCTTAAGGCCGTGATTATTAGTGTTGTTGTTACCTACCGGTGGTGGTTGGTGCGGGCTCGTCGGATTGATCGATTCCGCCCCCTTTGGCGGGGAGGAAGAGGCTGAAGGTGGTCTGGTGTGGTATTTCCACGGCGGTGGAGTGGACTGAGGTGAAACCAGTGAGACTCCCCAGTTCTCGACTCTTCACCACCGACGGAGTATAGAGGAGGTAGTGTACCATATATCATTACATTAAGACCGGAACTGAAGAGTGTAGACACAGTCGCTATTATATACCTCGAGCTCACTCACGCATCAGGACCATTACCGCCTAGTCGTATCAGCTACTCTACACCCTCATCTCCACCATGACCTCAGATGATCCGTATTGCCACACACCACACCGTTTTCTCCCTTCAGAGTCCATCCCATCCCATCCCATCCCATCCATCCAGCCATTCTGATAATCCCACCTTCCCATTCATTCCACCTCTTCTTCCTCTTCCGGTCCTTTTTCTTCCCCCTTCCGGTTTGAGTGGCGCGCGAGTAGGCTGCAGTCCATTCAGCTCTACCCTCCCTCCCCTCCATCCAATTCCCTGACCCAGCCTATCCTCATCCTCCCACACCAAATCCCCTTTCTCTCCCCCAGTCCCAGTCCCTCCTTCATCTCCTTCCTCCTCCCTCTCCGCCCCCTCCTCTTCCGACTCTCACCTACCTTCTCTCCCTACTCCCTACCCTCCGCCCCTCCCTACAGACTCGAGTGGAAGTCGATCCAGTGCCTGGGCAGTCGGCCATGAGCACTACGACGGAGTCGTACGCCGAATCATACCCGGCCAACCACGGCAGCCCTGCTCCCAGCGCCGCGGGCTCGACAGGAACATCCGGGATCACCGTGCGCGGTGGTCCGAACAATTCACAGATGAGTTTCAGAAGGTAAGCAATGCACTTTCTCCTGTGTTTGATGGGGGCCGTTGCGGTCGCGGGGTCTTGTTTCGGGCGCAAAGAGAAGAGAGACGGAGATTTTGCGGCGACGTTAGGCGATGTTTCACTATTTTATCAGATGTTGACTGGATTATCTAATCTCTAGACAACGTGCATCACGCGCGATCGAGGCAACGTCCTTTTTGTTTCGACGGTCGAGACGGGCGATCGATCTGATGCTGCTGGGGGAGGGTGCCTCGGCACCTCGGCCCCGTTGCTTATCACCGACAAGCAGCACCACACACAATAATATTCACGGTGACCAAGCTGACCGTTTTTTTTATTGTCGTGTTTTAGACATTACATTCCCCGCAAGAGTAAGTAGGGCTGAACAAAATTGATACGGTCGCTTGTTCTGACTTTCGTATGAAATAGGTTCGTTGTGACGCCGCCAGCCTGGGCGTCCCTGCCAACTGTGTCGCCTTCTCCATCGAGTGCAAGATCCCTACCCCGAAACGCAAAGAAGAACACAGGCCAATCTACTAAGGGCAAGGAGGGCGGTGAGTACGGTGACAGTCCGCCTCCGGTGCCTCGTCCGTGGTCGACGCGGCGGTTGCTCACTTCCGACCCTCGGCCGGCTCCGACTTGCCTGCCGTATTCAACGACCAACAGGGGCATTCGACCGACTCAGACGAGAAGGATGAGGTGCTTGGATACCGAAGCAACCGGATGGCCGTCGACGGCATGCCGGTCACCTCTCTCACCGAGTCGGAGGCCGCCATGCGGGCCTCGGCGGACAATGCCTATCCGCGGACTCATGAAGCCCAGGATTTGCGCGCCCGATTAAAGGGCAGGCCGTGGCATATCTGGGCGAATCGTCGAATTTGTCGCTGTTGGTTCAGGATCGTCACGGCACGACAGATGTGGTCCACCACCCACTGCCGCCGAATATCAGA